GGGTGTTGTTGCCTCTACAAAGAAACTTTCACCTTTGTTATACAGTAACATTAAAATATAACATGAAATGCACGTTTGGTGTTTGTTTAGTGTGAGGAATGTTGACGGTTTTCAAACAAAAGTAGTTCTGCTGTTTGTCTGTGTCACATGCATCTGGGTACACGTACTGGGCAGGCCAATGTGTCCAGCAGATGTTGTCAGCAAAGTCTGATATTTCACTTCTGTGACAGTTTGTACCTTAGTCACCATGGCAACCAAATATTACTCCATAATTATCAGCATTATGTGTCATTGTAACTCAATCTGTAGGTTGTTGACGCAGTTACCATGGTTACTATTCAGCAAGTTTTCAATATGAATGGTACATGATTTGTTAATTTCAAATAGGACTACCTGTCCATAGGAATTTGACATACACAATATGATTACCATCTAATTCATGATGAATTTTAAATAAATTTATGACAAGAAGAACCTTTCACTGACATGGCTGCCTTGTGGTTTGGGTTTCTGATTGATTCAGATTAATCCAGCCAGTGTAAGTCCAGAACAGACAAGGGTAGGACAAAAGCCCTACCAGACAAGATCCCATAGGACAAAATGTCTGCACACTGCGGACAAAATCCCAACAGTGTGAAATATGACATACACTTTATTTTGAAATAGATATAGAGAATCTCACCCAAGTGTCTTTTGATATCAAATATATCGCCATGAGTTGATAAAGATACAAATGTCCGAGGCTTGCCAAGGATAATTTTACTTTATCAATGAGTGTTGATAATATTATTTGATATCAGAAGACACGAAGGTGAGATTCTATTGATCATCAAAAATCACTCTTCATTAGTTTTCAATGAAAAATGAACATATCTGAACACGGAACTGCCATTAGACTTGCAGTGCAGCGAAATCATAGCATTGTGACGTCATCACACACAAGCAATATCTCCTGTGGAACACAGTTTTGGATGATAAATTATTTTGCCTCATAAATAAGCATTATTGACCATAAGCACATAAGCACTAACATGATTCAACTCGTAATAACTCTCATGTAACTCATTCTTGTTATTGTTTACCATATGCTACAACTCATTCAACTCTCATAATATAATCAACACACTCTCATCTTCCCTCATTAATAAGCATTATTGACCATAAGCACATAAGCACTAACAGGATTCAGCCTGTAATTACATTCATTTAACTCATTCATGAAAACATGAATGGTGAGAATCTGGTGAGAATTCATGGTGTGCGGACAAAACCACCTGTGGACAAAAGCCCCCTAATTAAACTTTTAATACTCTTGAAGTCAGCTTCATCCTTAATAATGTTTACAAAGAAATGCTAAGTTAATCAATGAAGCCTGTTAACCCCTATCCCTGATAATCTCTATCACTGATAATCTCTATTACTGATAATCTCTATCACTGATAATCTCTATCCCTGATAATCTCTATTACTGATTCAATCAAAACATGTCACTTAAGTCAATCACTCAGCAGTTCAAACATATTTGGGGGTTTTGTCCAGAGGTCTTCATTTGGGTTTTGTCCAAAGGGGTTTTTGTCCTAGGGGGCCTTTGTCCACAGGTTTTTTTGTCCTACAATCAAATTCATCAACTGACAGGTTGTGTTGAGCATTACATTGTCTGGTGAGAATTCACCAGCTAACAGGTTGTCTTGAGCATTACATTGTCTGGTGAGAATTGAATCACCAGCTAACAGGTTGTGTTAAACATTCCAGTATCCATTCATTTTAAGCATATATATGTAAAAAGAGAAAACATTTAAGTTTCCAACTCATGCACATAACCAAACCCCTACTTGTGTCAGTCTGAAAGGTCTGATTTAGTGGCCTGTCAGCTATTCCAGTGATATGAAAAGGTGCCATTGATAAGAAAGCCACCTATTTATATGTATGTCAACATGATCATGTCACTGGCATGGTGACAACAGATAGAAAACTCTATTCAATAGCAGTCACTGTACAGCTTTCTGTTCACTGTACAGCATATCTATCTGGTGGTTACACTGACTGGATTAGCCAGGGTTGAATACACTCTACAGCAGGTGTGTGGTATCATCATATCTATCACTGATTAGCCAGGGTGTGTCCTACAACAGGTGTGGGCAATGCACACTGCAATACACTGACTGGATTAGCCAGGGTGTAGAATACACTCTACAACAGGTGTGTGGTATAACATGCATGGGCAATACTGACTGGATGCAGGTGTGTGGATATCGTGGGCAATACACTGACTGGATTAGCCAGGGTGTAGAATACACTCTACAACAGGTGTGTGGTATAACATGCAGATACATGGGCAATACACTGACTGGATTAGCCAGGGTGAAGAATACACTCTACAACAGGTGTGTGGTATAACATGCAGATACGTGGGCAATACACTGACTGGATTAGCCAGGGTGAAGAATACACTCTACAACAGGTGTGTGGTATAACATGCATCGTGGGCAATACACTGACTGGATTAGCCAGGGTGAAGAATGGGCAGGTGTGTGGTATAACATGCAGATACATGGGCAATACACTGACTGGATTAGCCAGGGTGTAGAATAACTCTACAGCAGGTGTGTGGTATAACATGCAGAACGGGCAATACGCACTGACTGGATTAGCCAGGGTGTAGAATACATGGGCTCTACAGCAGGTGTGTGAATATAACATGCAGATACATGGGCAATACACTGACTGGATTAGCCAGGGTGTAGAATAACTCTACAGCAGGTGTGTGGTATAACATGGTGTGTGGCAATAACTGACTGGATTAGCCAGGGTGTAGACTCTACAACAGGTGGGCAGATACGTGGGCAATACTGACTGGATTAGCCAGGGTGTAGAATACACTCTACAACAGGTGTGTGGTATAACATGCAGATGTGTGCAATACACTGACTGGATTAGCCAGGGTGAAGAATACACACTCTACAACAGGTGTGTGGTATAGCCACATCTACAACAGGTGTGTGGTATAACATGCAGACATGGGCAATACACTGACTGGATTAGCCAGGGTGTAGAATACACTCTACAACAGGTGTGTGGTATAACATGCAGATACGTGGGCAATACACTGACTGGATTAGCCAGGGTGTAGAATACACTCTACAACAGGTGTGTGGTATAACATGCAGATACGTGGGCAATACACTGACTGGATTAGCCAGGGTGTAGAATACACACAGGTGTATGGTGACATGCAGATTGGGCAATACACTGACTGGATTAGCCAGTAGAATACACTCTACAGCAGGTGTGTGGTGGTATAACAATGCTGACTGGATTAGCCAGGGTGAAGAATGGGCAATACAGGTGTGACTGGATTAGCAATACACTGACTGGGGTGTAGAATACACTCTACAACAGGTGTGTGTATAACATGTATCGTGGGCAATACACTGACTGGATTAGCAGATACACTCTACAACAGGTGTGGGCAATACGTGGGCAATACACTGACTGGATTAGCAGGGGGTGAAGAATACGGCTCTACAACAGGGTGGTATAACAGAATACACTACACTGACAAGCCAGGTGTGTGGTATAACATGCAGCAATACGACTGGATTAGCCAGGGTGTAGCAATACACTGACTGGATTAGCCAGGGTGTAGAATACACTCTACAGCAGGTGTGTGGTATAACATGCAGATACGTGGGCAATACACTGACTGGATTAGCCAGGGTGTAGAATACACTCTACAACAGGTGTGTGGTATAACATGCAGATACGTGGGCAATACACTGACTGGATTAGCCAGGGTGTAGAATACACTCTACAACAGGTGTGTGGTATAACATGCAGATACGTGGGCAATACACTGACTGGATTAGCCAGGGTGTAGAATACACTCTACCAGGGTGTGGTAGAATAGATCGTGGGCAATACACTGACTGGATTAGCCAGGGTGTAGAATACACTCTACAACAGGTGTGTGGTATAACATGCAGATACGTGGGCAATAATGACTGGAGCCAGGGTGGAATACACTCTACAACAGGGGTATAGCATGCAGATACGTGGGCAATACACTGACTGGATTAGCCACAGTGTAGAATACACTCTTCAACAGGTGTGTGGTATAACATGCAGATATATGGGCAATACACTGACTGGATCAGCCGGGGTGTAGAATACACTCTACAACAGGTGTGTGGTATAACATGCAGATACATGGGCAATACACTAACTGGATTAGCCAGGGTGTACGCTCTACAACAGGTGTGTGGTATAACATGCAGATACATGGGCAATACACTGACTGGATTAGCCGGGGTGTAGAATACACTCTACAACAGGTGTGTGGTATAACATGCAGATACGTGGGGATATCTCCAAGGTCACTTCAGTTTCTGTTTTTAAACATCATTAGCATCAATGCCACAGCATGTACTGATGTACAGTGGAGCCCTGGTAATCCGGACCCTAGATTTCGGGAAACCTTGCCTTTTGGACAGAATTTACCTGAAATGTATTATGTTCTACATGAAATGCTTGCATTTGCTGGAAGCCTGGCTTCAGGATCTGGACTTTTAAGTCTCAGTTACCAAAAGTGGAAAATACTAAGTATTGTCCCCCACTAACAAGACAACAACCACATGTTTGGCTTGAATACATCGCCCTGCAAGCAACCACAGGAACTTGTAACGCAGCACAAAACTGGCGTCAAGGTACATTTGTCCCAGCACCATATAAGGGAAATGCCTTGCTTATTCTAGGACAGTAATTCTGTAAAACTGGACATCAAACATGGTAGCTTCTGGTACAAGAAATATTCCAAAAATTTGCACTAAGTTCTGCTGTATACATCCAAATTCACTCACTCACTCACTCACTCACTCACTCACTCACTCATAACTCTTCAATTAACTCATTATGGTGTTCTCTCATCTAATTGCATGCCACCACTTTGACTGTGTGTCTCTTTGTGTTTGCTTGTTTTGTTATTTTCACCTTGTTGTTTTCAGCGTTCCATACTCCAACAATATGGTGGCTCGCACGACCGCCCACTCAAGCACTATTTTAGTTCCAATGATGTTCGTGTTAATCTCACTCAGATGAGAAGAGTAAGTAGCACCACGGCAACCTGTCAAAATCTCACATGTCACTTAATGGAAGAAACATGGATATTGGAGGATAAAAGTCAGTTTAAGGGAAAACGTATCCAATGAAGGCACCTGTTGTTTTTTGTCACAAAATGTACGAAAAGACATGTGGAATTTTGAGAATCTTGTTGCCAATATCTGCACCCTGATTTCTCACACTCTGTGGGTAACATTTTGTAGACTTTCATGCACTTGAGATGTAGTGGGTCTTTCTCCCGATGCCAGGTGTAACACTGTCTGATCTCACCTCCTGCTGCCAGGTGTAACACTGTCTGATCTCACCTCCTGCTGCCAGGTGTAACACTGTCTCATCTCACCTCCTGCTGCCAGGTGTAACACTGTCTCATCTCACCTCCTGCTGCCAGGTGTAACACTGTCTGATCTCACCTCCTGCTGCCAGGTGTAACACTGTCTCATCTCACCTCCTGCTGCCAGGTGTAACACTGTCTGATCATACCTCCTGCTGCCAGGTGTAACACTGTCTCATCTCACCTCCTGCTGCCAGGTGTAACACTGTCTCATCTCAACTCCTGCTGCCAGGTGTAACACTGTCTCATCTCACCTCCTGCTGCCAGGTGTAACACTGTCTCATCTCACCTCCTGCTGCCAGGTGTAACACTGTCTCATCTCACCTCCTGCTGCCAGGTGTAACACTGTCTCATCTCACCTCCTGCTGCCAGGTGTAACACTGTCTCATCTCACCTCCTGCTGCCAGGTGTAACACTGTCTCATCTCACCTCCTGCTGCCAGGTGTAACACTGTCTCATCTCACCTCCTGCTGCCAGGTGTAACACTGTCTCATCTCACCTCCTGCTGCCAGGTGTAACACTGTCTCATCTCACCTCCTGCTGTCAGGTGTAACACTGTCTCATCTCAACTCCTGCTGCCAGGTGTAACACTGTCTCATCTCACCTCCTGCTGCCAGGTGTAACACTGTCTGATCATACCACCTGCTGTCAGGTGTAACACTGTCTCATCTCAACTCCTGCTGCCAGGTGTAACACTGTCTCATCTCACCTCCTGCTACCAGGTGTAACACTGTCTGATCTTACCTCCTGCTGCCAGGTGTAACACTGTCTGATTATACCTCCTACTGCCAGGTGTTACACTGTCTCATCTTACCTCCTGCTGCCAGGTGTAACACTGTCTGATCTCACCTCCTGCTGCCAGGTGTAACACTGTCTCATCTCACATCCTGCTGCCAGGTGTAACATTGTCTCATCTCACATCCTGCTGCCAGGTGTAACACTGTCTGATCATACCTCCTGCTGCCAGGTGTAACACTGTCTCATCTCACCTCCTGCTGCCAGGTGTAACACTGTCTCATCTCACTGCTGCCAGGTGTAACACTGTCTCATCTCACATCCTGCTGCCAGGTGTAACATTGTCTGTCTAACATCTCATCTCACATCCTGCTGCCAGGTGTAACACTGTCTCATCTCAACTCCTGCTGCCAGGTGTAACATTGTCTGATTATACCTCCTGCTGCCAGGTGTAACACTGTCTGATCATACCTCCTACTGCCAGGTGTAACACTGTCTGATCTCACCTCCTGCTGCCAGGTGTAACACTGCCTGATCATACCACCTGCCAGGTGTAACACAGTCTCATCTCACCTCCTGCTACCAGGTGTAACACTGTCTGATCTCAACTCCTGCTGCCAGGTGTAACATTGTCTGATTATACCTCCTGCTGCCAGGTGTAACACTGTCTCATCTCACCTCCTACTGCCAGGTGTAACACTGTCTGATCTCACCTCCTGCTGCCAGGTGTAACACTGCCTGATCATACCACCTGCCAGGTGTAACACAGTCTCATCTCACCTCCTGCTACCAGGTGTAACACTGTCTGATCTCAACTCCTGCTGCCAGGTGTAACATTGTCTGATTATACCTCCTGCTGCCAGGTGTAACAGTGTCATCATCTCACATCCTGCTGCCAGGTGTAACACTGCCTGATCATACCACCTGCCAGGTGTAACACAGTCTCATCTCACCTCCTGCTACCAGGTGTAACACTGTCTGATCTCAACTCCTGCTGCCAGGTGTAACATTGTCTGATTATACCTCCTGCTGCCAGGTGTAACACTGTCTGATCATACCTCCTGCTGCCAGGTGTAACACTGTCTGATCATACCTCCTACTGCCAGGTGTAACACTGTCTCATCTCACCTCCTGCTACCAGGTGTAACACTGTCTGATCTTACCTCCTGCTGCCAGGTGTAACACTGTCTGATCATACCTCCTACTGCCAGGTGTAACACAGTCTCATCTTACCTCCTGCTACCAGGTGTAACACTGTCTGATCTCAACTCCTGCTGCCAGGTGTAACATTGTCTGATTATACCTCCTGCTGCCAGGTGTAACACTGTCTGATCATACCTCCTGCTGCCAGGTGTAACACTGTCTGATCATACCTCCTACTGCCAGGTGTAACACTGTCTCATCTCACCTCCTGCTACCAGGTGTAACACTGTCTGATCTTACCTCCTGCTGCCAGGTGTAACACTGTCTGATCTCACCTCCTGCTGCCAGGTGTAACACTGTCTCATCTCACCTCCTGCTGCCAGGTGTAACACTGTCTGATCTTACCTCCTGCTGCCAGGTGTAACACTGTCTGATCTTACCTCCTGCTGCCAGGTGTAACACTGTCTCATCTCACCTCCTGCTGCCAGGTGTAACACTGTCTGATCTCACCTCCTGCTGCCAGGTGTAACACTGTCTGATCTCACCTCCTGCTGCCAGGTGTAACACTGTCTCATCTCACCTCCTGCTGCCAGGTGTAACATTGTCTGATTATACCTCCTGCTGCCAGGTGTAACACTGTCTGATCATACCTCCTACTGCCAGGTGTAACACTGTCTGATCTCACCTCCTGCTGCCAGGTGTAACACTGTCTGATCATACCTCCTACTGCCAGGTGTAACACTGTCTCATCTCACCTCCTGCTACCAGGTGTAACACTGTCTGATCTTACCTCCTGCTGCCAGGTGTAACACTGTCTGATCTCACCTCCTGCTGCCAGGTGTAACACTGTCTCATCTCACCTCCTGCTGCCAGGTGTAACACTGTCTGATCTTACCTCCTGCTGCCAGGTGTAACACTGTCTGATCTTACCTCCTGCTGCCAGGTGTAACACTGTCTCATCTCACCTCCTGCTGCCAGGTGTAACACTGTCTGATCTCACCTCCTGCTGCCAGGTGTAACACTGTCTCATCTCACCTCCTGCTGCCAGGTGTAACACTGTCTCATCTCCTGCTGCCAGGTGTAACACTGTCTCATCTCACCTCCTGCTGCCAGGTGTAACACTGTCTGATCTCACCTCCTGCTGCCAGGTGTAACACTGTCTGATCTCACCTCCTGCTGCCAGGTGTAACACTGTCTGATCTCACCTCCTGCTGCCAGGTGTAACACTGTCTGATCTCACCTCCTGCTGCCAGGTGTAACACTGTCTCATCTCACCTCCTGCTGCCAGGTGTAACACTGTCTCATCTCACCTCCTGCTGCCAGGTGTAACACTGTCTGATCTCACCTCCTGCTGCCAGGTGTAACACTGTCTGATCTCACCTCCTGCTGCCAGGTGTAACACTGTCTGATCTCACCTCCTGCTGCCAGGTGTAACACTGTCTCATCTCACCTCCTGCTGCCAGGTGTAACACTGTCTCATCTCACCTTCTGCTGCCAGGTGTAACACTGTCTCATCTCACCTCCTGCTGCCAGGTGTAACACTGTCTGATCTCACCTCCTGCTGCCAGGTGTAACACTGTCTCATCTCACCTCCTGCTGCCAGGTGTAACACTGTCTCATCTCACCTCCTGCTGCCAGGTGTAACACTGTCTCATCTCACCTCCTGCTGCCAGGTGTAAATCTCACCTCCTGCTGCCAGGTGTAACACTGTCTCATCTCACCTCCTGCTGCCAGGTGTAACACTGTCTCATCTCACCTCCTGCTGCCAGGTGTAACACTGTCTCATCTCACCTCCTGCTGCCAGGTGTAACATTGTCTGATCATACCTCCTGCTGTCAGGTGTAACACTGTCTCATCTCACCTCCTGCTGCCAGGTGTAACACTGTCTGATCTCACCTCCTGCTGCCAGGTGTAACACTGTCTCATCTCACCTCCTGCTGCCAGGTGTAACACTGTCTCATCTCACCTCCTGCTGCCAGGTGTAACACTGTCTCATCTCACCTCCTGCTGCCAGGTGTAACACTGTCTGATCTCACCTCCTGCTGCCAGGTGTAACACTGTCTCATCTCACCTCCTGCTGCCAGGTGTAACACTGTCTGATCTCACCTCCTGCTGCCAGGTGTAACACTGTCTCATCTCACCTCCTGCTGCCAGGTGTAACATTGTCTGATCATACCTCCTGCTGCCAGATGTAACACTGTCTGATCATACCTCCTGCTGCCAGGTGTAACACTGTCTCATCTCACCTCCTGCTGCCAGGTGTAACACTGTCTGATCATACCACCTGCTGCCAGGTGTAACACTGTCTCATCTCACCTCTTGCTGCCAGGTGTAACACTGTCTCATCTCACCTCCTGCTGCCAGGTGTAACACTGTCTCATCTCACCTCCTGCTGCCAGGTGTAACACTGTCTGATCTCACCTCCTGCTGCCAGGTGTAACACTGTCTGATCTTACCTCCAACTACGTGCTGCTGTCTGTACTCTGGAAACCACTCACTTATACACTGGCTACTAACTCTGGTAATGTAGTTCTTAATATGCCTAATGTTAGAATAGATCCACCCCCAAAATGTGTACATGTGACATCAAAATTATTTGATAAAAGTTTACTATTGTATCATTGTTAGGGAGCGGCATTGATATAAGCATGTTTTATGCTTGTTTGCCAATCCTGTCATGATCACATGGATAAGCATGTTTAAACCATAAAAGTTTCAAGCGATCGACCGCCTATTAGTGTTATTAGATTGTGATGGTACAGGATGCTGTGTCATGGGTCTTGTCCAGCATCATGTGTACTCACCCAGTGTCTGGTTAATGGTGAGCCAGACAGACAGTGTACTGGAGAGGGTCAAGTCAGGACAAACTGGGGTCAGTGGGGTCCCCTCGGTCCAGTCCTGGTCGTTGTTCCTGTAATGTTGTTGTCTCCTGACGGAGTGGAGATTAACTGTAGATGTTCTGTGTGAAGGTGTGACTTGGTTGCATGCACAAGGGACATGCCAGACACCTGTCAGCTGCTTGTGGCGGCGGAAGTCGTCTCCTGCAGATCATTGCCTCCTCCCGCGGTTGCTGATATCAGCAGCTGAAACAAACTACCATCAGTCGTAACCACACAGCTAGGTGATGTCAACTCAGATAGATGATATCCAGGGATTAGGGGAAAAAATAATCTCCCCTTGATTGGGATATTTGATAGAGTTATTGGTGCCCTGGGGATTCATCCATCATAGTTATAGCCGTGGAAGGTTTATTCCCTTGTCTAACACCTGAGGAACAATCAAAATATTTTTCCATGGATACCATTTCTTAAAAGAAGATAAAGTAATTTATTTCGGTTAACCATATCGAACGCTTTCTTGAAATCCACAAAAGCACAGTGGAATCTGCCTTTTCTTCAAGTTATATGCTTTTGAACAATAGATTGAAGAATAACTTACACAAAGTGTTCAATAACGATATGCCCCAATAGTTACTAGGTTCATTATTACTTTCATTTTTATATATAGATATTATAAAAACAGTGGTCCATGCAGCTGGGAAATGACCTTTACACAATATTTGTGAAAACAATAAAGCAAGGTAGGGTGCAATCATATCCTTAATCTTCTTTAAAACTTCTTTGGAATACCATCGTCTCCTGGTGACTCATTCAGTTTATTGCAGATATAACATCTGCTGTTGTTATATCATAAGACAGTTCATCATTAACACAATCAGTATAATGTTCAAAAGTATGTTCAGGAATATAGTTTCCAGTATAAGCCTCCCACTCCTGGTCACAGTCATCACGTGATACAGAATTTAATAAATCTTTAAAATATGTATGCCATGTTTCTGGTAAAATATTATTCTTATCAGATCGCCTAGATGAATATTTTTTTACAACCTTTACATATTATCCATTAAATAAATATTGACGAAATAAGGGATCACTTGCTAGATTTGTCAAAACTCGTTACGTGGGTGATACCATTTTTCTTAATCAAGGGTACAGCCTACTAATCACGGATGCATCCAACCATGACAAGTGTTGTTTTAACAGGTCTGCGGTTTGGGAGGTCTGTGTTTACCCTGTGGAAGTGTTGCTGATATATGTTCAGCATTTTTAGTCAGAATGATTGTGTCTCGGATCCCTTCTGCGTAACTGTTTCTGTTTCACAGTTTGGCAATATTCAGAGGCGAACAAATTAATATGATTGCCCAAATAAATCAAGCATTGTGTTGATATATCCCTGTACAATCACTTGCCAGAATGTAGTATGTTACACAATAACATGATGTATTGTAACTTTATACATTAATTAAGTACTCTTGAGCCCGAAGGTGGGAACATGTGTATGGTCTGAGCTGCAACCTTTGTAGCCTTGTAGTGTATGAAAGAGCCCGAGACCCCAGAATGTGATGAACCTACCACCCGAGGGAGAGTTTACTGGAAACTGTGCGGATGCCCCACTGTTGTGTACTATAACAGAAAGGCCGAGCCTGGCTTCTTTGGTATATACCTCTGGCTTCTATGGTATATACCTCGAGTCTGGCTTCTATGGTATATACCTCGACAGAGGTGAGATTACTGGTGCCCACCTTGACCTCCCTAACCCAGGGGCACCTGTACCATCAAATTGGCTGACCTCTAAGTCTATGTTAGAGGTAGCTAATGTTCAGCTGTATAACATTCTAAATACTAACTATTTCTATATTCTTGGTTTACTCACTGCTATAGCCTAGATCTTGGTGTGGTGAAGGAAGGAGAAACAATGTACAAATATAGAATAGGTGTTCACAGTCTCACAGAATATGTTTGTTTATGCCTAACCAATTCAGTGTTTTTACTCATGATTTTGTTGGTCCAGTTATGTGCTGGACACACTTATAGAAGTAGAACATAGTTCAATGAAAAGTTGCTAACATCAAATGGACATGACCAGCTTTGTATGGAACACGCAAGTTTATTCAAACCATTAAACTCGAAAAAGACAAATTGGAAAAATGGATATGGTACCCATGAAGATGTGGGTTACAATTCGTCTTAGCAATCTATGGTGATTTAAGAGGCGATGTATGTGGCCATGTGGCCCGGTCCACTGACTGGGTTGATGCATGTCATCATATCCCATGGAAGTAGATAATGAATCAGGATGTCACTGGACTGATGTCTGGTCCACACTGTATTAACAGATTCACATATATCTGGAATATACAGGGCTCCATTTAAGAGATTTTACCAAACTTGCACCAGGTGCAACCTAAGAAAAAAAACTAGTTGCACCAACCAAATTCCAGTTGCAATGTAGTGTGTTAAAACGTCAGAGGTTTCAGTGCACATAAACATATTTCCGTGATGTTGTACTAATGAAACAATAGCAACGCAGAGACACAGCTGGTTCCTGTTTACTGGAGCTGTCATAGCCAAGAGGCGTCTATAAATAGCAACGTTTTGGTGCTATAGCTAATCAAAGTTTAGAAGAAATATTTAACTGACATATTTATGCTTATAATGTTAGAATTATTGTTGATAAATTTCTAGAAACTTGACTTGCACCTGATGCAAGTTAGGCTAATAACTAAGTTGCACTTTGTAATATTGGGTTGCACCAGTGCAAGTAACAAAGCACTAAATCGAGCCCTGATATATCCAAGTGTGGTGTTAAACAACGTACAAACAACAACATGATATGGTGATACACTTCGTATTTTTAAAGAAACCTGTTAAATATGTAGGTGTTTTAGAGAAGAGGTAGGAAATACTGATAGTAAACTAAGAGACTACAAGTTCATGTCTTTTGATCTCTCCAAACACAACACACATTAGTAGGTGACATGCACAATAACGTGTGAATTATTACTACAAGTGTGTGTTATATAATTTGATGTGTGAGCATGGTGTGTTGCAGAGGCCGTCCTCGTCGGGCCCCCATGAGAGACACGTGAAGCATCGCCTGAAGAAATACATGTCTAACTACAGCTACCAGGTGAGTGTCCCCCGCCACCGCCACACTGGTGTTCCCTTACACAGTCAGAGAATACAAATGTTACAAGCTATGGCTCATCGTGTCAAGGATGAACTGTTCCCCCAACACCGCTACACTGGTGTTCCCTTACACAGTCAGAGAATACAAATGTTACAAGCTATGGCTCATCGTGTCAAGGATGAACTGTTCCCCCAACACCGCTACACTGGTGTTCCCTTACACAGTCAGAGGACCCATGAAGATCCAGGGTAGAATAGGTCTTCAGCAACCAATGCTTGCCACAAAAGGCGACTATGCTTGTCGAGGCGACTAACGGGATCTGGTAGTCAGGCTCGCTGACTTGGTTGACACATGTCATCGGTTCCCAATTGCGCAGATCGATGCTCATGCTGTTGATCACTGTATTGTTTGGTCCAGACACGATTATTTACAGACCGCCGCCATATAGCTGGAATATTGCTGAGTGCGGCATAAAACTAAACTCACTCACTCACTCACAGTCAGAGAATACAAATGTTACAATCTATGGCTCATCGTATCAAGGATGAACTTTCCCCCCACCACCGCTACACTGGTGTACCCTTGCACAGTCAGAGAATACGTATATTACAATCTATGGCTCATCGTGTCAAGGATGAACTGTTCTAATCATCTCCGTGAGTTCTGACATCTTTTTCCTAAGTTAATTAACCCTATGGGATTCATTGAAGTGTGAACTCAAGTCACTCAAGCAGGGATGAAACCTTGAAAAAATCCCACGAGTTTGAGACATGGTTCCATTGATGGTAGACGTCACTGCGGTGACAGTGTTTACGTTTAGCTGTACATGTTTGGTGACATCAGGCAGCTGTATCCATTAGATACATCAACAAACAGCGGTGCAGGTATTGATTCAGGACATTGAATGTGGGGACATTCAACACTGACATGCATCAGACACATTGTGCAGACTGTAGCATGTACAGGCAACTGTGTAGCTTTAACACTTGAAAGGACTGAGAGAATTGGATTGAAATGAAATGTGATTCAAACTTAAAAGAGTTTTACAATCTCATGAGGTTTTTTAACCCCTAATTGTAAAACAGATTTCTTACATATTTGTTTCATAAAAAAATATTTTTTATCTTTTTGGTCAGGCTGGTCAACTAACTGAAACAAAACATGATGCCTTACAAATCACATGTATCATTGTAAATCATTATTTTATCATTAGTGTATATCCTGCTGCAAAATGTGGCTTACACAAGCAATTACAAATATAATGAAACAATCAGTATGAAGTAGACATGTACATCAAACTATGTTGCTAATGTAAATACTCTCGACCTCAGGCATGAAACAGTACATGCTGGAATTCTTACATATGCTGACATACACATTGTTAAGAACATATGTTCCATATTCCACCTGTACAAGGGGTGAGTTATCCTAAATTGATGAGAGAATGCTTACACTTGTTGAAAGGAAGCTTGCAGCATGTGGTGAAGATGTTCTGTTCTGGGTCAAATGATCTCACTGGAAGTTGCGTAGGCACGCGGTCAATGGGACTGTGACAGATAATTAATTTTTTTTATTATGTATGCATTCTGGTCTCAAGATTTATGTCAGTAGATTGAAGGAGGTGGGGAAGGTTTTTTCAGCTAAATATTCAAAAGGTTTTCATTATAGTTTTTTGAATAATTTACATGTATAGTGAACTTAATGATTTTTTAAATCCTTTGACTTATTGGTTAACTTATTAACTTATTGCTTATTAACTTATTCAAAAGTTATTTTAGTACCAGTTTTATGCACTTTAATTTTTTTGAGTTGTTGAATTGTATGGTAGTTTTGTACTGTAGCCTGATATCCTGTAACCTGTTGCCTGTGTTTGTGGCAGCTGTCAGGCCCCGATTTGCCCCCAGTCGTGGAGAAACAGAGGAGAGCTAAGTCGTCGAGAAAGTTTAAGAAATCTCAGGTAGTTGGTGGTGTAGGTGTTGTCGTGTAGTTTGATGTCACTAACACTGCAGCCTTCCTCTGGCCTCCTCCTACAAGCAGACAGCACGTAGTCAGTACATAGTCCCTCGCAGTCAGCTGGACATGTCCTTCCTTCTCTCTTTATTGTCTTATCATGTTCTTGAATAAATAGTGTTTGTTTTCAGATCAGCTCATCCTCATCAATCTGGTGTATTTCTCTCCTTCCATCTTGATATACATACCAAATACCCTTGCAACCAAAGTAAAACCACCAAGTCCATCTTACATCAGGATGTAAACAGCTTGGGGTGGTGGGGTAGCCTAATGGTCAAAGCGTTGGCTCGTCACGCCGAAGACCCGGGTTCAAATCCCCACATGGGCACAATGTGTGAAGCCCATTTCTGGTGTCCCCGCCGTGATGTTGCTGGAATATTGCTAAAAGCGGCGTAAAACCAAACTCAGTCAGTCAGTGTAAACAGCTATTAGCTGTTGACATGGAGGGGATGTTGCAGATAAACAGGCAATCTATGACGGTCCTCAATGAGACTTAGGAATAAGTCTACATTCAAAACACTGGCCTTGTTTTACATAAAGTCTGTTCCCAGCTGTCCTGCATATAGTACATAATAACACAGTCCTTATTATTCTGTAAGGTAATTGTGATGTCCTTATGGTGGTGTGGATGTCCGAGGTAGTTATCCTCATGGAAAGGAGATATCATATACTGGATAGGATCAGCTGGAACAGCTTTCATAAGCATATTTTGTCTGTTTGTATTCTCTGCTTTTCAGTTTACTTGTATAAACTGTAGAGAATTAAACTACACTGAATCAGCAGATGAAAGTTACAAAGTCTTCCATGTGTTGCTAGCTAGTTGTGCCCAAAGTGAAGCATAACCTTACCACACAAAGTCATAGCACCATCTGTAAATACTCCACTTTTTCTTTGTCCAATCGGTAGACATGTGGATGTGATCTTTATTTCTAGTGCTTTCCTCAGCAGGACTATCAATAACAAGAAAATCACTGAACAAGTTGACTTTGACGTCTTAAGATTACTTTACTTACCGCACATTACCGTAGATAAGCGGAAGTTTGAGGACCAGAAGAAGCAGTCTGTAGAAGGGGTCGGCTTATATATGGGTTACACTTTTCATTACCTTGTGTATTTGTCTCGTATATAGAGCCAGAAATAGCAATCAGCTGTGCACACATGTCTCGGTGATCTACCGGTCGCCGGTGATTTAGTCAAAGCATACACAATAATATAACGGGATGAATTTGGTTCCAAATACCCCGACCTAGCCTATGAAATTCCTCCTGACCAAATTTTTAACTATTAACATTTTCTTAATCACCAGTTTCCATCTTGGAATGAAACTTGTGTAACTGTACTTATATGCTGTGCCAGGGAACTTTACAGTAGCTCTCTGCAGTGCTGTATGAACTTGGTTTTGCTGAATAATTTTGTGGAGTGCATCAATTTTGTGAACCTATGGCAAGTGTACACCAAGTCCCTTTAGTGTATATCATGGAGTTATACTTATCTCAGTCTTCACTGGTTGTAGTGATGATGACTACCTGTAATAAGGACTTGGGATGCAATTCTGATGGAGGCATCCTGTCCACACTGGTGACCGTCAAAATTAGATTAAGATACTTTTTCCTTGAACATAAAATCAATAAGGGAAAAGCTAAAAACCTTCCGTGTCACTGTCGAACACTTTAGCTCCCATTATATCAGTACAATACAACTACAGATATCTGTATCATGCAGTGTTTTGCAATGCAGTTTCACAGCCCTATAGTATATATTCACATTTCAGTAACATGGATAGTTGTTCTTGTAAAGGATAGCTAGTATTTCTTCTGTCCAGTTAGTCTCCGTTCTTTCATTAGTTTCCAGGTCGACCTGGATGACTGTAGTCCAGAACCTTTTCACATCAGTTATTGAATTGACTAGCACATGAAACTCATTTCAAGATTTGCGAGTAGCAGGTAGAGCTTTTATCAGTTTGCTTTTTGTCATGTTTTACTGTTTTTCACTTTTTGAGTTCCTCTAGCATTAACTTTGTACAGTTTGGTTTTATTCAGTGCCTACCTTTTGCGGTTGTTAGAACACATGGACCTGTTCCACTAAGTGATCATGGCATTAAGGTGATCATAACATCATACTTGACCATTAGGTGATCATAACAGCATACTTGACCATTAGGTGATCATAACATCATACTTGACCATTAGGTGATCATAACAGCATACTTGACCATTAGGTGATCATAACAGCATACTTGACCATTAGGTGATCATAACAGCATACTTGACCATTAGGTGATCATAACATTATACTTGACCATTAGGTGATCATAACATCATACTTGACCATTAGGTGATCATAACATCATACTTGACCATTAGGTGATCATAACAGCATACTTGACCATTAGGTGATCATAACAGCATACTTGACCATTAGGTGATCATAACAGCATACTTGACCATTAGGTGATCATAACATCATACTTGACCATTAGGTGATCATAACATCATACTTGACCATTAGGTGATCATAACATCATACTTGACCATTCGTTTACGACATTTGTAGTGTTAGGGTCATTTTGTGGACTGGGGCCATGATCACAGGACAGTGTGGGCTGAAGAGGCACACCATGTTACTGGGTTCTTTGGTAGAAGTTGATCTGTTACAGCTGGACTAACCTGCTGTTTGTGACTGGTTTATTGTGTTTGCTATCAACTGCATGACAATGTATGTTAGTCATGGTAATGCTATATAAATGTGTTTCTGTTTAATCTAGGATTATCTGCTTAGTGTTACTTGTTGAAGGCTGTGTCAGTGTTTTTCTAATGCTTCATTAATTGTTTGCTTTAAAAGACTGTTATCAAGATATTTTTTGTGTGCTTTTAGGTGTAGTGTTTATCCTGATAATTGTGCAACGTGAACAAGTGTGTTTATAGTTTAAGTTCCACATGTACAAATAAGATAGGTATAACTGCATATCATCCTATTACTGTTGAATATTTCAAAGATGGTGGAAATTACAACTACAAAGATGCTGACAAATAACCATTGTTCATTTTATTATCAGCAGACATGTAGGCTACGTAGTGGCACACCTTTCCCTGTGATTCCTGTATCGGGGATGTAGGTATACATGGTGTTTGAACTGTGTACGTGGTTCAGTGATGTGTGGTCACAGAGTAGATGTTGATCGTGGCTGCAGCCAGACTTAGTGGATGGGGTGGAAGAATTAGTACAGCTTCATTAAGGAACACGTCAGACATTGGATCTGCTGGAACTTGTCATTTACTGCTAGAAGTTGCTGCATTGCGATGACTGTTGTTGATATAGCTGTGTTGCTGCGTCTCTCTCTTCAGAACTCCAACCTTCCAGAGTACTACTACATCTACTCGGGCAGCTCCAAGTGCCTGCGACCGGAACCAGCAGGTGTGCCTTTCAAGTCTCCCAAGAAGAAGTGAGTACACCAGCACCTCAGAGATGCTTGAAAGTGTCCCCTAACCACTTGGTGTGTGATGAGGTGTATCCAGTGTATTCAGTGGTTGAATAAGGTGTATCCAATGTAGTCATTGGTTGAATAAGGTGTATCCAATGTATTCAATGGTTCAATGAAGTGTATCCAATGGATTCAATGGTTGAATGAAGTGTATCCAATGGATTCAATTGTTGAATAAAGTGTATCCAATGGATTCAATGGTTGAATGAAATGGATTCAATGGTTGAATGAAGTGTATCCAATGGATTCAGTGGTTGAATGAAGTGTATCCAGTGTAATGATTGGTTGAATGAAGTGTATCCAATGTATTCAATGGTTAAATGAAGTGTATCCAGTGGTTAAATGAAGTGTATCCAATGTAGTCATTGGTTGAATGAAGTGTATCCAATGTATTCAATGGTTAAATGAGGTGTATCCAATGTATTCAATGGTTAAATGAAGTGTATCCAGTGTACTGAGTGGTTAAATGAAGTGTATCCAATGTATTCATTGGTTGAATGAAGTGTATCCAATGTATTCAATGGTTGAATGAAGTGTATCCAATGTATTCAATGGTTGAATGAAGTGTATCCAATGTATTCAATGGTTGAATGAAGTGTATCCAATGTATTCAATGGTTGAATGAAGTGTATCCAATGTATTCAATGGAATGAAGTGTATCAATGGATTCAATGGTTGAATGAAGTGTATCCAATGTATTCAATGGTTGAATGAAGTGTATCCAATGGATTCAATGGTGAATGAATGTATCCAATGTATTCAATGGTTGAATGAAGTTCAATGGATTCAATGGTTGAATGAAGTGTATCCAATGGATTCAATGGTTGAATGAAGTGTATCCAATGTATTCAGTGGTTGAATGAAGTGTATCCAATGTATTCAATGGTTGAATGAAGTGTATCCAATGTATTCAATGGTTAAATGAAGTGTATCCAATGTATTCAATGGTTGAATGAAGTGTATCCAATGTATTCAATGGTTAAATGAAGTGTATCCAGTGTATTGAATGGTTAAATGAATGAAGTGTATCCAATGGTTAAATAGTGTATTCAGTGGTTGAATGTTGAAAGTGTATCCAATGTATTCAATGGTTGAATGAAGTGTATCCAATGTATTCAATGGTTGAAATGAAGTGTATCCAATGTATTCAATGGTTAAATGAAGTGTATCCAGTGTATTCAGTGGTTAAATGAAGTGTATCCAATGTATTCAATGGTTGAATGAAGTGTATCCAATGTATTCAATGGTTGAATGAAGTGTATCCAATGTATTCAATGGTTGAAAATGAAGTGTGGTTGAATGAAGTGTATCCAATGTATTCAATGGTTGAATGAAGTGTATCCAATGTATTCAATGGTTGAAATGAAGTGTATCCAATGTATTCAATGGTTGAATGAAGTGTATCCAATGTATTCAATGGTTGAATGAAGTGTATCCAATGTATTCAATTGGTTGAATGAAGTGTATCCAATGTATTCAATGGTTAAATGAAGTGTATCCAATGTATTCCAGTGGTTAAATGAAGTGTATCCAGTGTATTGATTGGTTGAATGAAGTGTATCCAATGTATTCAATGGTTGGTTGAAATGAAGTGTATCCAATGTCAATGGTTAAATGAAGTGTATCCAATGTATTCAATGGTGAAGTGTATCAATGTATTCAATGGTTGAATGAAGTGTATCCAATGTATTCAATGGTTAAATGAAGTGTATCCAGTGTATTGAGTGGTTGAATGAAGTGTATCCAATGTATTCAATGGTTGAATGAAGTGTATCCAATGTATTCAATGGTTGAATGAAGTGTATCCAATGTATTCAATGGTTGAATGAAGTGTATCCAATGTATTCAATGGTTGAATGAAGTGTATCCAGTGTATTCAGTGGTTGAATGAAGTGTATCCAATGTATTCAATGGTTGAATGAAGTGTATCCAATGTATTCAATGGTTGAATGAAGTGTATCCAATGTATTCAATGGATGAATGAAGTGTATCCAATGTATTCAATGGTTGAATGAAGTGTATCCAATGTAGTCATTGGTTAAATGAAGTGTATCCAGTGTATTGAGTGGTTGAATGAAGTGTATCCAATGTATTCAATGGTTGAATGAAGTGTATCCAATGTATTCAATGGTTAAATGAAGTGTATCCAGTGTATTGAGTGGTTAAATGAAGTGTATCCAATGTATTCAATGGTTGAATGAAGTGTATCCAATGTATTCAATGGTTGAATGAAGTGTATCCAATGTATTCAATGGATGAATGAAGTGTATCCAATGTATTCAATGGTTGAATGAAGTGTATCCAATGTAGTCATTGGTTAAATGAAGTGTATCCAGTGTATTGAGTGGTTGAATGAAGTGTATCCAATGTATTCAATGGTTGAATGAAGTGTATCCAATGTATTCAATGGTTAATGAAGTGTATCCAGTGTATTGAGTGGTTAAATGAAGTGTATCCAATGTATTCAATGGTTGAATGAAGTGTATCCAATGTATTCAATGGTTAAATGAAGTGTATCCAGTGTATTGAGTGGTTGAATGAAGTGTATCCAATGTATTCAATGGTTAAATGAAGTGTATCCAGTGTATTGAGTGGTTAAATGAAGTGTATCCAATGTATTCAATGGTTGAATGAAGTGTATCCAATGTATTCAATGGTTGAAATGAATGATTGGTTGAAATGAAGTGTATCCAGTGCATTCAATTATTGAATGAAGTGTAATCCAGTGTATTGAGTGTATCCAGTGTATTCAGTGGTTGAATGAAGTGTATTAAATGAAGTGTATTCAATGGTTAAAATGAAGTGTATCAATGTATTCAATGGTTGAATGAAGTGTATCCAATGTATTCAATGGTTAAAATGGAATGAAGTGTATCCAATGAAGTGTAAATGTGAAGTGAAGTGTATCCAGTGTATTGAGTGGTTAAATGAAGTGTATCCAATGTATTCAATGGTTGAATGAAGTGTATCCAGAGTATTGAGTGGTTAAATGAAGTGTATCCAATGTAGTCATTGGTTGAATGAAGTGTATCCAATGTATTCAATGGTTGAATGAAGTGTATCCAGTGTATTCAATGGTTGAATGAAGTGTATCCAGTGTATTGAGTGGTTAAATGAAGTGTATCCAGTGTAGTCATTGGTTGAATGGAGTGTATCCAGTGTATTCAATGGTTGAATGAAGTGTATCCAATGTAGTCATTGGTTAAATGAAGTGTATCCAGTGTAGTCATTGGTTGAATGAGTGTATCCAGTGTATTCCATGGTTGAATGAAGTGTATCAATGGTTGGTTAAATGAAGTGTATCCAGTGTAGTCATTGGTTAAATGAGGTGTATCCATCTGTTGCAGGCCTTTAAAGGGAGGCATGCCCGCCCTTCGTACCGTGCCTTCCAATACTGTGTCTCGTGGTGAGGCAGAGAGGCTTGTCAATGCAGCTACAAAGCTATTAGTAGCCACAGTAAGTACACCATTCCTGGTTTAGTAGCTACAGTAAGTACACACATGGGTTTTGTTTCCTGGTTTAGTAGCCACAGTAAGTACACACATGGGTTTTGTTTCCTGGTTTAGTAGCTACAATAAGTACACACATGGGTTTTGTTTCAATTTGGGAAGCTATGGCAAAATATGGAGAATCATCTCAAACTGATGAAACAGTGACGAGATGGGTGCATATTATAAATGCCACAACCAAGTAATGCATTGCCCCATGTAATGATGCTCTGATTGCTCCCAGCAATCCATAGTTTGATTCCTCCCCAAGGTCCATTGCTGGAAGTACAATGACCTCTGACCCCATCCTAGTGAGTAATCGAGTTGTCTGATGGCAGGACCTTCCCAGTGTGAACATGCCCCTGTGAGATGATGTGTATAGCATGTGTTGACATTGTCGGGATGTTTACAGGAGAGTGTGGAACAGAGCAACGTACCCAAGAACAGCAGACAGACAGCGCCACGCCCTTTTGAGGTGAGTTCTGTACACAACATGAGTGTACACAGCACTAACACACTAAATATATCTACATGTGTGTACATGCCATATGTATAGCTTGTAATCACACCATATATACACAAGATGTTTGTGAATGTTGAATATTCCATATATGTGTGTAATATACAGATATATGATCCATAGAGTTGACACCTTATCAAACAATTACCAGAATCTACCCTTGCTGGAAACATGCTTTCGTTTACTGAAAATATCTGTAATACCATACAACTAAGAATAGACAGATGGGCTAGACTGGAACCATTTTTGGGGCTTACCCATTGTTTACCTGCATGTACCTGTGTTTACCTGAGTTTACCTGTAATTACCTGTGTTTTAGTACATTCTTCGTTTTAGTAGCCATAGTATTCATCAAGATGATCATCATCTGGCTGTTTTGTTTAACCCCTTGTGGTCTTCCTTGTGATCCCAGTTCAAGACAATCTACTGTAATCACACAATGAAGCCTCTTGTATTGAAGTTTGTTATTTAGCCTAGTGGTTACACTGAAGTTTCCATGAAGTTGCTGCTTGGATATTGCTGAAAGCTGCTTGAGAATCCAACTCTCCCCCTCGCCCTCATTCATTTCAATCGGACATAATTTTTTGTCTAAACTGTATTTCCCAAACACACAGGGCTCCCTGCTGGAGTACTATCTGAGCACACAGCCACAGGTAGAGGAGCTGCAGGAACAGCATGGAGACAAATGTTGACACCAGCACCGGTCTTAACTGATAATACCCTGTATAGCTACAGCAACATACAACAGTCGCTTGGCTTCATGTTATAATCAGCCCCAATAATACAGCATTGCATTTTGTGATCATAGTGGTTTTATCTGAAAGTATGAAATTGATATCTCACTTATTAAGTCTTAAATTCATAACCAGTTTCATTCTGGTTTACACTGAAGATCATTAAGAAAATAGACAAAACAGAACTTGTTTCTTTTCTGGCCAGATAACCAGTTATCTCATCTTGCCACCAGGTAAAGCAGTCTGCACTACTCAAGATAATGTCAGCTGTGTCAAGCCACTCACTGATTAAAATGTGTTATTTGACAAGGAAGCATGAATATTCACGTGTATTATATCATCATTCTCCATCCTCCTTTAGGCCTCCAGAATGTCTGATGCCCCAGACAACTTCAATTCTAAGTTGAAGACCTCGGGTTATCTATGACATCAGTGTATTTACAGTAATATAAGGAACACATGTTCTATGGTGCTCATCATGAGGCTGTCACAGCAGCTGGGAGAATGGTGATACGTTACACTGGATGAGTTGCACCTTGATGCATAATGTCAACATTTGTCTGCATGTGTTTGTTGCCATCTTATTATCAACATCATATTACATAGTACATATATAGGAAAGCCAAATATTCAACATGCATTTAATGGTACTGGCTTTCTTTATTTCTTGTTTTCCAAGACTTCTGGTTAGGTACATGCTTATCATTTGCTAATGTTACCATGGTTACAAAACTCCAGATTGTTTTGTCAAACCTGCTGTTTTTGCTGTGATGAATTGTCACATAATCTCTGCCACTGCATGATTCAATGCATATATATAGTTAACTGCTTTTGGTAAAATGAAATAGCTTATGGCTTCTCACAACAAATGCCTAGCTGGCAATGCTCGTTATATTATTGGCATTTACGCTTATAATAATATTGGCTGATTTTTGTGTAATTGAACACATTTAGAATAATTTTTTTCTGGTAAGCGATATTATAGTTATAACCCTTCTATTTTCAAGACATTAATTGTTCTTTATTTTAAGGAAAAACTGAAACATTTTCTACATTATGATGATAATTGTTTTTCTTGTCACAAAAAAACATTGATTTTCTTGATACAAACATACATGATTGTTATACCTGCTGATATATACCTGCGTTATTATAATCGGCTGTGCTCGACCTAGTGTTGTAGAGTAGTCTGAATTATGTTCTAGACCTCGTATGCGGGGTTCCCGGGTGTGCCCACTATAGACGAGGAGGAGGCACGACTGTTGCTCCATTCCCGCCGACAGGTATTCATGTGGCTCCGTGGCTTATACACGTGTGTCAGCTTCTGTGTAACCAACGGCAATGTGTGTGGCGTAGGTTCAGGGAGATCTAATAGCTGTTGTGGAGATGGGTCTTGTGTGATTTCTACGGATGTTTCCAGTCTGTCATCATCTTACAGTTGTTCAGGCTCAGATTTGGCTCACACACTCACCCAGCATCGAGTAAGGTCTTATACCAGGGGATATCCTTCATATGACGTTATAATATTCTAGAATTGATGTCAATATTTTTTTCTCAGTTTGTAAGAATGCAGTCAGTTGTTGTGACAACTAGTCACCAACAACAACAGATTGCGTAATAAATCACAAACCATATGAAATTCATGACGTCATTCAAAGCAATAATGCAGCTGTAACCTTTCTATCAGCCAACCAGGAAACTATTGTTTGCTAGTGGGCATTCCCTAATTTTGGAGGGTTATTGGAACAAATACATATATGTAAATCAATTTTCTTTGTTAGCCAATCAAGTGCCATTGAATCATGATGCAACAATGTATCCCTGTATCGATAGAGTAAAAGAATGTGTTGCTCATGGTCACTTGGTTTTGTATCAACTCAGTGTGTGTTCTATGTCGTCCTCTGGTGTGTGTGATCCAAATCCTGGCATTCTGTGAGTCAACACACTTGTATGTAACAGTATTATATTACTACGTTTACAGCCATACACTCACACTTTCATCATGCTGCTTGTGGATAGGGCAGTTTATGTGTCTTTTGGAGAGTCCTGTTAAAGCCAGAATTTACTATGCAGAGTTGTCTCCCTTGAACTTACCTAAACCTGGGTCTGATCATGGGTTCAAATCCCAGTTTGCCCCAGTTATGTTTCTAGGTTTGTCAGAACCCCAGCAGTGCTCACTGGTTTCTCCACTGTTGTAAATGTCAGAACCTGACACGGTGTGGCGTTACACCCAGCTCATTAACTCAGTTGCTGATATTTCCTGTCTCACTGTGAAAACCTGGCATTATACTTGTGAAACAGGCTATTGTCATCGCTTGTGCCCATCAAACGTCACTAATTACATGTAGTCAGTGCTTCACACTAACGCTTCTCTGTTAGGGATAGAGCTGTCTCCACAGTGAACTAACCATTTGTCTTACAGCTTGCTTGTATTATGTAGCTTGCTCCCATCTGTGGATGTTTATTGCTGTCATATGCTGAGACATGTTGTCATCTCCTTGCCTCCATTTGTCTGCCTGTGCCAGATACATTATATATCTGCAGTTGGTCATGCTCCAGCAATGTATGTGAGACTGCAGTGACCTGTGTATCAGACCTGTGTGTTGTGTCAGCTCAGTGGGTCCATGATGTGTCATGTTTCAGCCCTCCAAGACCGGTAAACGGCCAGCCACAGCTAAATATACCTGGGACATCCATGGCCGCAGAGTTGCACAGGAGGAACCAAAGGTCAGTCACATGGTCAGTCACATGGTCAATCACATGATCTTGGTCTGTGTGCTGAAAATGATTGTGTAATTCATAATAAGTTTGATTTTGACACTGGTTGTATCTTGTTTTGATTACTATTAAAGCAACCCTTTGTAAAGGGCACAGTGCATTTGCAGTGTAGGGAATAATTGAAGAGGGGTAACACATTCATAAGAGGGAGTCATTAGCAAATAGACAGTGGATGCAGTTACTCTGCAGTTACTATGAGACTTTATTTTTCATTTTTCATCATTTCACTGTCCTCATTTCATTAGAAATGATCATGGCATTAAGAAACAGATTTGTTGACATTTCGAATTAATTTTATCATTAAATTGAACATTAATTGCTTGGAACAGATAAAAAGTATTTCTGAGGTACAAAGCAGCCACCCAGTCAGAACTGTACTCCCGAAAATTAAGTACAGGTCATAGTTCATACACATAAGACAGTCTTATCTGCTGTGCCTTTAACCAGAGACCTTATTGGTATATGGTCTCGACTTTAAGTATAGACTTATGGCAATCACATAGGATGTTAATGTATTCTCTTATTCCATCATTATATCAGTTTTCATTCTGTGTCTATTGGCTTTTCACAGGCCTATGATGACAGTTTCCTAGGAAAAGGTTTGAGGTGAGTGGTGACTCCTATATTGTCACAGAGCTGTGTGCAAGTGTGTCTAGTGTATCTCCACATCTTATCTATATGGGGTATGTAATATGATCCTTTCTGGGCCAAGAACTGATATCAAGCCTCAGAACAAACAACTGTTAAGGTGAGAAGTTTAATATGAAGATATGTCCTTTCCTTGGTTTGTTGTGCATTACGACTGGAGGGGGAACACCATGATCTGGTGTTTTCCCGAACCATTGTTCCACACACTACAGCTTGTTCTCAAACTTGATTTCCCAATCTTGACATTGATCAGTTCCACAGAAAGCTTTCTTTACCCTGGTGTGTTTGTTACTTAATTTCTAAAGTAGGTTCTGTAAAAAAAGGTTATTCATGAAGCATATTTTTTCACAAAAGATCGTTCTACGTGTTTAGCTGATTTGATTATTAGATAGTCTTGATAGCATTCAATGTATTGCATGTACAGTTAGTGTTGATGTCCCCTCTTTCAGACCCCACTCCAGCCACCCATCCAGCCGCCCCACCAGTAAACGTGTGTACCGCCACCTCCGCTCTCCCACACCTTCCGACACTGTCTCCAGTCGATCCTCCGTCACACACACGACCTCCACCTCTGACATTGACAGACTACCGCCAGCATCTCGACAAAGAAGGAAGAAGTCCTCCAGTCAGCAGTCTCTGTCCTCCCGTACGAGCGACCAGGACCGGGACCGGCCAGTGTCAAGCAAATATAGGACACGCCACAATCATCAACGTCCCAGAGGTGAAGTTGAGTGAGGGAGTCAGTGTACAGGACACAACGCAGACAGCGGGAACACAGGATGAGATTGGAATTCAAACAGAGAACAGACTCATCAAGGATTATGATCAGGTAACTCAGGTTTCCATGCAGAGTTGCATCCCTTGAGCACACCAGAATCTTATGATCCTGGGCTCGAATCCCTGTCTGCCCTAATGGTGTTTGTAGGTTTATCAGCACCATATCAGTGGTAAACATCTGAAAGCTCCCTCACTCTAGGCTTGTCTTCCACCTCAAGCTGGCATGACATGACGCTCTCTCAGTACTGTACGGTAGAGGAGTGATCTGTTTGTCTTCCACCTCAAGCTGGTGTGACATGACACTCTCTCAGTACTGTAGGGTAGTGGGGGGATATGCTTGTCTTTCACCTCAAGCTGGCGTGACATGACACTCTCTCAGTACTGTAGGTTCGAGCGGGGATCTGCTTGTCTTCCACCTCAAGCTGGCGTGACATGACACTCTCTCAGTACTGTAGGGTAGTGGGGGGATCTGCTTGTCTTCCACTTCAAGCTGGCGTGACATGACACTCTCTCAGTACTGTAGGGTAGTGGGGGGATCTGCTTGTCTTCCACCTCAAGCTGGCGTGACATGACACTCTCTCAGTACTGTAGGGTAGTGGGGGGATCTGCTTGTCTTCCAGCTCAAGCTGGCGTGACATGACACTCTCTCAGTACATGACACTCTGTAGGGTAGTGGGGGATCTGCTTGTCTTCCACGCTCAAGCTGGCGTGACATGACACTCTCTCAGTACTGTAGGGTAGTGGGGGATCTGCTTGTCTTCCACGTCAAGCTGGCGTGACATGACACTCTCTCTCAGTACTGTAGGGTAGTAGGGGGATCTGCTTGTCTTCCACTTCAAGCTGGCGTGACATGCTGGCGTGGGGGGACATGACTTCCACCTCTCTCTCAGTGGGGGATCTGCTTGTCTTCCACCTCAAGCTGCGTGACTGTAGGGTAGTAGGGGGGGATCTGCTTGTCTTCCACCTCAAGCTGGCGTGACATGACACTCTCTCCAGTACTGTAGGGTAGTGGGGATCTGCTTGTCTTCCACCTCAAGCTGGCGGACATGACACTCTCTCAGTACTGTAGGGTAGTGGGGGATCTGCTTGTCTTCCACTTCAAGCTGGCGTGACATGACACTCTCTCAGCACTGTAGGGTAGTGGGGGATCTGCTTGTCTTCCACTTCAAGCTGGCGTGACATGACACTCTCTCAGTACTGTAGGGTAGTGGGGGGATCTGCTTGTCTTCCACCTCAAGCTGGCGTGACATGACACTCTCTCGGTACTGTAGGGTAGTAGTGGGGGGATCTGCTTGTCTTCCACTTCAAGCTGGCGTGACATGACACTCTCTCAGTACTGTAGGGTAGTGGGGGGATCTGCTTGTCTTCCACCTCAAGCTGGCGTGACATGACACTTTCTCAGTACTGTACGGTAGTAGGGAGATCTGCTTGTCTTCCACCTCAAGCTGGCGTGACATGACACTTTCTCAGTACTGTAGGGTAGTGGGGGGGATCTGCTTGTCTTCCACCTCAAGCTGGCGTGACATGACACTCTCTCAGTACTGTAGGGTAGATGTGTGATCTGCAGGCTAGGTTCTAGGTTCAGCCACATGTGGTCTCCCTGAAATAAGACGTAAAGCTGTGTAAGACACAAATAGCTCACTCATGACCTTTGTTATGGTGAATATGTTGACTGCTGTTTAAAATGTCCCGATTGTATCCAGAGAAATCTTAAAAAATGAAGAGTGATCTTTCACGCACAACAATCTGATATAATTCTAGTCTGAATGTCTGGTTTTGTCCTTTTTTCCTTTTAAATTTCTGTGCTGAGTTTTGTGATAAAAGCATTGACAGTCAGACGTGTTCATACTCCCAAGTAATCTGTCGGCCATCTTCTAGCAGGAGGACGAGGTGAAGCAGGGTCCGTGGGGTGAGTACCAGATCTATGTGCGGACTGGGAACACCATCGGTGCCAGCACCAAGGCAGACATCAAACTGACGCTGTATGGGCAACAGGGGCGCACCAAGGAGATGTTGCTTGGCATGGGAGACTCCAAGAACCACAAGGTGGCCTTCCAGAAGAACAAGGTATGAGTCTTGTCAGCATGTATCCTTTGGGCAGTAGTACATCATTCTGATTGTGAAAGGGGATCAAAACGAAAAGATATCTGACCTACAAATTATTGGTGTGTGACATTAATGAGAGATGATGACTCTCCTGCTAGATCTGGTTTATTGAACATTGTTTAGTGGTGACTAGACTGTTGTCCATTGTAGGGTATTCCTCACTAATTACCAGTGTCAGTACTGTTGCTAGATCTGGTTTACTGAACATTGTTTAGTGGTGACTAGACTGTTGTCCATTGTAGGGTATTCCTCACTAATTACCAGTGTCAGTACTGTTGCTAGATCTGGTTTACTGAACATTGTTTAGTGGTGACTAGACTGTTGTCCATTGTAGGGCATTCCTCACTAATTACCAGTGTTGCTAGATCTGGTGAACATTGTTTGTGGTGACTAGACTGTTGTCCATTGTAGGGTATTCCTCACTAATTACCAGTGTCAGTACTGAGATCTGGTTTACTGAACACTGTTTAGTGGTGACTAGACTGTTGTCCATTGTAGGGTATTCCTCACTAATTACCAGTGTCAATTACTGTTGCTAGATCTGGTTTACTGAACATTGTTTAGTGGTGACTAGACTGTTGTCCATTGTAGGGTATTCCTCACTAATTACCAGTGTCAGTACTGTTGCTAGATCTGGTTTACTGAACATTGTTTAGTGGTGACTAGACTGTTGTCCATTGTAGGGTATTCCTCACTAATTACCAGTGTCAGTACTGTTGCTAGATCTGGTTTACTGAACATTGTTTAGTGGTGACTAGACTGTTGTCCATTGTAGGGCATTCCTCACTAATTACCAGTGTCAGTACTGTTGCTAGATCTGGTTTACTGAACATTGTTTAGTGGTGACTAGACTGTTGTCCATTGTAGGGTATTCCTCACTAATTACCAGTGTCAGTACTGTTGCTAGATCTGGTTTACTGAACATTGTTTAGTGGTGACTAGACTGTTGTCCATTGTAGGGTATTCCTCACTAATTACTAGAGTGTCAGTACTGTTTGCTAGATCTGGTTTACTGTTGCTAGACATTGTTTAGTGGTGACTAGACTGTTGTCCATTGTAGGGTATTCCTCACTAATTACCAGTGTCAGTACTGTTGCTAGATCTGGTTTACTGAACATTGTTTAGTGGTGACTAGACTGTTGTCCATTGTAGGGTATTCCTCACTAATTACCAGTGTCAGTACTGTTGCTAGATCTGGTTTACTGAACATTGTTTAGTGGTGACTAGACTGTTGTCCATTGTAGGGTATTCCTCACTAATTACCAGTGTCAGTACTGTTGCTAGATCTGGTTTACTGAACATTGTTTAGTGGTGACTAGACTGTTGTCCATTGTAGGGCATTCCTCACTAATTACCAGTGTCAGTACTGTTGCTAGATCTGGTTTACTGAACATAGACTGTTTAGTGGTGACTAGACTGTTGTCCATTGTAGGGTATTCCTCACTAATTACCAGTGTCAGTACTGTTGCTAGATCTGGTTTACTGAACATTGTTTAGTGGTGACTAGACTGTTGTCCATTGTAGGGCATTCCTCACTAATTACCAGTGTCAGTACTGTTGCTAGATCTGGTTTACTGAACATTGTTTAGTGGTGACTAGACTGTTGTCCATTGTAGGGTATTCCTCACTAATTACCAGTGTCAGTACTGTTGCTAGATCTGGTTTACTGAACATTGTTTAGTGGTGACTAGACTGTTGTCCATTGTAGGGTATTCCTCACTAATTACCAGTGTCAGTACTGTTGCTAGATCTGGTTTATTGAACATTGTTTAGTGGTGACTAGGCTGTTGTCCATTGTAGGGCATTCCTCACTAATTACCAGTGTCAGTACTGTTGCTAGATCTGGTAGGTTAACGAAGAGTCCTTCCACATTTCAATCCTTCTACGACACCTGCAGTATGTGGTGTTCCACTTTGTTTAGTGCTGATGTTGCTTCTGAACACCAGGTAGATGACAGTCATGTAACAGCTTGTCATTTGCCTTTTTGTCTATTTTCTATGATGTTAAATGTGAGATAAGATCCATTTTCATTTGAATTTGTTACAGAATATATGTCAGATTGTTTCACTTAATATTCCTACTTACTTTCATTGATTGGGTAACACAGTCATTACGTGCCTATATTACAGCCTTGTCATGGTGTTTGTAACACTGTCATATGTGTCTGGGTTTCCAGGAGGACCTGTTTATACTGGCAGCTCACCATGTTGGCAGACTCAGAAAGATCAAGATTGGACATGACAGAGTGGAACTGAGTAAGTTCAAGGGAGTTGACGATATCATTCTACTGCACACTGATCCATTGACTGTGGTATTATGGCACTCTAGGATGTTGATTTAGCACACTGTATAAAACACACAGCAAATTTGTTGTCATTATAGCATGATGATGGTCGGAACTGTTCAGTATTGATGTATGTGACGTCTTGATTAAAGGTGTGCCACACTATGTTTGACAAGCTGCTGTATGTTTTCAGGCAATGCCTGGTTCCTGGACAGTGTCAGTGTGTATGACATGCATGATAAGCGGATCTATGAGTTCCCGTGCAACCAGTGGCTGTCCGAGCATGATGGGGACCGCCACACGTACAGAGTCCTGCCCATGGACAGGGACCGAGCTTTCATTGATGGTGAGTACAAGCTGTGAATGATGGGTAATATAAAATTTTAATCATTCTTGAAAGATAGCTCCAGTCAAACATTGTGCAGGCCAGCAGGTTAAGCTGGAATACTGTGAGTTCTAATAATTACTCATAGTCTTACCACACTGTTTAGCTGCTAGTGGTATTCAATTTGTTAATCAGAAAATTTGTGTGTGTCTCTTTTCATGGTGTGTAACAAAATATGGCCACCGCCACTGGTAGGCTACTGCTTTCTGATTGGCTCATTGTAGGTTGGTGCAGTATTGTGCTGAATGATGCCACTGATTGTCAGCAGGTTTTGTGTTAACGATTCAAGTCAGTGAAGGTCTTGTTGATATATATTTATAAGAATTTGAATGGTATGTTTGTATGTTAACTATGCCTTATGTGTCCAGCCCTAGAATCCCCAGGCGCCTCAAACAATAAATCCCGAAACCATCCAGAGACGTCGGAGGATGAGTCAGATCAGATTGTGGTCAAACATGGCAGAGAGAGTGTCAAGGCTCACAACAGCAAGGCCGGGGATAAGTCTGACCGGTCCTACACTGGATCGGAGGATTCCAGTTCCGAGTTCGAGTCAGAATCTGATGCAGATGAAACTGCTGTAGTTTCACCGAAGGACCAAAAAGACAAGAGATCCAGACCTAAGACGTATAAGGAAGAGGACAGATCCAAGTCTGGCCCGACCTTCACCTTTCGCACAAAGAAGTCAAAGACCCCTGCAACGAGACGTCAGACAGAGGAAAAGAGTGTGGATGAGGACACAAATACTACAAAGGAGGAGTTTCTGGCAGGATACAAGGTGACCAAGAAGTTTTGGCTTTACTTCAGTGTAAACTTAGACATGTGTTACCTGTCCACTCTGACAAGATTTTGTCAAGTTGATCTGATACTGTATAAGTTTATTACCATTCTGTTGTCATGAATAAAAAATAACAATAAGAACGATGCATGTATCAGAGTGGGAGGGATCCTTTGATGGCTGCAAAACCCATTAAACTTCAGTCACATGTCCGACTCCTACTGATAGATTGTTCACTGGCCAGGATGTGTGTTCCAGGCTGGCATCAGTGCAGCATCAGCAGAGAGTCAGAAGCAGGCAGAGGAGGAGCGGGCGCAGGAGTTGGAGCTGATGCAAGGGGAGACAGTGCATGACGCTGCACGCAGAGGGCACCTGGACCGACTCAAAGAGCTGCTTCATCACTTCCCTGACTTGAAGGAGTGAGTTGTGCTTGTGTACATGAAAGTCACATGACTTATAACAATTTAGGGCTAATTTCAAATGTCGTGTTGAGAGGCTTATTCATCATGCATTCTGAAAGTTTTAAGTATATATCAAAAAGCCTTCTAATTGTCTACTGGTTTGAAAAATTCTTGTGATGGTGATGTGGAAAAGTCAGTTGTGTCTGTAACTTTAAGAATGTCTGCTGTTTCCTGTTTCAGTGCAAAAGATGAGACAGGATGGACACCTTTACTTATCCTGACTCATGTATTATTGCTTGTCTCCTTCCTTTCCCGAACGTTAGTGGAACACTTGTATCTCCTTTTTGAAGCTCCCTTCAAAAAGCAGACGTAAAATCACTACTCACCACGAGTTGTCTCCCTCTCCGTTTTGGCGGGAAAACGGCGCCACCCGTCTTCCCACCTCTTCCCACTCTTCACTCTCTCCTTCTTCGCCCTAGTGGACGGTTGGGAGAGCACCTGTGTCTCCAACACGGCACTATATCCTTTGCTAACTTAGTTATTACCCTATAAGTTACCTTTATAAGGTTTCAGGGAGTATCCTTCTACAATATGGTTTGAAATTTATTAGCAAATTTGACTGTTTATTCACGGTTTCACGTGATTGTTCAGTTTGTTTACATTTCATGAAAACCTGTTTTCGTTGTAGGTTTAGGTTCTCTGCTGCAGACCCGCATTATTGTGCCCTAGTTGCACAACAATATGTACTTCCAGCTCTCGCTGTAAATTATGTCAGCAACTAACAAAATTGAATTTAATAATTATTATTTCTCTGTACTTAGAAACGTGCTAAGGATAAATCCAGGCGGCTGTTACAAGTCATGGCTAAACCGGCTGAGTCCCTTAAGAGCTGTCTGTCGTTGTCAGACGACATACTTCCATCCAGTGACCTGCCGGAGGCGTCTTCAGAAGATGGGCGTGGGATGAAGTCCGCCATTACGTCGAAGAAAAGATCTTCTACGTCGGACAACTCCTCAACCCATATGAAGAAGAAGAGGCCATCTTCGTCGCAGAAGAAGCCTTACACCCCTAAGGCTTCAACGAGATCTACTGGGAGCTCTTCACAGACTACAAGGACCTTCTCTGCCGAGATCGTCCCGATGGAAGAAATAGGCTTGTACGAAGAACCGCCTATCCTCATCCCAGAGATACTGCATAAGAAGAAGACGCAGGCCTCAGCAACGGTAACGTCAGCACAGTCTGAGTTACCTTCTACACTGGCAGCAGGGACCCATGAGGTACAGCGATCCCTGGACCATATCGCTACCCTCTCAGATGCGTCATCTCTACAGTCATCGCAGACATTCAACCCCGGGACCTTCATGCAGCAATTCTCCCAACAGATGATGGACCTGATGGAGAAGCGCTGCGCGCAGGAAAGGACCTTGCATGATGGTCAGGCAGCCGCCTCTCATGCTCAAGTCAGGACCAGTGCTGCACGAAGGACCCCGCACCGGTGGTGCATCTGAGATATCTACAAGAGGTTCTAGCTCTAGGACTAAGAGCAGACCTACCCTGCACGACGTCAACGAACCTGCGCGAAGGAAGGGACATTCATCCGACCAAAATAGATCGTCATCTGATGATGAAGCTAATGAAGAGCCTTCGCGCAGGCTACCTACATCACAGAGAGGCTTACACCTCCAAGAAGATACAGAGAGACGTCTCAGGACTCAGACCCTCAACAAAATCTCTCACCTGCGCGAAGGTCGTCAGATAGATCATCAAGAATGTCACCATCACCATGCAGGTCGTCACGGGATTCACCACATAGGAATATATTGCCTTCGCGAAGGCAACCCCGGACACGTAGACGCTCACCTCCACGCAGGTCGCCATACAGATCTCCTCTTAGAACTACACATAGTTCTACGTACGCATCTCCACACAGATTGCCACGCAGATCTCCATGCAGGGAGGATACTCAACGATCATATCCAACTGGACATGATACAGAGGACGATGGCGGAATCATATTTTCGGACTCAGAAATAAAATATTGGATGGCTAATGGACTGGACCTAGCGTCACCCGCTAAAGAAAAGAATGAAGCATTCACGTACCTAATGAAGGACGATGATGTAGACACAATCACCCTACCTCCAATTGACCCGGTCTCGGACGTACCTGAGGACCTTGACGCAGCCTTCAGGAAGGCAACAAAGTTCCAGTCTCCAAATATCCCACAGTTCAACGCAAAAAGCCGCAACACTCTCAGATGCGTCACTACATCTGCAGTCGTCGCAGACCTTCAACACGGGTATTTTTATGCAGCAAATGATGGACCTAATGGACGGTTCGCGCAAGCCTAAAGGACGAAGCTGCGGGAGGTAATCGGCATGAAGAAATGTGTGAAGGATCACGCACTTGACAGTCATGCTCTGCAGTTTCGACGATTAATATAGACGTCATTGGACCATCCCACTTCACCCTCAGACCTTGATCTTCGTTGTGAGCCTATACGAAGGAACTCTTCAGCATGGAGGAAGAGATCTTCGCCTGCGCAAAGACAGAGGGACACGTGTTGAAGTTCAAGAGGGGTACTCTTGTCCGAATTCATCACCTGCGCAGATCTTCAGACTGAATCCAGGACGGGATTCACATCGTTGAGAAATTTTAGATAGATATATCTACATCAGAAGATAATAACGGGACTCATGTCCATATAGAGATCTTCACTTGCGTACAGATCTTCAGGTATTCACATTGGCGTGGTTCAGCACAGCCTTGCTAAGGCTATGAAGTTACAAAGTCAACATATTCCCAACGTCCAAGCTTGGGAATTCCCGCTACTTTACATGGGACCCTGCATAAAGGCTCCAGAGATTGATGTAAACTACAAAATCATCAACGACTCCCTTTGTAGAACTTACAACAAAGTTGAGCATCAACTCTACAAGAACCTGTGTGTTTCAACACAAAGAGGGTATTTTACGACGCTTCATTGAGATCGATGAATGCAGTCTACAAGTGGCAGCGCTGAGGAGGTGTAGAATTCAGCTGATCATCTGTATAAAAGGACGACTGCCTTATCTTCAGGTCTGAAGTAACAGTCACAGCAGCCAGGAAAACAGCCTACCTACATCGGTATTACGCGGCGAAATCTTTCGCGCGTTTACCATTCAACCCTCTATACACGTGGTCACTCGTGTAACTCCGGAAGGCTACGGACAAGACCGAGTGTTGATAAGATATCAACGACTGCACAAGATTCTACAAGGACCTTTTTTCTGCTACACCGGTGACGTCACATCGCGGGAAGCTAAAGGAATCAAAATGCTTCATTTTGATTGGTCCATGAGAGACAACGCCCTGCGCAGAAGTCGGACGTAGTTCACATGTCAGGGAATTGTTTACAAGTGACAACAACCTTTCAACGTGGGAGGAAGGCCTCAATTACAGTCCAGTTAGACGGGAACTACGTGATTCGGCTGTCTTCACAGGGTTAGAGACCTTCCCTGTCAGCATTGAAGACGGTTCATCAGGCGAATTGCAGCAACATACGTTTGACAGACTTTTGGTTACGGGCAGCCAGTCTACTTTATATAGACTTCACAACGATGGCAGTCACAGAGTCGGACATTGCTTCGTTTCCCTTACGGACATGGCAAGGGTTTCACGATCGTTGGATCTAGATACAAGCCATTGTATCTCAAGCACTACTCTCTCCGTTATTACTACGAAGTTGGCAGAGCCTACTCAGTCCTCAAGTCGGAACTAGAGCCTACACAGGACCTGCAGTTCCTAGCAATTCGGCTCATCACAACAGAAAACCGCATAACAGTACCAGAGGACCGTTGGCTAAAGATACAACAGATGGTATCGCAAGCTCTACTCTCTCCGTGGCCACTTCGACAGTGGCAGTGTCTGTTGGGTCTCCTCACGTCAGCACAAGATATGACGCGCAGAGGGAGATTACAACTACGCCCACTACAGGTCTTCGTAATTGCACATCTGGACGATCCGGACCCCTTCGGACTCCCGGACAGACTAAAACCATATCTACTATGGTGGACTCAGAGATCGAATGTTTGCGGAGGCACCTACTTAGCAGAGCCGGAGTGCAAAACGCATCTCTATGTGGACGCATCTCTCCAAGGATGGGGAGCACACCTCGACAACGAAGTGTCAGCTGGGAAATGGACGTTACAAGAGAAAGATCTGCATATCAACATGCTAGAAATGAAAGCAGTGATAAACGCCATACTTCACTGGACCAGCATTCTAAAAAATGCTCATCTAACGGTACACACGGACAACTCCACAGTGGCGTTCTACATAAACAAACAAGGATCAACAAGGTCGGCGAACCTTCTGAACCTTTGCTTTCATCTGTTCAGCATAACAGACAATCTGAACATCCACATAAAAGCATGTCACATTCCAGGAGCCAAGAATGTGATAGCAGACGCACTATCTCGTCCAACTCAGCCATCCCCAACAGAATGGATGCTACATCCAGAAATCTTCAAATGGACCATACAAGAGATAGGAGCGCCACTAATAGACTTGTTTGCCACAAGATTCAACAATCAACTGGTAACATTCGTCTCTCCAATACCAGATCCACGAGCATGGGCAACAGATGCTCTAAGCATCTCTTGGGAAGGACTAAACGCTTACGCGTTCCCGCCACCAGCTCTAATACCGAAAGTGTTGCAGAAAATCATGCAGACGAGGAACCTGCAACTGATTTTGATCGGGCCTTTACTGGCCAGCGAGAATATGGTTCCCCATTCTCATACAAGAACTAGGACCGCCTCAACTGCAACTACCAGAGTGGACGAACTTGCTAGTACATCCACACACAAAGCAAGCACACGGCAACCCCAAAGTGTTCCGCCTACACGCATGGACCGTATCAAGGCGTGCTTGAATAAGAGAGGATATTCCGCCAGGGCAGCTAAAGCGGTCACGCTAGCTTTACGCAAATCAACACGCAACTTGTACGACAACAAGTGGCGAAGCTTTGAGACCTACGCTTTGAAAACAGGCTTCACAGCCATGAAAGCGACACACCCTCAAGTGGCGGACTATCTTTGTCACCTAAGACAAACGAAGCGGTTAAAAGGGTCAACACTCTCAACATTCCTAGTGGCACTGAGCTCAGTTATCACTATGAGGACGAGTGTAAAACTGAGTTAGGTACCAGAGTTACTGGCCTTACTACGCTCTTTTAAATTGGAGGACCAACAACAGAGATTTAAAGCTCCGGCTTGGGACCTCAACATAGTTCTACGGCATCTCACCAGTGACGCTTATGAACCATTAGATAGGACATCTTTTGAGTTCTTGACACAGAAAACTCTATTCCTGATTGCCTTAGCAACAGCAGCAAGGATGTCGGAAATACATGCTCTAGACTTTGAAAGGACACGATTTGATGAAAATCGAAACATCGTACATATGGGACTGAGATGGGACTTTATAGCAAAGAATCAACTGCCAGGTCAACCGGACAGACAATTCCACATCCCAGCATTATCATCAGTCCTTGGGCCACAGGATACACAGGACCTATCCTTGTGCCCAGTAAGAGCATTAAAAGTCTACCTACAAAGGTCTAGGACCAGGAGACGAAAATTCAAGCGTCTTTTCATCCCTATATCGGCAGAGACACAGACAGAGATCTCTCGCACTACGATATCAATATGGATGAGAACTGTCATGCTACGGGCCTACAAAGCAGCAGGACTTGATTCTCCACGAGCCTCCAATCCACATGAAATTAGAGCTCTGGCGTCAACACTCGCTCTACATGGGAATTGCTCTATCACAACGATAATGGAGGGCTGCTTCTGGAAATCGGACATGGTGTTTGCCAACCACTACCTGAGAGACATCGCCACTGAAGACGTCTCTGGCATTCACCATTTCGGCCCCCTTGTTGTAGCACAACAACTGACAGTTCCACAGAGGCGCTGAGACAGAGTCTCGCCCTTTTATCACATGACTTGCAAAAGCCAACACTCAGGAGAGTTACAGCTTTGGAGTCTATATGCACGTCTAAGACAGACTAGCATGAGTGATAAGACCCAGTACTTGTAAGGACGTACTCGTACATAAGAAGGGTCGCTTCTCCACTTGATGCATGCATCAAGAGATGGAGTTGTTAAAATCCACATATAATGTTAACAGAAGCAAGGACCAAAAGTTAACAATTGTGGTCCCCCCATCAGAGAAAGCTGGAAGTAAGGGTTACAGCAGCAGCAGAGCCTAGCAGTAAATTGAAGTGCTACCAGGAAGTTCCCATAGGGGGGTATGCAAGACGTAAATCACCAAATTGGAATCCAGAAGTGGCTTGACCCACCACCAAATCCGTAGGATTCTACAAGCAATAATACATGAGTCAGGATAAGGAAAAATATGTAATTTTCTGAGTAAAATTGATATTTTATACTTATCCTGACTCATGAGGTAAGCCCTCCCAACCTCCCCGCTAGGCACTTTGGATTTCCCAGCAAATCTAAGTGTCGGGCTTGCAATTCGGAGAGAGTGAAGAGTGGGAAGACGGGTGGTGCCGTTTTTCCGCCAAAACGGAGAGGGAGACAACTCGTGGTGAGTAGTGATTTTACGTCTGCTTTTTTGAAGGAGCTTCAAAAAGGAGATACAAGTGTTCCACTAACGTTCAGGAAAGGAAGGAGACAAGCAATAATACATGAGTCAGGATAAGTATAAAATATCAATTGTTGTGGCCTCCTTGTGGCTATGATGACCTTGATGGTCTAAGGTATGACTGTTGTGGCCTCCTTGTGGCTATAATGACCTTGATGGTCTAAGGTATGACTGTTGTGGCCTCCTTGTGGCTATAATGACCTTGATGGTCTAAGGTATGACTGTATTGGCCTCCTTGTGGCTATGATGACCTTGATGGTCTAAGGTATGACTGTATTGGCCTCCTTGTGGCTATAATGACCTTGATGGTCTAAGGTATGACTGTATTGGCCTCCTGATGACCTTGATGGTCTAAGGTATGACTGTTGTGGCCTCCTTGTGGCTATAATGACCTTGATGGTCTAAGGTATGACTGTTGTGGCCTCCTTGTGGCTATAATGACCTTGATGGTCTAAGGTATGACTGTTGTGGCCTCCTTGTGGCTATGATGACCTTGATGGTCTAAGGTATGACTGTTGTGGCCTCCTTGTGGCTATGATGACCTTGATGGTCTAAGGTATGACTGTTGTGGCCTCCTTGTGGCTATAATGACCTTGATGGTCTAAGGTATGACTGTTGTGGCCTCCTTGTGGCTATGATGACCTTGATGGTCTAAGGTATGACTGTTGTGGCCTCCCTCCTGTGGCTATGATGACCTTGATGGTCTAAGGTATGACTGTTGTGGCCTCCTTGTGGCTATGATGACCTTGATGGTCTAAGGTATGACTGTATTGGCCTCCTTGTGGCTATGATGACCTTGATGGTCTAAGGTATGACTGTATTGGCCTCCTTGTGGCTATGATGACCTTGATGGTCTAAGGTATGACTGTTGTGGCCTCCTTGTGGCTATAATGACCTTGATGGTCTAAGGTATGACTGTTGTGGCCTCCTTGTGGCTATAATGACCTTGATGGTCTAAGGTATGACTGTTGTGGCCTCCTTGTGGCTATGATGACCTTGATGGTCTAAGGATGGTCTGACTGACTGTGTGGCCTCCTTGTGGCTATAATGACCTTGATGGTCTAAGGTATGACTGTTGTGGCCTCCTTGTGGCTATAATGACCTTGATGGTCTAAGGTATGACTGTTGTGGCCTCCTTGTGGCTATAATGACCTTGATGGTCTAAGGTATGACTGTATTGGCCTCCTTGTGGCTATAATGACCTTGATGGTCTAAGGTATGACTGTTGTGGCCTCCTTGTGGCTATGATGACCTTGATGGTCTAAGGTATGACTGTTGTGGCTATAATGGTGCTGTTTTCTCCACAGTGGATATCTGGAATGTGTCAAGTGGCTTGTGGCTAATCGCGCACGTATTGATGCAGAAGACAGCTTCAAGAGGACAGCCATTGACCATGGCAAATGACAGAGGGAAAACAGAGGTGGCTGAGTTCCTGAGTGCATGTCTGAGAGAGCTAAAAAACCCTCACAGCAGCTTTGCCCAGATGCATGCTGCCAACCAGGGGTAGGTCTGCATTTCACTACACACACCTCCACCCACGGGTAGGTCTTCCTTCTACCACAAACACCTCCACCCAAGGGTAGGTCTGCCTTCCACCACAAACACCTCCACCCAAGGGTAGCTCTGCCTTCCGCCCCGAACACCTCCACCCATGGGTAGATTTTCCTTCCACTGCAAACACCTCCACACACGGGTAGATCTTCCTTCCACTACACACACCTCCACCCAGGTCTTCCTTCCAAACAGCTCCACCCGGGTCTTCCTTAGTCCATCAAGGGTAAGTTCCTTCCACCACAAACACCTCCACGGGTAGGTCTTCCTTCCACCACAAACACCTCCACCCATCTTCCTTCCACTACAAACACCTCCAACCAAGGGTAGGTCTTCTTTCCACCACAAACACCTCCTCTGCCTTCCACCACAAACACCTCCACCCACGGTAGGTCTTCCTTCCACCACAAGCCTCCAGCCACACTTCCACCACAAACACCTCCACCCATGGGTAGATCTTCCTTCCACTACAAACACCTCCACCCAAGGGTAGATCTTCCTTCCACCACAAACACCTTCACCCATGGGTAGATCTGCCTTCCACTACAAACACCTCCACCCAAGGGAGGTCTGCCTTCCACCACAAACACCTTCACCCATGGGTAGGTCTTCCTTCCACCGCAAGCACCTCCACCCACGGGTAGATCTTCCTTCAACTACAAACACCTCCACCCAAGGGAGGTCTGCCTTCACACCTTCACCCAGGGTAGATCTTCCTTCCTTCCACCCACGGTAGATCTTCCTTCAACTACAAACACCTCCACCCAAGGGAGGTCTGCCTTCCACCACACACACCTTCACCCATGGGTAGATCTTCCTTCCACCGCAAACACCTCCACCCAAGGGTAGGTCTGCCTTCTACCACAAACACCTCCACCAAGGGTAGATTTTCCTTCCACCACAAACACCTCCACCCAAGGGTAGGTCTTCCTTCCACCACAAACACCTCCACCCAAGGGTAGGTCTGCCTTCTACCACAAACACCTCCACCAAGGGTAGATCTTCCTTCCACCACAAACACCTCCACCCAAGGGAAGATCTTCCTTCCACCACAAACACCTCCACCCAAGGGTAGATCTTCCTTCCACCACAAACACCTCCACCCAAGGGTAGGTCTGCCTTCTACCACAAACACCTCCACCAAGGGTAGATTTTCCTTCCACCACAAACACCTCCACCCAAGGGTAGGTCTTCCTTCCACCACAAACACCTCCACCCAAGGGTAGGTCTGCCTTCTACCACAAACACCTTCACCCAAGGGTAGATCTTCCTTCCACCACAAACACCTCCACCCAAGGGTAGGTCTTCCTTCCACTACACAGGCATCCAACCAGGGTAAATGCACAAAGTGTATTTACATATATTTTTATGTTTATGATGCATAAATACTGTTTAGTATTGAAGTCAATGCTTGTAATTCACATGACCAACTACTTATTCAATCATTTACACACAAATGTAATTCAAATACAAAATGAAAAAGTGATACAAGCGATGCTGCTCAAGAAGCAGTAATCTGTTAGTTGGTCTGGACCATACTTTTACATTCATGGCAAAAGTGCTTGGTCACTATGTAAATGTGAAGGAATCATTTCAATTTAAATCTTTTTCAGTAAATGACTTGATTGTTATACACTTTCAGATCTGGTGAGAGGTCGGACCGAGATATTGACAGCAGCTGGAGAGATGACAAGGTTAGTCATGGACCACATACTGGCTCCTGCCATGTGCAGGGACAGAACTCACACAGATAATGTCAATTCTCAAAAATGTGTCTTCTCATAGGAATGAATGACAAGTCGTTATTGTACAATAGCGACGTTTCGGTTTAGATGTGGAATGAACGTCCAGCTGAACTGAAAAGTGCAAAATCAAGGGATTCATTCAAAACATAAATAAATTAAGACACACCTATTCAGACAATATTTCAGCTTTGAACCCTCGACACCCCAATATTCAGTATCTTAGCTTTTACTGTCTTTTTAAGCATCAGTTTTTATCATTGTGTAATTTTTCTGTAAAGCACCACTGAGCAGCAAATAACCTGGATATTAGGCGCTATACAAATAAATTGTCATTCATTCATTCATTCATTCTCATACCGTTTTCAAGCATGAGGGTATAAGTATTTATACCAAAACATCGCTATTGTACAATAAAGAAGTTGATCATCCACAAAAACTTGTGGTTGTCCTGTAGACGGTGTGGTTGTCCTGTAGACAGTGGGGTTGTCCTGTAGTCAGTGGGGTTGTCCTGTAGACTGTGTGGTTGTCCTGTAGACAGTGTGGTTGTCCTGTAGACTGTTTGGTTGTCCTGTAGTGAGTGGGGTTGTCCTGTAGACTGTGTGGTAGACTGTGTGGTTGTCCTGTAGACTGTGTGGTTGTCCTGTAGTGAGTGGGGTTGTCCTGTAGACTGTGTGGTTGTCCTGTAGACAGTGTGGTTGTCCTGTAGACAGTGTGGTTGTCCTATAGACAGTGGGGTTGTACTGTAGACAGTGTGGTTGTCCTGTAGACGGTGTGGTTGTCCTGTAGACAGGGGGGTTGTCCTGTAGTCAGTGGAGTTGTCCTATACTCAGTGGGGTTGTCCTGTAGTTGGTAGGGTTGTCCTGTAGACAGTGGGGTTGTCCTGTAGACTGTGTGGTTGTCCTGTAGACAGTGGGGTTGTCCTGTAGTTAGTGCGGTTGTCCTGTAGACAGTGTGGTTGTCCTGTAGACTGTCTGGTTGTCCTGCAGACTGTGTGGTTGTCCTGTAGACGGTGTGGTTGTCCTGTAGACGGTGTGGTTGTCCTATAGACAGTGGGGTTGTACTGTAGACGGTGTGGTTGTCCTTTTGACGGTGTGGTTGTCCTGCAGACAGTGTGGTTGTCCTGTAGTAAGTGCGGTTGTCCTGTAGTCAGTGGGGTTGTCCTGCAGACAGTGTGGTTGTCCTGCAGACAGTGTGGTTGTCCTGCAGACAGTATGGTTGTCCTGTAGTAAGTGTGGTTATCCTGCAGACAGTGCGGTTGTCCTGCAGACAGTGTGGTTGTCCTGCAGAGAGTGGGGTTGTACTGCAGACAGTGGGGTTGTCCTGCAGACAGTGGGGTTGTCCGGTAGACAGTGGGGTTGTCCTGCAGACAGTGTGGGTGTCCTGTAGTCAGTGGGGTTGTCCTGTAGACAGCGAGGTTGTCCTGTAGTCAGTCTGTTTGTCCTGTAGTAAGTGCTGTTGTCCTGTTGTCAGTGGGGTTGTCATGTAGTCAGTGTCGTTGTCCTGCAGACAGTGTGGTTGTCCTGCAGACAGTGGGGTTGTCCTGCAGACAGTGGGGTTGTCCTGCAGACGGTGTGATTGTCCTGTAGTCAGTGTCGTTATCCTGCAGTCAGTGGGGTTGTCCTGCAGACAGTGGGGTTGTCCTGCAGACGGTGTGGTTGTCCTGTAGACAGTGGGGTTGTCCTGGAGAGAGTTCGGTTGTCCTGTAGTCAGTGTGGTTGTCCTGCAGTCAGTGTGGTTGTCCTGCAGTCAGCGAGGTTGTCCTGTAGTCAGTCTGTTTGTCCTGTAGTAAGTGCGGTTGTCCTGTAGTCAGTGGGGTTGTCCTGCAGACAGTGGGGTTGTCCTACAGACAGTGTGGTTGTCCTGTAGACAGTGTGGTTGTCCTGCAGACAGTGTGGTTGTCCTGTAGACAGCGAGGTTGTCCTGTAGTCAGTCTGTTTGTCCTGTAGTCAGTGTGGTTGTCCTGCAGTCAGTGTGGTTGTCCTGTAGACAGTGTGATTGTCCTGTAGACAGTGGGGTTGTCCTGTAGACAATGGGGTTGTCATGTAGACAGTGTGGTTGTCCTGTAGACAGTGGGGTTGTCCTGTAGTTGGTAGGGTTGTCCTGCAGACAGAGTGGTTGTCCTCTAGACAGTGTGGTTGTCCTGTAGACAGTGTGGTTGTCCTGCAGACAGTGGGGTTGTCCTGCAGACGGTGTGGTTGTCCTGTAGTCAGTGTCGTTGTCCTGCAGTCAGTGGGGTTGTCCTGTAGACAGTGTGGTTGTCCTGTAGACAGTGTGGTTGTCCTGTAGACAGTGTGGTTGTCCTGTAGACAGTGGAGTTGTCCTGTAGTTGGTAGGGTTGTCCTGCAGACAGTGTGGTTGTCCTGTAGACAGTGTGGTTGTCCTGTAGACAGTGGGGTTGTCCTGTAGACAGTGTGGTTGTCCTGTAGACAGTGTGGTTGTCCTGTAGACAGTGGGGTTGCCCTGTAGTTGGTAGGGTTGTCCTGCAGACAGTGTGGTTGTCCTGCAGACAGTGTGGTTGTCCTGCAGTCAGTGTGGTTGTCCTGTAGACAGGTGGGTTGTCCTGTAGACAGTGTGGGTGTCCTGTAGACAGTGGGGTTGTCCTGCAGACGGTTTGGTTGTCCTGTAGACAGTGTGGTTGTCCTGCAGACAGTGTGGTTGTCCTGTAGACAGTGTGGTTGTCCTGTAGACAGAGGGGTTGTCTTGCAGACAGTGGGGTTGTCCTGCAGACAGTGTGGTTGTCCTGTAGACAGTTGGGTTGTCCTGCAGAGAGTGTGGTTGTCCTTTAGTCAGTGTGGTTGTGCTGTAGTCAGTGTTGTTGTCCTGTAGACAGTGTGGTTGTCCTGCAAACAGTGTAGATGTCCTGCAGACAGTCTGTTTGTCCTGTAGTAAGTGCTGTTGTCCTGTAGTCAGTGGGGTTGTCCTGTAGTCAGTGTTGTTGTCCTGCAGACAGTGTGGTTGTCCTGTAGACAGTGGGGTTGTCCTGTAGACAGTGTGGTTGTCCTGTAGACAGTGGGGTTGTCCTGCAGAGAGTGTGGTTGTCCTGTAGTCAGTGTGGTTGTCCTGCAGTCAGTGTGGTTGTCCTGAAGTCAGTTGGGTTGTCCTGTAGACAGTGTGGTTGTCCTGTAGACAGTGGGGTTGTCCTGTAGACTGTGTGGTTGTCCTGTAGACAGTGGGGTTGTCCTGTAGTAAGTGGGGTTGTCCTGCAGACAGTGGGGTTGTCCTGCAGTCAGTGGGGTTGTCCTGTAGACAGTGGGTTGTCCTGTAGACAGTGTGGTTGTCCTGTAGACAGGTTGTCCTGTAGATAGCGAGGTTGTCCTGAAGTCAGTTGGGTTGTCCTGTAGACAGTGTGGTTGTCCTGTAGACATTGGGGTTGTCCTGTAGACTGTGTGGTTGTCCTGTAGTTGGTAGGGTTGTCCTGTAGACAGTGTGGTTGTCCTGTAGACTGTGTGGTTGTCCTGTAGACAGGGGGGTTGTCCTGTAGTTAGTGCGGTTGTCCTGTAGACCGTGGGGTTGTCCTGTAGTAAGTTGGGTTGTCCTGCAGACGGTGTGGTTGTCCTGTAGACAGTGTGGTTGTCCTGTAGACAGTGTGGTTGTCCTGCAGACAGTGTGGTTGTCCTGCAGACAGTGTGGTTGTTCTGCAGACAGTGGGGTTGTCCTGCAGACAGTGGGAATGTCCTGTAGACAGTGGGGTTGTCCTGTAGACAGTAGTGTGGTTGTCCTGTAGACAGTGTGGTTGTCCTGTAGACAGTGGGGTTGTCCTGTAGACTGTGTGGTTGTCCTGTAGACAGTGGGGTTGTCCTGCAGACAATGTGGTTGTCCTGTAGACAGTGGGGTTGTCCTGCAGACAGTGTGGTTATCCTGTAGACAGTTGGGTTGTCCTGCAGACAGTGTAGATGTCCTGCAGACAGTCTGTTTGTCCTGTAGTAAGTGCTGTTGTCCTGCAGTCAGTGGGGTTGTCCTGTAGACAGTGCCGTTGTCCTGCAGACAGTGGGGTTGTCCTGCAGACAGTGGGGTTGTCCTGTAGACAGTGGGGTTGTCCTGTAGACAGTGGGGTTGTCCTGCAGAGAGTGTGGTTGTCCTGTAGTCAGTGTGGTTGTCCTGCAGTCAGTAGGGTTGTCCTGTAGACAGTGGGGTTGTCCTGTAGACAGTGGGGTTGTCCTGTAAACAGTAGGGTTCTCCTGCAGAGAGTGGGGTTGTCCTGTAGACAGTGGGGTTGTCCTGCAGACAGTGGGGTTGTCCTGCAGTCAGTGGGGTTGTCCTGTAGACAGTGGGGTTGTCCTGTAGACAGTGTTGTTGTCCTGCAGACAGTGTGGTTGTCCTGTAGTCAGTGTGGTTGTCCTGAAGTCAGTTGGGTTGTCCTGTAGACAGTGTGGTTGTCCTGTAGTAAGTTGGGTTGTCCTGTAGACCATGTTCTTGTCTTTCAACAGGGCAGCAGTGTGTCCCAGGATGCAGCAGCAGGGAGTGATGATGAGTCCAGCATCGCTGTCAAGAGAGTAAGCTCCCCAGAACTTAAGGTAACACAAACTTACTACTCAAAATTGATAGAGATGATAGACATAGACAGTACTGCTCAATATTGATAGGGGTGAGATGTACTGCTCAATATTGATAGGGGTGATAGACATAGATGTACTGCTCAATATTGATAGGGATGATAGACATAGATGTACTGCTCAATATTGATGGGGGTGAGATGTACTACTCAATATTGATAGGGATGATAGACATAGATGTACTGCTCAATATTGATAGGGATGATAGACATAGATGTACTGCTCAATATTGATAGGGATGAGATGTACTGCTCAATATTGATAGGGATGATAGACATAGATGTACTGCTCAATATTGATGGGGGTGAGATGTACTGCTCAAAACTGATAAGGATGATAGACATAGATGTACTGCTCAATATTGATAGGGATGATAGACATAGATGTACTGCTCAATATTGATAGGGGTGAGATGTACTACTCAATATTGATAGGGATGATAGACATAGATGTACTGCTCAATATTGATGGGGGTGAGATGTACTACTCAATATTGATAAGGATGATAGACATAGATGTACTGCTCAATATTGATGGGGGTGAGATGTACTACTCAATATTGATAGGTGTGAGATGTACTACTCAATATTGATAGGGGTGAGATGTACTACTCAATATTAAATAGGGGGGAGATGTACTACTCAATATTGATAAGGGTGAGATGTACTACTCAATATTGATAGGGGTGAGATGTACTTCTCAATATTGATAAGGGTGAGATGTACTACTCAATATTGATAGGGGTGAGATGTACTGCTCAATATTGATAGGGGTGAGATGTACTACTCAATATTGATAGGGGTGAGATGTACTGCTCAGTTGATAAGGGTGAGATGTACTGCTCAATATTGATAGGAGTGAGATGTACTGCTCAATATTGATAGGGGTGAGATGTACTGTTCAATATTGATAGGGGTGAGATGTACTACTCAATATTGATAGGTGTTAGATGTACTACTCAATATTGATAGGGGTGAGATGTACTACTCAATATTAAATAGGGGGAGATGTACTACTCAATATTGATAAGGGTTAGATGTACTACTCAATATTGATAAGGGTTAGATGTACTACTCAATATTGATAGGGGTGAGATGTACTGCTCAATATTGATAGGGGTGAGATGTACTGCTCAATATTGATAGGGGTGAGATGTACTGCTCAATATTGATAGGGATGAGATGTACTGCTCAATATTGATAGGGGTGAGATGTACTACTCAATATTGATAAGGATGATAGACATAGATGTACCGCTCAATGTTGATAGGGGTGAGATGTACTGCTCAATATTGATAGGGGTGAGATGTACTGCTCAATATTGATAAGGATGATAGACATAGATGTACTGCTCAAAACTGATAAGGGTGAGATGTACTACTTAATATTGATAAGGGTGAGATGTACTGCTCAATATTGATAAGGGTGAGATGTACTGCTCAATATTGATAGGGGTGAGATGTACTACTTAATATTGATAAGGGTGAGATGTACTGCTCAATATTGATAAGGGTGAGATGTACTACTCAATATTGATAGGGGTGAGATGTACTGCTCAATATTGATAGGGGTGAGATGTACTACTCAATATTGATAGGGGGAGATGTACTGCTCAATATTGATAAGGATGATAGACATAGACGTACTGCTCTAAATTGCTATTGTGACACATTTCTCATCTTTATGTAAATGCTACATGGCTCCATCCCATATTTTCAGGAGAAGAAGCGGCTGTACAATGAACAGCATCACAAAATGGAGGAGCGAGGCCTGTCCTTCCTTGACAGTATCCGACAGGACCTGGACTCCTAGGTCCTGCAGCCCACAGTCCGCTGCAGGCCATTTATTTTTGTATCAAGGTCAAGGACATAAACTGATATTTTCTAACTTGTGAATGTTCCTGATGAAGACAAAATTGTGCCCTATAGGGTATATTTGATATAACAGTAGTAATGAAGTGTAATAATATGGAATTACTTTAGCATCAATGGAAGGGGAATTAATTATCATTGAAAAAGTCTGAAATTATTGAAACTTGTCTTCCTATTCAATGTGACATGAAAATTTATCTTGATCTGTGCTTTTGAAGGAGATCTCATGGGAAATGCAGGCATTGGTTTCATAGAAAATATTGTTATATAAACGAGAGCATTGAGTAAACATGAAAGTGTCTATTCCTGTAAAGCAGTTTTTGCTATGTTGTGTTTATATAAGGAGTATTTATTTATCAGTTTCATGTACATGTCAATATCCAAGTATGCCTTCATTTCAGATGTCTCATACATATTGTTCATTGACTGTTGATGTCCATTTCATCTATTTCATAAGATATCTTACATATTTCAAGTTCTTGTTTCCTAACGTTGATGTTTTAACGCTGGTAGCGTCGATGTTGTGATGATGGTGACCTTCATTCATGTGCCTACAGATGTAACCAAAGCCTTCAAGTACAAGCTCATTGTTACCTCGTATAGCTATCCACAGTTTACTTTGATTCATGTAATTCCTAGCAGTATTCTTCACCTGAAATGTCAGAGATGTTGTGTGGCCATTACGTTACAACATACAGTGAAGCCTTGTTGTCTGGAAGTCCATCATACTGTTCCATGTATGGAATCAGTGGATAGTGGAGTGGTGGCAATAGGGTTGCTTAATTACTTCCTCTTGTTCCATCAAATGATCATGTGACAATTTTAAGTACACACTAAAATGCAAAATATCTGTCAAGTGTCCCTGTTCAGTGTTGTGACAGAAGTAGACAGGTGTAAAGCTTTACTGGATGGTTGCTGCCAGAGAATGTTCAGCACAGCTGAGTGCAGATGTCTCATGATCAGTAGCATTTAGAGAGGGATGGAGAGGTCTCACGGAATATGGAGTATTATGGAGGTTCAGACCACATGGTTTCCCTGTAACACTTTCATGGCCTCATGGAGAAATTGTGACCAAGGACTGACATATTAGAACATGGAAACAATTTCTGGTATTTTATATTTTTAAGTACCTAATTTTTATTGTCAGCTTTGTCGCTTTCATCATTTCATTAGCTATACAAGAACTGAAAGATATTGGAGGGGGGATATTGTTAGTAGAATTTTTGTTAATATACAAAGTATCTGTGATAAGTTTGAACGAACACCCTGTGTGGCTGAAAGATGTATTAATCTCTTGCTTACTTCGACATAGTCATGCTGCCATTTGTGTTTTGTTAGTTCAGCCATTCAGGGATGCGGAACGAAGAATCAAAGCAGTTTGCTCTGTCTTCAGTTTCCATTTTTTTCTGTCATTAAATATCTATTATATCCATGGTGTTTGCATGACTTATAACTACTTAACATTGTGAGCCCCATATGAACACACTGGCACACACACTGTGTGAGCTGGTTGTAACACCACTTGCAACAATCGCGGTTATCTATCTAAGTCTAACAGCTTGGCATGAATGGAAAGACTCTATGAAGCCGGTACCAGTTTAGTGAAACCCACAGGCTTGGTTGCTGTATACACAGCAAGAAACAAAATACATGTATGTGAAAATATGCAGTTCATGTCAACAATCACAGGCTGACAGATTGTTGGGACACCTTGAGGACAAGACCGCCTCCGTGGTGTAGTGGTTAGAGTGTCTGCCCGGAGAGCGGAAGGTTGCGGGTTCGATCCCCGACCGCATCATACCAAAAGACGTTAAAATATGGTACCTGTTGGTCCCTGCCTGGCGCTCGGCATTAATGGGCACAACAAAGACTGGTCAGCTCGGAGTCAGCATAAAGTGTCTGAGTGTGGTATTCATGCTTCACTGCGGCATGGTATCTCAGTGGGCTAGCACTATAAAACCGGCTTCAGTCTGGGATAGCAAGCAAGCACGCACGCACACACACACACACACACACACACACACATACGTGTGTCATAAGAGCCGAAATATTCTCAGCCCAGCCATGGAGACGTTAAACCCAATTTCACCTCACCTCATTTTGAGGACAACTAGCCGAGCAATGGAGAACACAGATTATTGGGATAGTTAGGGACACAACAGGTTTATTTTATGCTTAATGGCTAAGCAAAGGGCAACTCTGACATATAACAACAAAACAGAATGCAGACATTATTAAAAATATTTTTTAATGTTCCTTATCAAAGGATAAATATCTGAATAAAATATTGTAGACAAAGTCATAAAAAAGTAACTGATGAACACAAAAGCATGATGCAACAATTGTATAGTTCCAGTAGTAGTCTGTCTGTTGCAGCAACCCAGCTGGTTTCTCTTCTGTAGGCCAGCCTTGTCATTGGAGCGTGTGCTCAGTCACTGTCAGCAGTCATATTAACTCTTGTCACAGCAAAGGTGTGAACCTCCATTCTACTATACCCAGACAAAACATACCTACAATGAGAGTCACCCTGCTTCCGTAACTGGCCAGGATTAACTGTCAATACAAGTGAACTCAAGGCAACATTTGTCAACACTTGCAACAAAATAGGCAACACCACTGTATGTCCCACAGATGGCCAATCGTATTATGCCAAGAAGCAGGGGAGGTTACTGACAGGCCAGTCAGATTGCTTGTCATTGAACATATATAAAATGAGTCACTGGATGATTGATTTGGGTTTTAATGTGAAGATGTCACTTTGCAAAACAAAAGAGATGTATTTCAGAAGCAAGGTAGAAGTGTTTGCAGGCAACAAAACAGAAGCAGACCTGTGTCCCCCTTTTCTTCAAAGTACCCACACCCGTGAAGGTCCGGGTTAGAATGAGCCTTCAGTAACCCATGCTTGTCGAAAGAGGCAACTAATGGGATTGGGTGATCAGGCTCGCTGGCTTGGTTGACACATGTCATCAGTTTCAAATTGTGCAGCTCATGCTGTTGATCACTGGATTGTCTGGTCCAGACTCGATTATTTACAGACCGCCACCATATAACTGGAATATTGCTGAGTGCGGCGTAAAACTAGACTCACTCACTCAAAGTATCCAACTCCACTGTTTCCTTCAAGCCCAATACCTGACTTCCAGACCATGATCTTATATAAACCAACAACTTAACACCCTACATTGACCAAGTCACATGATTGCAGAGTAAAAGTGCACCAGTTTCTGGCAATGACTGATACAACCACTGTCACATCAACCTCCAAGATGACCTTCACCTTTGACAAGAATGACACCAACATTTTATGTTCTACGGATCGTAAGGATACATGGCCCAATATACTTTCTTGCCTCAGAAACTGACAATGCCACAACCATGTTGAACAGAAAGGCTTACCGTGACCTCTAACTAATCTTAACAAAACCCTTTTTACAGAAACGGCCCATTCTTAGGAAGGCACACCAAATCTAATCATAACTGCATTAATAGCTTTTGTGAAGGATAGACGGCAATGAATTTTCATCTTGTGACCTTGATCACTGAGCATTTAATGACATCTGTCAAAAGAAGTCCCCATGGCTATGTTGAAAAAGTCCATTGCAAGATACCCTCCCGTGTGAATACCCTTGTTGAACAAGTCCATTGCAAGATACCCTCCCGTGTGAATACTCTTGTTAAGCAGATATTACAACAATGACTGGTGGCAGCAATGGTAGAATTCCAATGAAACCTTAAAGCAGTCTCATCTGGCTAGATAATACAGGACGTGACTTTAAAAGATTCAAACTAATGATACTAATAATAATAGTTTGTGGTGCTTGATTATTTTCGAGGTTCATGCATTTGAATTTAAGACTGTCATGGTCAACACTTCCGTGACGAGAGTGAGTGAGTAAGTTTAATTTTACGTCGCTTTTAGCAATATTTGATGAGATAGAGATGTATCTTGGATAAGAGAACAGTTACATTTTCATTACATATGACTCTTGATTTAAATAGGCATAAGTACATCTGCATCTGTGCTTCTAATCATAACTGCATTAATAGCTTTTGTGAAGGATAGACGGCAATGAATTTTCATCTTGTGACCTTGATCACTGAGCATTTAATGACATTCTGCTTGAATGTTAGGGTACAATCTCTTTTGTAGGACATCCTATTATGCCCCTAATTTATGCATCTTGCCACAAACCCCCTAACACATATCTGCGTAGACTGGCTTAAAAACACAGATATGTGTCATTAGGTGTCACAGAAAAAACGGGAATAAATACATGTTACTACAGTTGCATCAACATAGCATCATCATGCATTGTGTCAGTCAGTGCAGTCAATGAAGGTCAGTTCCATTCACAACAAATATTGCCAGTGAAAATGCATAATGGGCAAATTTATCGAGTAAAAATTATTCTATGGGAATATTTCCTTCAAGAATTGTAGTATAAAAGAACAATTTCATGACAGGAACATATACATTAGATTGTGACAACTTTATCTGGTTTCTATGGTGAAGATAATGCATAGCGATCAATCCCTGTCTCATGTAGCATTGGTCTAAATGAAGTTCACTCAATGAAACAGTGATCTCTGACTTGTGAGGAAACATCTGTAAAATTAATACCCATGTAGATTATTGCAAAACAAATGAAGATTGATTGTAGACCTGATACAAACAAATCTGCCTCTAATACCCATGTTGCATCCTTGTCTCAGCAGCACACATGTAGGTAATACTTCATCACAGTGCTGGTTACCATGACAACACAACATCTTCAGAAATAGAAGGAACAATGATGCCCATGTCACGTCACCACCGAGTCTCATCCATGGGCTGGACATTGGGGCTGAACCTCACATTCGAGCCGAAGTCTCCACCAGCTGGCGAGCGAAAGCCCTTCCTCCTGGAAACAGAAAAGGATTTGATTCTGTTAATCCTTTAATCCATCATTTAATCCAACAAGCAGACAATACAGACATGACTCCAGGCTGAGAATACTGTTCTTGCTATTGATACAAGTAACCAGATACGTACAAGAGGATGTGAATATACTTGTCAGGGTAATACACTGCCATGATGAAGTTCTATTACACTGTGTTACATGAGTATCATAAAATAGGTGGGAGGGGGTGTCGAATCCCCTGAACCACACCTTGGCTCCGCCATTGCAAAACATTAACTTTAATGTGGTCTTTAGTCATTTTCAAGGGGGGACCCCTTAACCCCCCATCTGGATCCGCCACTGATTGGCACAAGGCATTGACATGAAAAACATGCTGTATCAATGTCACACGTACTTACAACAGCTGTATCAATGTCACACATACTTACAACAGCTGCATCAATGTCACACTGACCTACAACAGCTGTAGCAATGTCACACTGACCTACAACAGCTGCAGCAATATCACACTGACCTATGCCAGTTGTAGCAATGTCACACTGACCTATGCTAGTTGTAGCAATGTCACACTGACCGATGCTAGTTGTAGCAATATCACACTCACACGCACTGACCTACAATAGGCACATATATATAACTATCAGTATCTTCTTTGTTTACAGGTCCTGGAGAAGTATGTAACACTAAGTCATAAATAAATGCCAGGAAATATAGGAACAAAAATGACATGCAGTTAGTTAGATATAAATAGATTCTCTCTCCAGAAGAAACTGTTAATGCCTCTATGAAACACTAACAGTTCATGTTTCTGAAACACACATGCCTGGAATAATTGAGGTTAGTATGACCAAATACTATTTGAATGTTAGTCATAAGCTATGTCTTGCAGCAAGTCTCACCTCCTAGCTACAAATAAAATGGAAAGCTTGACCCATGTAGTGAGTGATGACCTTTGCACTATTACCAGTTATTGTATGACAGATAAATGTACTTTTCCAGTGAAGATCTAGGTCACCTTTTGATATAACTAGACTCTAGTGCATTTTGAACTGATTATGCAGTGTGAGGTTTCAAACAAAAAAATTTGATCACTCATTGTGATGCAGCCAATTTGTGATAAGTACAGTGTTTTTGTGGCCCTTTTCATCCTGTCTCCTGCCACAAATGTATGATAACACATACATTGAAAACTGTAGTATTTCGAACTCTGAACTTTGTAATCTGTAATTGTATGCGTAAACATTTAGAAAAGTCTTCAGAAAATAAATACATGACCAGGGCTCCAGATAATTTTTCAACATCAGAAGTAAGTACTCCTTATTTTTTCAATACAGGAGTACTGGAAAACCTTGTGAGTACATTTAGAGTACTGAATGGAATATAATGGTGTATCAGTTATCTTGTGTTTCGTTTCATATATGCACCACAACATTGCTACACTTGTGTAAACAGGTAGAAAAACAATAAAACAATAATTTTTCAGATAAATACATCTGTAAATGATTCTAAGGCCGTACACGATTGCTGTGGTGCGTCTCTCCTAAGTTTTTAAAATTATTTCCTACCGTATCGTGCATATTTTTTTATCCGTACATACGCCGATACGGCCCTTATCTGGATGACTATAAGGGTGATGAGGTCATTGTACTGGCTATATCACTCACTGTGATTGGACACCTCTGACTGACCAATCAGAAGTCAGTATGTCCCCACTTCCTGGTTGAATGATGACTACACTGTAGTTAGTAACACCTCACATATTACAACAGTCTGAAGTACGAGTGATACAGACTCAAGACTCAAACATACAATCTCAAACTTAGAAACAAGATGGCTGTCCATACATATTTTTCCTACGTGTAAATTACTGGAAACTGCCACATGTGTTATATTCCTTCATCACAGGAAAGCATGACACATAGCTGACACATGCAAGTAGAAAATACAAAACCGTACATCACTGTACATCACTGTACATCACTGTATACACCAAACTACCATGTAACAAATCCAATACACAAGAAAGCAAAACTTTGTAACCAAACTGTGAAGCAATCAAAACGACATGTGGGTCTATAATATATTTACCATCACTCACATAACAACATGTCAGTAATGATGTATCAAAGTTATACCACAGTCATTTAGTATGTAACCCAAACTGCCAAAAATACAATGTGGCAATACACACGAGGGTGTGCTGCCGTAAATCACCCAGTTCTTGAGAATGTACTTATTCAACAATCAGCATTCACCAAACTGAAATAAAAAGGTTAAGTTTCAAAATGTCCTGATCAGTTTACTCTGCTACAGAGATCAACTCAGTCCTGCGTAGAATGGTTGCAACTCACACGTACTTGCTAAGTCTACTAAGCATTTACCAGAAGCAGGTATGAAATCAACCTTTACTAGGATCAGCATACAATATATATATATCTGTTCAGCAAATGTTATCAGCCTATCAGCTGTTATTTGTCTATGTAAGTGCTAAAGAACTAGTCTGATAGAGCTCAAAGCTAAACTATCAAAAGATGGGTCATACCCTTTGTTAACTCGGGCACCTAGAAATATAATATGAAATTATCTATTATTGGGCATATATTTTCTTGCAAAGTAAAAACAGTATTACAAATGTATACATATATATACTAGAAGTTGCACTTTTATGTTCAAATCTTGTGTCACAAACCACCATGAGTGCACTCCTTTGGGGCACGATGCCACACACCTGGTCACAGACCACAACAACCATGAGTGCACTCCATTGGGGCACGATGAAACACACCTGGTCACAGGCCACAACCACCATGAGTGCACTCCATTGGGGCACGATGCCACACACCTGGTCACAGGCCACAACCACCATGAGTGCACTCCATTGGGGCACGATGAAACACACCTGGTCACAGGCCACAACCACCATGAGTGCACTCCATTGGGGCACGATGCCACACACCTGGTCACAGGCCACAACCACCATGAGTGCACTCCATTGGGGCACGATGAAACACACCTGGTCACAGGCCACAACCACCATGAGTGCACTCCATTGGGGCACGATGAAACACACCTGGTCACAGACCAAAACCACCATGAGTGCACTCCATTGGGGCACAATGCCACACAGCTGGTCACAGACCACAACCACCATGAGTGCACTCCATTGGGGCACGATGCCACACACCTGGTCACAGACCACAACAACCATGAGTGCACTCCATTGGGGCATGATGAAACACACCTGGTCACAGGCCACAACCACCATGAGTGCACTCCATTGGGGCACGATGCCACACACCTGGTCACAGGCCACAACCACCATGAGTGCACTCCATTGGGGCACGATGAAACACACCTGGTCACAGGCCGCAACCACCATGAGTGCACTCCATTGGGGCACGATGAAACACACCTGGTCACAGACCAAAACCACCATGAGTGCACTCCATTGGGGCACAATGCCACACAGCTGGTCACAGACCACAACCACCATGAGTGCACTCCATTGGGGCACGATGCCACACACCTGGTCACAGACCACAACCACCATGAGTGCACTCCATTGGGGCACGATGCCACACACCTGGTCACAGACCACAACCACCATGAGTGCACTCCATTGGGGCACGATGCCACACAGCTGGTCACAGACCACAACCACCATGAGTGCACTCCATTGGGGCACGATGCCACACAGCTGGTCACAGACCACAACCACCATGAGTGCACTCCATTGGGGCACGATGCCACACAGCTGGTCACAGGCCACAACCACCATGAGTGCACTCCATTGGGGCACGATGCCACACACCTGGTCACAGACCACAACCACCATGAGTGCACTCCATTGGGGCACGATGCCACACACCTGGTCACAAAGCCCTGGTTGCTGGGAAGCTGCCCTGAAGGGTAACACAAGAGTCTCCCCTGGAACAGCCAGCCTGTAGGAGTGTGTGGTGTTCAGGAATTGTGAGTATAGGTGTGCATTTGCTGTGGTATGTCTCGGGTGATTACCAGCTGCTAACCACACACAAACCATCAACATTGATGAGGATCTTGGTGCTTAGAAAACTGCACAAAATTAACTGATTTACTGAAACCTTCTGTCCTAGATATTAACACTGAACCATAATAAGTTCATCTTTTCAAAGTGTGTCCTGTAAAAAAAATAATCTAACCGTTGTGATATATTTTCTTGACAGCAACAGTAAAAGGGAAAAATGATGTAACGTTTCATGATGATAGCCTACATGTAAATTACCAACTGCCTATGATAAATAATGCTTTTTATTGAGAGTCACACATATTATGAAGAGATAATCTCTCAATATTGCTTCACGAATATTTGAAAGCAGGAACGGAAGGGGTAGAAGGTTTTATCCTGCTGCAAGAGAAGATATTCATGACTGGTTTCAAGTAATCAAAAATTGAAATACGTGACAAGTCTAGAGAAAACTGGTAGAAGTGACTTCTTCATGTAGAAACAGGAAAATAGTATAAAACACTAAGAGAACAAAAATTATTCATGTTTGTTGAAATGATTCTCCTTATATATTAGCGAGACAGATGTATAACTAAATACTATGTCCATCCTACCCACCAAATATTCCAATGCTCATATCCATGAAACATGGATGCATTATAAGACATGTTGCTGTATATCAAGTGATGTGCACGAGAACATTTTACTTCAAGTATTGCGTACAAAAAAAAATTGAATCAATTGAAGTGTTTGGCAAGTCTAGGCAAAACTGCTGGTAGTGACATCCTGTCAGTGGACTGAGTGACAGGCATGTGAAGGTGAAGCTGTTGCTGCTGCTGTTGCTGTTTCTGCTGCTGCAGGAGATGGGCCGAGTAGAGATGAAGCTAGGATCTTACAGGGGTCAACATGCCCTGACTGATGGTCAGTTATACACAGACATGCTCAGATGCACAAGAAACATGCGGCAAGAGTTGAATGATACCTAGTTCTAAGCAAGTCATCATGTGGCCTGGCTTGAGGCGCCATTACTATCACGAGTGTCATCATCGTCTTCATCCTGCCCACAGACAGCTGGCTCAGTCTTGGCCTTCACACTGTCTACTGCATCTTCTGTTTCAAGTTTATCACGTGCAATGACATTAGTGGTTGAGGTTGTGAATGGGTCAGTAATACAATACATTTGGATTTCATAAAACAACATACACAATATGACAAAAACATATCTCTGTCTACATGAAATACCTCTGGATGTATTTTAGGGCCCAGTATTTTTGCGTCCATCTCTCATTTACCACCATGTAGTATGCTCATTGGGAACACTGCAGGGAAACCAACTGCAGGTATTCCCCTGTCAGCTTCCATACAAACTCACTGTCATGACTGATGGGACAGGGAAACCAACTGCAGATATTCCCCCGTCTGCTTCCATACAAACTCACTGTCATGACTGATAGGACAGGGAAACCAACTGCAGATATTCCCCCGTCTGCTTCCATACAAACTCACTGTCATGACTGATAGGACAGGGAAACCAACTGCAGATATTCCCCCGTCTGCTTCCATACAAACTCACTGTCATGACTGATGGGACAGGGAAACCAACCGCAGATATTCCCCCGTCTGCTTCCATACAAACTCTCTGTCATGACCGGACTGTACATGACACAGATATCAATACAAAGCTACATAGACTGTACACACTGGTGACAAGCTCACCTGGTGACAAGACGTCGGAGGTGGTTCCCGCATCCTGCTGCCGTCGAGTCCGCTTCTGTATACCTTCTGTATCGTCCTTCTTCCTCTTGCGGCTGACTTCCTGGAGGAGGTTGAGCAGGAAGTTCTTGTCTTTACCCTCCTGATAACAACAAGTTTCTGGTTAGTCCTGAGAAGCAACATACCAGTCAAGGTATACAGTAGTTTAAGTAGTTTCTGTGTTTCACACATTTACAAGTGAAGCCTGGCATGTGAGCATGCAGGGACCTATGAAAGAAAAACGACTAATGTGACTGGCAACTGCTACACAACAAGGACATGCCTGTACTGGAAGGAGACCGCTACCTGATTCAGTGGCTCTACTTGCTACCATGACTACAATATATAATCCTGTCTCCAGGTACTGCGGTCACCTTTACAACCAACAGCAGGCTTCATCTTCCTCATGGCTGACCATTGTGTTATCTACATGCCTGACAAGAAGTACAGACGGAAATCCTCAACAACTGAATGCACGTCACTGTACCCCAACATTCAAACATTGCTCATAATAATAACACTCATCAGGTTTGACTAGGGTATTAATAGGCTGCAATCACATAGCTGAAATATTGTTCAACAGCAAACAACAGACAAACTTACCAGAGCTAGCTGCTGCTGTAGAAGCTTCACCATCTCCTTGTGGCCAATCATTGCAATTCTCATATAGTATGTTCCCATACTGAAACAACAATAGTTAAAGCTTGATTCTGCTGGACAGTAGCTGAATGATCCGTGAACGTAGTCAGAATATCTATCATGTTTGTATCAGCATCTGTTTCTGACCTTTCAATCATGAAAAAACAACAACTTATGACTCTCAGTTACTACAGCAGGCCCATATATCCACCAATGTAAGACTCTCTCACTCACCACAGTAGGACCACAAGTCCACCAATGTAAGACTCTCACTCACCACACCACAGTAGGGTCCACAAGTCACTCACCAATGTAAGACTCTCTCACTCACCACAGTAGGACCACAAGTCCACCAATGTAAGACTCTCTCACTCACCACAGTAGGACCACAAGTCCACCAATGTAAGACTCTCTCACTCACCACAGTAGGACCACAAGTCCACCAATGTAAGACTCTCTCACTCACCACAGTAGGACCACAAGTCCACCAATGTAAGACTCTCTCACTCACCACAGTAGGACCACAAGTCCACCAATGTAAGACTCTCTCACTCACCACAGTAGGACCACAAGTCCACCAATGTAAGACCAATGTCTCTCTCACTCACTCACAGTAGGACCACAGTCCACCAATGTAGGGACCACAAGTCCACCAATAAGACTCTCTCACTCACCACAGTAGGACCACAAGTCCACCAATGTAAGACTCTCTCACTCACCACAGTAGGGACCACAAGTCCACCAATGTAAGACTCTCTCACTCACCACAGTAGGACCACAAGTCCACCAATGTAAGACTCTCAATGTAAGACTTCTCTCACTCACCACAGTAGGACCACAAGTCCACCAATGTAAGACTCTCTCTCTCTCACTCACCACAGTAGGACCACAAGTCCACCAATGTAAGACTCTCTCACTCACCACAGTCACCACAGTAGGACCACAAGTCCACCAATGTAAGACTCACCACAGTCTCCACCACTCACACACAGTGTAAGGACCACAAGTCCACCAATGTAAGACTCTCTCACTCACCACAGTAGGGACCACAAGTCCACCAATGTAAGACTCTCTCACTCACCACAGTAGGGACCACAAGTCCACCAATGTAAGACTCTCTCACTCACCACAGTAGGACCACAAGTCTCACCACCACAGTAGGACCACAACTCCCTCAATGTAAGACTCTCACCACAGTAGGGACCATGTAAGTCCACCAATGACCACAAGACCAATGTAAGACTCTCTCACTCACCACAGTAGGACCACAAGTCCACCAATGTAAGACTCACCACTCTCACTCTCTCACCACAGTAGGACCACAAGTCCACCAATGTAAGACTCTCACTCACCACAGTAGGACCACAAGTCCACCAATGTAAGACTCTCTCACTCACCACAGTAGGACCACAAGTAATGTAAGGACTCACACAGTAGGACCACAAGTCCACCAATGTAAGACTCTCTCACTCACCACAGTAGGACCACAAGTCCACCAATGTAAGACTCTCTCACTCACCACAGTAGGACCACAAGTCCACCAATGTAAGACTCTCTCACTCACCACAGTAGGACCACAAGTCCACCAATGTAAGACTCTCTCACTCAGTCTCACCACAGTAGGACCACAAGTCCACCAATGTAAGACTCTCTCACTCACCACAGTAGGACCACAAGTCCACCAATGTAAGACTCTCTCACTCACCACACCAGTATGTAAGACCACAAGTCCACCAATGTAAGACTAAGACTCTCACTCACCACAGTAGGACCCACACAGTAAGTCCACCAATGTAAGACTCTCTCACTCACCACAAGGACACAAGTCCACCAATGTAAGACTCTCTCACTCACCACAGTAGGACCACAAGTCCACCAATGTAAGACTCTCTCTCACCACAGTCACAAGTCACCACAGTAGGACCACAAGTCCACCAATGTAAGACTCTCTCACTCACCACAAGGAGTCCTCAATGTAAGACTCTCCTCTCACTCACCACAGTAGGACCACAAGTCCACCAATGTAAGACTCTCTCACTCACCACAGTAGGACCACAAGTCCACCAATGTAAGACTCTCTCACTCACACACCACATGTAGGACCACAAGTCCACCAATGTAAGACTCTCTCACTCACCACAGTAGGACCACAAGTCCACCAATGTAAGACTCTCTCACTCACCACAGTAGGACCACAAGTCCACCAATGTAAGACTCTCTCACTCACCACAGTAGGACCACAAGTCCACCAATGTAAGACTCTCTCACTCACCACAGTAGGACCACAAGTCCACCAATGTAAGACTCTCTCACTCACCACAGTAGGACCACAAGTCCACCAATGTAAGACTCTCTCACTCACCACAGTAGGACCACAAGTCCACCAATGTAAGACTCTCTCACCAATGTAAGACCTCTCTCTCACTCACCACAGTAGGGACCACAAGTCCACCAATGTAAGACAATGTAAGACTCTCTCACTCACCACAGTAGGACCACAAGTCCACCAATGTAAGACTCTCTCACTCACCACAGTAGGACCACAAGTCCACCAATGTAAGACTCTCTCACTCACCACAGTAGGACCACAAGTCCACCAATGTAAGACTCTCACTCACTCACCACAGTAGTAGGACCACAAGTCCACCAAGTGTCCACCAATGAGACTCTCTCTCACTCACCACAGTAGGGACCACAAGTCCACCAATGTAAGACTCTCTCACTCACCACAGTAGGACCACAAGTCCACCAATGTAAGACTCTCTCACTCACCACAGTAGGACCACAAGTCCACCAATGTAAGACTCTCTCACTCACCACAGTAGGACCACAAGTCCACCAATGTAAGACTCTCTCACTACCACAGTAGGACCACTCTCTCACAAGTCCACCAATGTAAGACTCTCTCACTCACTCACACAGTAGGACCACAAGTAGGAGACTCTCTCACTCACCACAGTAGGACCACAAGTCCACCAATGTAAGACTCTCTCACTCACCACAGTAGGACCACAAGTCCACCAATGTAAGACTCTCTCACTCACCACAGTAGGACCACAAGTCCACCAATGTAAGACTCTCTCACTCACCACAGTAGGACCACAAGTCCACCAATGTAAGACTCTTTCACTCACCACAGTAGGACCACAAGTCCACCAATGTAAGACTCTCTCACTCACCACAGTAGGACCACAAGTCCACCAATGTAAGACTCTCTCACTCACCACAGTAGGACCACAAGTCCACCAATGTAAGACTCTCTCACTCACCACAGTAGGACCACAAGTCCACCAATGTAAGACTCTCTCACTCACCACAGTAGGACCACAAGTCCAGCAATGAAGCCTGGGGAGGAGATGAAGTGGATGACTTCATGCAGCCAGGCGTGTTCTTCCTTCCATGAGTCGACCAGCTCAATAACAACCTCGTACGTCGTGTTCTTACTCTGGTACGGACCACACGTCTGACTTGGCTTGATACTGATGGACACAAATACATGGTAATCCATTAACTGGGTCCTCATTTCTCATAGAAGGGTAGAAATGTAACCATGTTCTACCACCACATAAAGGGCCCACACAGACCAACGTTTAACTGAAGGATGGGCATGGTCAAAATAACTCATCAAGCTGTCACCGGGACTTGCAGCATAATTTACTGAACAGCCTCAGTCACCTACCACATGATCCCAAAGACTGAACGGGACTTACAATATAATTCCACAGACAAGTACAATTATGATATGCTCTCACAGGCCAACAGGACTTACAATATGATCCCACAGGGCAACAGGACTTACAATATGATCCCACAGGCCAACAGGACTTACAATATGATCTCCCGGGCCAACAGGACTTCCAGTACAATCCCCCAGGCCAACAGGACTTACAATATGATCCCACAGGCCAACAGGACTTACAATAGGATCCCACAGGCCAACAGGACTTACAATAGGATCCCACAGGCCAACAGGACTTACAATAGGATCCCACAGGCCAACAGGACTTACAATAGGATCCCACAGGCCAACAGGACTTACAATATGATCCCACAGGCCAACAGGACTTACAATATGATCCCCAGGCCAACAGGACTTACAATATGTACAATCCCCCAGGCCAACAGGACTTACAAAATGATCCCACATGCCAACAGGACTTACAATATGACCCAACAGGCCAACAGGACTTACAATATGATCCCACAGGCCAACAGGACTTACAATATGATCCCCCAGGCCAACAGGACTTATAGTACAATCCCCCAGGCCAACAGGACTTACAAAATGATCCCACATGCCACTGCTGTGGTGGTGAGGAGGAAGAAGCAGAAGAGGAAGCCGAGGAAGATGGTGTGTGACCGGGCTGCCCGCCAAGGCCGCATTGAAGGCTGACAGTTCTGTAGAACACTAACCTGCAACACACAATGAATACTGACACACAAACTCTACACTGAAAACTCTATTTAAACTCATACATCAATAAAGGCACAAGCTTACAAACTGCTTTATACAAGCCTTGATCCATTGGGTCAGAGAAATGAAGGATGTTATTGTTGGCAAATCTCACCAAACTGCAAAACTACTGATTTAGTGATGAAAAATCAGAGACAAATTCATCATTTCATTTCCTTAGTTTGTCTAAAGTGTATGGAACATATAGGTGAAAGGGTAATATCTAAACAAATCCTGACCCTGGTGTTTTAAGACGCTCACCCTTTTCACATAAAAGATGATCCACAACTTTATGATCACAATGCAAGAGAGCAAAGGACTGTAGAATGTTCCCAGCCTGAAAAATAAATTACGAAATATCAACAAAATTCACCAATAACATTGAATTTGTGTGTTTAATGGGACCTTCATGCTCCACTTCCAAAGATCTTGGTCATGATACACGATGTAGAGATATACAGCGGAGCCAAACAGATATACACACCCATTTAGACATGCACCATATACCTCATACAAAGTGACCAGCTCTTTCAAGAGACCCCTGAACAACTTCTAGAGCACTGTGTTCTCCTTTATAATCAAGACTGTAAACTGAGAGTCAGTTTAACCACCTGTGTGGACCATCTCACCTTATTGCTCATATTTCAGGTGTATGTCTGTGTATATAAAGTCTACACAGTATAATCCTCACCAACATAGCGCCTGGGAGTAGATCAGATCCAGGGTGTTTCGGCCAATACCAAACTCTGCTCTGGAAATACTCTTGAAACAGAACTGGGACATTATCCTGTGAATAACCAAAATAATTTGGGTAAATACTGAACCTGAAAACCAAGTGCAGACCTACGGGAAATACAAGTTATCAAGAAAACGTTACTGAACTCTCTCCAGATACATAATGCAACACCATGTGCCACAACCCAATGTTAGCATAACTTCGAACAGTGTGTTTACATGTTACTTAACACTCTCCAGATACACAATCAACTCTGAGTTTAATAGTAGACTGTTTGTTTCCTCTCACCTTCTGACGAACTCGAAGAAGAAGGTGTACAGGAGGGTGAAGATGAAGTCAACAATGACAAGACGATATATTTCCTGCCCAACAAATGACTCCCAGCACTGAAAAGTAACATGAAATGTCACATCAGCAGGTTATGCTATAAAAATATTTCTTACCATCTCTTGATGTATTTACCAGATATAGAAATAATGTCTACCAACTTCTCATCTTTATACTACGGAGCCTAATACTACCACTTTTACTTTTGCTGAACATAATACGTGTAAGTAACACAGAAAGAAGAACTGTTGCTGTCTCCATTACATCAGAAATATCACCAGGATAATGCAGATGTAGCAGGACACAGCTGAGTACATCAGTAAACTTACATCCTGCTCTTGGGCTGTCTTAAACCAAAAGTATACCAGCACCGCCAAGTTGGTAGCTCGCAGCGTCATCGTCCTGAAGACACAAGAAAGTTCATTTGATAGAGTAATGACTTTATCAGTTGAGGCCGCTAACATACACAGACATCCATATAATATGAAGCTGGCAATTTTATCTAACACAAAAGGAAATCTGACATCGTTCCATATCATTCAAATTTAGCTTCATGCTTGCAGGTTTGCTGTTTAATGCCACACGTACCAATATTTCAGATACATATCGGTGGCTGGGTGTCACTAATTGAGTCTGCATTAGACAAGCCAGTAATTGATATTATGAGCAATTATCCACATTGCCATGGTAAGCTGACAACCAAATCACAAAACCAGACATCCACACTGCCATGGTAAGCTGACAACCACATCACAAAACCGGACATCCACATTGCCATGGTAAGCTGACAACCAAATCACAAAACCAGACATCCACATTGCCATGGTAAGCTGACAACCACATCACAAAACCAGACATCCACATTGCCATGGTAAGCTAACAACTAAATCACAAAACCGGACATCTACCAAATCACAAAACCGGACATCCACATTGCCATGGTAAGCTGACAACCAAATCACAAAACCAGACATCCACATTGCCATGGTAAGCTGACAACCAAATCACAAAACCGGACATCCACATTGCCGTGGTAAGCTGACAACCAAGTCATGAAGCCAGCCCATCCACATTGCCGTGGTAAGCTGACAACTAAATCACAAAACCGGACATCCACCAAATCACAAAACCGGACATCCACATTGCCATGGTAAGCTGACAACCAAATCACAAAACCAGACATCCACATTGCCATGGTAAGCTGACAACCAAATCACAAAACCGGACATCCACATTGCCGTGGTAAGCTGACAACCAAGTCATGAAGCCAGCCCATCCACATTGCCGTGGTAAGCTGACAACCTCAGGGGTGGAAATAACTATAAAATTGCTAGTGTACTATAAGTTTTCCACTATACTTTCCGTGTTATTGTTGATTTTTTAAATAAACAACATTATTAACATTGGAAAGTCAACTGGACATCGGTACAGCGTGATATACAAATTTGCTTGCCCGACGGAAGAAAACACTGGACTCGGACATATTTCCACCCCTGAACCTAGTCATGAAGCCAGCCAATACACAATGCCGTGGTAAGCTGACAACCAAGTCACAAACCCGGCCATCCACATTGCCATGGTTACTGTAAAGCTGACATGCTATCAAACAAGTCAGAAAGTCAGAAAGTTAGTAACTACATACACTGCTGAAGCCATCTCTAATATCTGTTCCAAACCCTTGTTTGTAACAAGCTGCTACCTACCTGAGCATATGGATGTACAGTTCATTCTTTGGCTTCTCATACTTCTCCAGATATCCCAGTAGTGAGAAGAAGGCCGGGGTTACCATGTTCAACGTTGTGATTACCAGGGGTAGCGCCAGCTCACTCAACACTGGGATCTTGTTCTGAAATATACAGCACACATCTTGGGACACAGGTACAAATGGTCCAGTCAGTCATAGAGAGTGCAGTACTTTCATGGTGTGTCAGTCTACTGATAAAAGGAGAAAAGTGATGGCAGACTCTGATATCTCCAACTCTGGTGCTGACAGTGAGAGGATCTTATTGACTGAATCTTGAAAGCCACTTAGATTCATGACCAGCAGATCCTGTAATGACCACAAGGGACACAACTCTCCACAGCCATTCACAGTAACGCGCATTAGTTTCCTTTCCTACAGTCTTCAAGAAGGAGATTTACTCAATCAGTCAGATTCTCAACACATCTTGGCCCAAGCACTATACTCCTTGGGTCAACCTCCAGATCTCCTGGTCTTAATTCAGAGATATTATGGTACAATTAAGGCTACATATGATTATTTCATAAAAGAGCTTTGTTGCCAAATGCCTTCAAAATGTGTTCTGCCTACACATTTTGTGAGAGATACAAAATTGTTAAAAAACTTGTGGTTGGGATATTTTGCAATAGACACTGTAGAGAAGATGAAATAGACCTGGTATCCTGCACGGTGAAAGAACCCAGCTAGACGGACTCAGTGGAGGAGATCCAGTACACCCGCTGCCCCTAAAACCCACCCACCCCACCCACCTCAAGGTAGGGTGTTTGGGGTGAGGGAACCCACCTCGACAGACTGAGTGGAGGAGATCCAGTACACCCGCTGCCCCTAAAACACACACACCCCACCCACCTCAAGGTAGGGTGTTGGGGGTGAGGGAACCCACCTCGACAGACTGAGTGGAGGAGATCCAGTACACCCGCTGCCCCTAAAACACACCCACCCCACCCACCTCAAGGTAGGGTGTGTTGGGGATGAGGGAACCCACCTCAACAGACTGAGTGGAGGAGATCCAGGACACCCACTGCCCCTAAAACACACCCACCCCAACCACCTCAAGGTAGGGTGTTGGGGGCGAGGGAACCCACCTTGACAGACTCAGTGGAGGAGATCCAGTACACCAGGTAGCCTGCCCCACCAAGTAGTCCAATGACAATGAGGTTTGTGGCCACCCGGATCCAGAATATCTGACATTTCTCCCCTGTCGTCTTCACCTGCTCTTTCTTCTTCCCTGACAAATATTCCTGCAGAAGAAAATGGACTTACATAGAATACAGTTAACACGGTGAGTTGAACTCACAAACAGTTCATTGAAAAATTAATACCCTCAGGCTTAAAAGTAACCCATTGAAGATAATTCTCACACTCTAAGACTCACACAGTTCATTGTAGAGACTCTTATCATCTGTACTCACCAGCAATAGTACAGACTCACCTACTCACCAACAACTCATTGTAGACACTCTCCAACTCACCAATAACTCATTGTAGACATTCTCCTACTCACCAACAACTCATTGTAGATGCTCTCCTACTCACCAACAACTCATTGTAGACACTCTCCTACCCACCAACAACTCATTGTAGACGCTCTCCTACCCACCAACAACTCATTGTAGACACTCTCCTACTCACCAACAACTCATTGTAGACTCTCCTACCCACCAACAACTCATTGTAGACACTCTCCTACCCACCAACAACTCATTGTAGACGCTCTCCTACTCACCAACAACTCATTGTAGACTCTCCTACCCACCAACAACTCATTGTAGACGCTCTCCTACCCACCAACAACTCATTGTAGACTCTCCTACCCACCAACAACTCATTGTAGACTCTCCTACCCACCAACAACTCATTGTAGACACTCTCCTACCCACCAACAACTCATTGTAGACGCTCTCCTACCCACCAACAACTCATTGTAGACTCTCCTACCCACCAACAACTCATTGTAGACTCTCCTACCCACCAACAACTCATTGTAGACACTCTCCTACCCACCAACAACTCATTGTAGACACTCTCCTACCCACCAACAACTCATTGTAGACTCTCCTACCCACCAACAACTCATTGTAGACTCTCCTACCCACCAACAACTCATTGTAGACACTCTCCTACCCACCAACAACTCATTGTAGACTCTCCTACTCACCAACAACTCATTGTAGACTCTCCTCTCCTAACTCACCAACAACTCATTGTCATTGTAGACTCTCCTACCCACCAACAACTCATTGTAGACTCTCCTACTCACCAACAACTCATTGTAGACTACTCTCCTACCCACCAACAACTCATTGTAGACACTCTCCTACCCACCAACAACTCATTGTAGACGCTCTCCTACCCACCAACAACTCATTGTAGACTCTCCTACTCACCAACAACTCATTGTAGACGCTCTCCTACCCACCAACAACTCATTGTAGACTCTCCTACACCACCAACAACTCATTGTAGACACTCTCCTACTCACCAACAACTCATTGTAGACACTCTCTCCTACCCACCAACAACTCATTGTAGACGCTCTCCTACTCACCAACAACTCATTGTAGACACTCTCCTACTCACCAACAACTCATTGTAGACTAGACGACTCCTACCCACCAACAACTCATTGTAGACACTCTCCTACTCACCAACAACTCATTGTAGACTTCCTACTCACCAACAACTCTCCTACCACCAACAACTCATTGTAGACACTCTCCTACTCACCAACAACTCATTGTAGACACTCTCCTACCCACCAACAACTCATTGTAGACACTCTCCTACTCACCAACAACTCATTGTAGACACTCTCCTACCCACCAACAACTCATTGTAGACACTCTCCTACTCACCAACAACTCATTGTAGACACTCTCCTACTCACCAACAACTCATTGTAGACGCTCTGTAGACTCACCAACAACTCATTGTAGACGACTCTCCTACTCACCAACAACTCATTGTAGACACTCTCCTACTCACCAACAACTCATTGTAGAACTCAACTCATTGTAGACAGCTCTCTCTCTACTCCTACTCACCAACAACTCATTGTAGACACTCTCCTACTCACCAACAACTCATTGTAGACGCTCTCCTACTCACCAACAACTCATTGTAGACGCTCTCCCACTCACCAACAACTCATTGTAGACGCTCTCCTACTCACCAACAACTCATTGTAGACGCTCTCCTACTCACCAACAACTCATTGTAGACGCTCTCTCCTACTCACCAACAACTCATTGTAGACGCTCTCCCACTCACCAACAACTCATTGTAGACGCTCTCCTACCCACCAACAACCTACCCACCAACAACTCATTGTAGACACTCTCCTACTCTCCTACTTACCAACAACTCATTGTAGATGCTCTTATGCTTGAGTCTTGCAGCTTCCTTGGACGTTACACCATAATCCCATCCACAAAATACTTTACTGACAAAGAAGAAGTTGAACTCGGAGCTGCCCTCGATGTAGTATTTTCTGTACGATTTCAATATGCTGCCACAGAAATACAATAGAAACATGAACTCACGTAACCAAGGTAATATTTGTAAAGGTCATAGTTTATTAGAATTTTAAAGAATTCAAGTTGTGTGGTCAGTGCAACCCGACCATCAAACTGGAAATGACACCATTGAACTAAGAAACAGTCAAAGTGTGTTCTTACCTCTGAGCCAATATAAGCAAACAAAGTATGTAGTATCCACCGCAAGTGAAGACATAGGCGTAGATCATCTTGTACTCCACACCTGAGAACAGCTGTACAGAAAACCCCTTGTAGAAGCCATAATACATCTCAGTGTCGTGAAACCAGCCCTGTCAGAGGAGTCAGAGGAGGAACATTGTAGGTACGTTCTCAATTCTAAGGCATGATTAAATAGTTTCAGGGGTTAGGTCTGCTCAGAGGTCAATATTTGGTCCTATATCAAATGGTCACTTGTAAATCACTGATAATAGGAAGTGGAATAATATTAAAACTGCCATCACTGTTTTTCTTCCTGTCAAGAGCTTCAATCTCTTTCATAAATGATAAAACAACATAAAATATGATCATGTAATTTTTCAAGTAAAATTGATATTTTATACTTATCCTGACTCATGATCTTTTGCTTATCTCCCTTTCCTTTTCGAATGGTAGTGGAACACTTGAATCCCTTGAAGTTCCCGAAGTGGACGTAAAAATACACTCACCCACGAGTTACCTCCCTTTGCCCTTTTCCCACGAACAGTCATGTGACCAGCCTTACTTGTCACTCTGTCCTGATTTTCTGCCCATGCACTTGGATCTGCTGTGAAATCCAAAGTGTCTCCAGCGGGGAGGTTGGGAGGGCTTCTCGTCAGGATAAGTATAAGAATATCAATTTTACTTGAAAAATTACATATTTTTTCTTATCCTGACTCATGATCTTTTGCTTATAGAATCCGACGGATTGGTGGTTGGTCAAGCCACTTCATGGATTCATCAGCTGTCCTTAGATACGTCTCCTGTATCCCCCCCCCCCATGGGAACTGCGAACGGTATTTCCGTGATCCTATTCTTCCAACTTCCGTTATAACTCGGGGGGACCACTTTCTTGTCTTACTTCCATCTCAGACAAGTTGAATCATGTTCATGTGGCTACAGATAAACTAATATCTTCCTATTACTAGATATCTTATAACAACCCATAGATTATGATAAGATCTTTATCATAAATGAGTTGCGACCCCTTCAAGTACAGGTAAGATCTTTACCCGTACAAGATCTTTAATCACTCATGCTAGCCTGTCCTAGACTGTGCGCATGGACTTTCAAACTAATACTTTTCCCTTAGTAAAAGTTATCAACAAGTCAACGTGATAAAGGGTGAGATTTTCCAACTCGGCCCCTTTGAGGAACCGTTAGTTGCTGTGCTACAACCAGAGGCCCAAATTGGTGAATGTCTTCAGTGGCTATATCTCGGAGGTAGTGGTTGGCAAACACTGTGTCCAACTTCCAAAAGCAGCCCTCCATAATTGCTGGTATAGAGCATTTTCCGTGCAGAGCCAGTGTCGACGCCAGTGCTCAGACTTCATGTGGGTTGGAAGCTCTAGGAGGTTCTAGTCCTGCTGCTTTATAGGCTCTCAATATGACGGCTCTCATCCAGAACGATATGGTCGTACTTGAGATTTCTGCTCATGTCTCTGTTGATAATGAGATAAACAAGCGCAATTTTTGTCTCCTTGTCTCAGTCGTTTGAAGATATATCTTCAGGGCTCTGACCGAACACAAGGATAGGTCTTCTATATCCTCTGGGCCGAGGACTGTAGATAGCGCTGGTACATGGAACTGGTACGTCTGGCTGACCAGGTAGTTGGTTCTTGGCAATGAAGTCCCATCTAAGTCCTAGATGAACTGCGGCATGTTGCCCCGTGTAGAATCTGGTTCGACCACTGTCCAGCGCATGTATCTCTGATATTCAAGCTGCCGTGGCTAGCGCAAGCAGTAACAGAGTCTTCTGTGTCAGCAGCTTGAAGGTAGTATGGTCTAGAGGTTCGTAGGCATCACTCGTAAGATGACGTAGAATTACATTCAGATCCCAGGCCGGAGCTCTGAACTTCTTTTGCTGGTGCTCCAGTTTAAAAGATCTCAGCAGAGCAAGTAATTCTGGTACTTTCGTCAACTTGATGCCTGTTTTCATGGTAATCACTGTACTGATGGCGGCGAGGTATGTAGATAATGTCGAACCTATCAGATGTCTGGTCTGTCTAAAATGACACAGATATTCCGCCACTTGAGGATGAGTAGCTATCATCGCTGTGAAGCCTTTCCGCCTTGCATAAGTCTCAAACTTCAGCCATTTGTCGTTGTATAGGTTACGAGTCGATCTGCATAACGCTAGTGTTACTGCTTTGGCTGCCCTGGCGGGGTATCCTCTTTTCTTCAAGCACGTTTTGATACGGTCCACACGTGTAACTGGAACACTGTTGGGTTTCCGTGGACTTGCTTGGTGTACGGATGTATTAGTAGGTTCAGCCAATCTCGTAACTTGATTACTGGGTTTCCGAGATCTTCTATTAGGTCTGGGAACCATGCTCGCTGGCCAGTATGGCGCGACCAAAGTCAGTTGTAGCGCCTGTGTCTGTTTGATCTTCAACAGTACTTCCGGAAGTAATATTGGGGGTGGAAACGCGTAAGCGTTTAGTCCTTCCCAAGATATGCTCAGTGCATCTGTTGCCCAGGCTTGAGGATCTGGAACTGGTGAGACAAACGTCTGTAGTTGTTTGTTGAACCTCGTGGCAAACAGGTCTATGCAAGGGGATCCTATTTCCCTTTTGATGAGCCGGAATGCTTCTGGATGGAGCATCCCATAGGTGACGGGTGCAGTGGTCAGGAGAGAGCGTCTGTAAGTACGTTCTTAGCTCCGGGTATGTGACACGCCTTTATCCAGATGTTTGCTTCCTCTGTGATGAGGAACAACTGGAATGTGAGCTGTAGCAGGCTTGGAGACCTTGTGGATCCTTGCCGATTTATGAAGAATGTCACTGTAGAGTTGTCCGTGTGGACCATCAGCATTCTGTTGTTCAGCGAGCTCGACCATAGTTGTAAGGCGTTGATCACGCTTGGGCGAAAAGAGAGAGAGTGACAAGTAAGGCTGGGAAAACGGCAAAAGGGAGGTAACTTCGTGGGTGAGTGTATTTTTACGTCCGTTTCGGGAACTTCAAGGGATTCGAGTGTTCCACTACCATTCGAAAACGAAAGGGAGATATGCAAAAGATCATGAGTCAGGATAAGAAAAAATAATGAATATTTAAAATAGAAACAATATTTGAGTGCCATATCCCAAACTTCCATGTAAATGACAACACAGGTATCACAGCGCTGGTACATCTAACAGAAACTTATCCTACTGAAGAAAAACAGGTGCCCCTAAAATATATCTAAGATCCAATCGTCATCTTACCGCTCCTGTGAGAAGTTCTTCCCCAGTGAAGGAAGTGCCGTTACGCTCTGGGTACACGTCAGCAAATGGCTTCAGCTTGGGGGTGTCTGTGAGCGGCATGTACCATCGCTGTAGCACAACTGGCAGCACCACGAAACCAAATGTCATGAGAAAGATTGGGATGTTGATGAAGAACAGCCATTTGAGGAAGAGGAAGTAGGATGTAACACCAGTGCCAAAATGTCCTTCGATCTTCTTGAGGTGTGATCGCCAGAGTTCCAGCGAGTACATCACCTCCGCAACCTGGTACTTGAAGTGCTGCCAGCCCTGAAGAAACAAAAGCAGCGTAAAGAAGACTTTTTAGAACTAAGAAATAGGTCATTTGCAATAAATTCAGTATTTATTAGTTTTCCATGTCATCAAAAAATAAACATCACACTGGACTTTTGTATTAAAGGTCTTTCAAAACAAGTTTTATTTTCAAAGTATTCACTCACAATGAACATCTCTGGCAGTCTTAATAGATACACATCATAAGACTGTTCTTCCAGAGCTTTGCCATGATTGTCATGTATGCAACTGTTGACTATAGAGAAGGATGTTATCCAGTGCTTAACACATTATATCCACATATCATGACAAATGTCACACATGTAGCACCATGCTAGAGCGCGTGCAACACCATGCAGCAGAATTAGTATTATCAAGAACCTCACCATTCCAACTGAATATTTCAGCTGAGTACAACGTCCAGGTCGCTTCTTGGCCTTCCTGGAACTAAGGCGCTTCCTGCAAGTACAGACATGTGATACAATAGATGCAAACAATCCCACAGGCAACCTGTTCCCCATGTTGGGCCTATGCCATGGTGCTGACAAGTAGCTGGCGCAGAGAGTAATATGACCTGATTGAAGCAGTCATAAAATATAACTGGACATTTAATACTGGGAAGTGCACCACAGTGCTGCCCTGCTTTATTCCAGCAATACTACCATGATCACAAACCAACAGGAAACAAGAGATTAGGACAGACACATCACACCCACCAGAACCCGGCTCTGCATGAACAGCCAACAAATCAACCACTATCCCACTGACCTACTGTATCTAGTGTGGACAAGGGTGACACACTACCTAATCTCCCTCTTGCTAGCCAAGGTGGTGGTCATTCCTCGAATCACCTCCCCGAACTCCTCTCCAGGTTCAAACTCCTCGCCATCACTCAGGGTTCGACTGATCTGCTCCAGGGCGTTCCCTGCTCCAAGCCTCACTGTGCCGTGGTAAGACTTGTTTCTGCGATGACGTAGTGTGTTCTTGGCATTGGACACTTTGTTCTCTGTTGTTGAATACAAGGAGAATCGCGCATTATTACAAGGTGGTACCTACCAGATGTGAGCAGGATATACAATGCCATATCCTGTCCAATGACTGAAATCAGCTTCTCAAGTTTAAGTATTTCAACACGATGAACCTGTGGCAAACTATTAACGAATGGAATCATATGAAGCTCATCACGCCAACAAATCTATCTCTGTCTCAACTCTCTCCAACATTCACCAGTGATACAATAATGTATGCACTATTACTCTTCTAACATCCTTCCAGGTGAAATAACGTGACCACGTACCTAACTGCCTGCTTGGCAAACACTCTAGAAGGTCTACAGTGTCCTGAATGTCATGGCGTGGTGCAGGCCCCTGGGCTAGGTTGTAGTACCCCTCAGACCGAGGGCGGTGGGGGCGAGGGTCAGCAGGCTGGTTGTCACCAAACTGATTCCATCTGCTGTCTCTGTGCGGCATCTGACCATCGTTGGTATCTGTGCAACAGACAAACACAATGTACACAGGCTTCAGTTGTGTCTAGGTTCTGCTTTCATTATCATATGTACGCTACATTCACATTTCGCTTCGAACAAAACTTACCGTAAACGTCTTTATCTTCCATTGTTTAACTTATTCATAATCACACTGACTATTACTTGGGAAGGGAAGTAACTCTTGTAACACAGGTAATTGACAATAAAAATGATATATTTGCTGACCACAGTTGGATGCACTGGAATGACTGACACTACTGTGCCCTACTGAAGGATGTTTGGTTGAACAGCTGTTGATATGACATGCAGCTGGTTGGTGCAGCCAGTAGTAGCCTGATCATGCAGCACAGCCAGCTTACACATCAGTAAACAGCTTACACATCAGTAAACAGCTTACACATCAGTAAACAGCTTACACATCAGTAAACAGCTTACACATCAGTAAACAGCTTACACATCAGTAAACAGCTTACACATCAATAAACAGCTTACACATCAGTAAACAGTTAAAGATGATCAGCTGATTTAAACAGTTAAAGATGAACTTAGCTGATTTTACACTAACGATACAAAAGAATGATAAATAAAATAAATTCTACACAAATAATTTACAATACATTCAATCATGGATTCGATCAATGGTCACAACTCTATAATCAAAATATGTTATTTTTTCATGTATTTGTCTCTAATGTACTGATTTGTTGATACAGATCAACATGATCAGGAGAACTCCCAGAAACAGGAGATAATCAGCCATCTCATCCCGTGTATTCTGTCAGAACACTATCAGTAATATCCTGGACAGTCATCAGAACAGCTCTACTAGATCCTCAGACTGGATTATTTACAGACCTACAGATGTCAAGGAGGTTCACCATGTGTGGTGTAAAACATCAACATAAAGACAGACTCTTCAGACTGGATTATTTAAATACCAGCCATATGGTTGGAATATCATCAACTACAGAACCGCCTCCTAAAACAAAGGAATCAAGTGATAAAGAACATCCTTCCCCCAGACTGGATTAGGAGGTTCAAGGAATCAGACTGACATAAAGACAGACTTCTAAATACCAGACTAGATTGTTTACAGACCAGACCGCCATATGGTTGGAATATTGCTGTCCACGGTACAAGGAATCAGACGACATAAAGACAGACATCTACTTCCTCAGACTGGATTATTTACAGACCGCCGCCATATGGTTGGAATATTGCTGTGTGCGGTGTAAAACAACAAACCAACAAACTTCCTCAGTAAGAACACAGACGGAATGAAGTCCTTTGGCAAGCCCCCATTTCTCTCACTGAGATACAGTAGCCACTAACGTGTCAGTTTATGACGCTGACAATCACGATATTTCCAGATGTCATCAGTTAGTCCAGGTCTAAGGCAAGGGGTACCGTATACCACTTCCACACTACCACTCACATACAGATAATGATGAGACAATGTCAGACACATGTAACCATGGTAATCTAACATAATAGTTAATGAGCCTTACATGTTTCCATCTGAATGTCGTAAGGGCCAGCAAACCCATTGTGTTCATGTGGTCTCCTCTGGCCACCATGAGGGTCCATGCTCTCAACGTAGTACGCAGGCTCACGATCCATTGTCCAGGGTTCCTGCTTCTTTCTACTTCATGGTATTAAGGGAGGGTCTGATCTGTTTGGGATGTCGGCACTTGCAGCTCAAGCCTTGGACCTGGAAACCAAACATCATGTCTCATCCACAAGCAATACACAGAAACTAAGATGCACTGCGATATGTGGCCTTTCATATGATACAGAATACATACAGGTGTGTAGCACAATACAAAATACATATTAACCCTACCTTGTTAGTTGCTATTACAATAAATCTATTTTCAGCTGAAAACTTAATACTTTGTCATCGAATGGGGGGTTTGAATTTGTAAATTTGAAATAAAATCGAGGAAATCTGCAGATCAGCGGAAAATTGCCATCTCTGAATAATAGACTGAAATGACTTGCATGACAATGACTCCATTATTTCTTTGAAATTAAAATACCATTTTCAATTCATGGTTTCTCTGAGATTTACTTGATCTATGTTTACAGAAAACACCCTCATAACCAACAGTTTCTTCTTGTCCAGGTCATTTGTTATATTTTTATATCCCGTGAAAATCCAGGTCAGTCTTCAGCAACCCCAGGGATTTAAATAACTTTAAAATTGCTAGTGTACTCCGGTACAGTGGCACATGTAAAATCACTTGCCCTGATAATTTTTCCACTATACCGGCCGTTTTCTTGTTGATTTTTTAAATAAACAACATAATTAACATTAGAATATCAACTGGACACCGGTACAGTGTGATATACAAATTTGCTTGCCCGACAGAAAAAAACACTGGACTCGGGCGTCGGGCAACGGATTATTTCCACCACTGAACCCATGCATGTTGTAAAAGGCAACTAATGGGATCAGGTGGTCTTGCTCACCCATTTGGTTGACACTGTTCATCGTATCGAATTGCGTAGAACAATGCTCATGCCATTGATCAATGGTTTGTCTGATCCAGACTCGATTATTTACAGACTGCTGCCATAATCTGCAGTGTGATGCAGGGATTTACGGGATGCGAATTTCTGCGTCCCATACGCATAAAAATTGACAATGGACGCAACTAAATTTATTAGCACATCCACAGGGACACAGAAAAAGTCTAAATACCTTTTGTAAAAATTCCCATCAAGTAACAATGAGCTATCACTGAGTTTGCTACTAGCTGGGTATGGAATCATTTGCAATTTAATTTCTGTAACAATGTAATGATCATGATACACAATGGAATAACAGTATTAATAATAATATTCAAGTGTCTGGGACCCCCATTTTGTTGTCCAGGACCCCTGAAAATTAAGAATATGAGTCCCAAAGACCCTCAAATTCAGGACTCATGGTAAATCCCTGGTGATGTAAACCAACAAACAAACCAATCCAAATTTTTTTTTTCATCTCTTCCCCTGTTTATAAAATCAGAATACTTAAACTTCAACTTGTGTTGAAAATACCTTCATTTCCCTTACGTTATATCAGACATGGTTCCTCCAGCCCACACACAGTAGTCTTGGCAGTGAGTTTGTGTGGTACCCGTGAAGGTCCGGGTTAGAATTGATCTTCAGTAACCCATGCTTGTCGTAAGAGGCGACTAACGGGATCGGGTAGTCAGGCTCGCTGACTGGGTTGACACATGTCATCGTATCCCAATTGCGTATATTGATGTTCATGCTGTTGATCACTGGATTGTCTGCTCCAGACTCGATTATTTACAGACCACCGCCACATAGCTGGAATATTGCTGAGTGCGGCATAAAACTAAACTCACTCACTCACTAGTTTCTGTGGTGTCAATGATGCCAGTATCTAGGGGCTCACACCAACCCTGTAAGCACCACCCAATAACCAGTACATCAGGATGACACAGAATAAGGTCATACTCAACATACAACTTAGGGCTGTCGCGAGTAAATCGGATACCCAGGATGGGTGGGTCATGAGTTGGACCTGGGAACCCATCTCAATACCCGGATCTGTTATGATCACGTGACTAATGGATTAAACAATGGAATATGAATGTGAGTGAGTGAGTGAGTGAGTTGAGTTTTACGCCGCACTCAGCAATATTCCAGCTATATGGCGGCGGTCTGTAAATAATCGAGTCTGGACCAGACAATCCAGTGATCAACAGCATGAGCATCGATCTGCACAATTGGGAACCGATGACATGTGTCAACCAAGTCAGCGAAACTGACCACCCGATCCCGTTAGTCGCCTCTTACGACAAGATAGTCGCCTTTTTATGGCAAGCACATGGGTTGCTGAAGACCTATTCTACCCCGGATCTTCACGGGTCGGAATATGAATGTATATGTGAAGCACAATAGTGCAGTGGTAAGGAACTGCCTGTCACGCTGAAGACCCGGGTTCGATCCCCGGTGGAGGGACTAGGTTTGGGTCCCGAGGTGGGCACATTTGCGTAGTATCCTTGGACAAGATATTTAGATGCACATTGTGTCAGTTCACCCAGCTGTAACATGGGTACCCATGAGGATGTGCTGTCAATGTGAGTGTTTAGTTCATTGTGCCTAACTGGCAGCATGGCTGTATGATCCCCAGGGAGTTGAAAAGTTATCGGAAAGTACGATAGTGTCCTATGACTGGGGATAGTAATGTACGCAGCGCCGTGAGCAGGCAATGTGCCTGGATATGAGCGTCATATTAGCGGACTATTACTATTACTATTAATATGTTATTCTTTCATTGTTAAAAGGTTGTATTGTCTTTAAAGATTTAGACATAATTTACAGCCAATTCTTTTGAATATAATACATGGTTAAGATATTGAAAACGCGACCTTTTAGACTCTGTGCTGAAGAATACATTGTTATTTCTTGCAAATTTGATGTCAGGAATTAACATAACAGGTATCTGGGTAGGGTAGGGCAGGGTAATCAGGGAGGGGTACCCGTTTAGAAAAATTGGACCCATCCCAACCCTAGTACAAGTTAAGGATAATAGGCTCTGTTGTTTCAGAAAAGGAAAACAATATTGCAAAACTACTCCATGAATACTACCTGGGCCCTGTTCCACACACTGATCATAATATTAAAGGTCACACGCAACCAAAAAATCAAACATAATTAAAACACAATTATCACTTATTCATGACATATAATATACATTGCTGGTTATGAAAAAACATATAAACAAAATTATAAGCAACAATCGAAAATCAAAAGTGCAATATTTTGTACTTTGGTTTACTTCCCAAGAAACGAAGCAGCTGGGATACCAAACCCAGTCAGAGCGGGTGGGTGTGCACTCAAGTGTAACGGCTGGTTCATTTGCAGATCCCCTCACGGCTCATTGTGTGTGTATATATATATAGAGAGAGATGTTGGGATTTGTAAATACATGCTCATTTTTTGTGTATAACATTTTGCAATCAACAGACATCATAACATGTCATGTGTACAAGTATCACACCTGCCTGTCTGTGTAATTACATAATGTGACAGAGACCGAACTCGGGCCATAAATCAATGCGTTTTGTTTATGGTGTATAGCCTGATAGGTGTTAAGTTCAAATTGCATGTGGTCAGTGATCGAAGTTGTGTATTGAATATTGTCATTAGCAGACGGGCAGGCAGATACATAGGTGTCAATAAAACAGACATTGAGTTGTCTGTGACAACGACATATCGATATTACAGTTAGAAATTCTGTCAACGCTAAATAATGACATTGCTTTTAAGTATCGAACTGAAAAAGTGACTGGGTAAGAAGAACGTGTGGTGAAATAGACAAATGAAATTATATAAACAGTTAAATCGGTAATCTACTGTAATTACATATAAAAAGCTCGCGCCTGTGAAATATCAACAAAACATTTAGAAAAATAGCTCACACCAAAGCCTTCACCGAGTATTCACCGGACAACCCGCTTCCATGCTGCGCGAACCTATTTCACTGCGCATGTGCTATGAGCGCAGCCCAGCTGTTGAAACCACTTCAATTCCCCCAAGCGCTGTGGGAAAATTAGTGAATCGTTTGAACTACGATTTTGCTCGTTTTTTTTCATCATGTTATTTTTCAACTTTATAAGTTGAATTTGCATTTTTGATGATTTGTTTCGGTAAGTCCATACCGAAAAGGTAACAGAATCTGCAAAGTTGTGTTTTACGTTGCATGTGACCTTTAAAGAAAAGTGATCATACTTGTAGAGATACTTAAATCGAACGGTTAATAGCCAATACATATACAGTTTCTGACCTTTGACATCAAAATCAAGTCCATTTGGTGAGTTCAACTGTGATTATCACAAAAAGTTGGTTATTTTTCAAAACTATATCTTTGAAGTAGAAACAGATTGGACGTGAACATCTATCCGAAATAGTGGTATTATTTAAGTAACAATTTAAGTCCCTTAAAAAGGTTAAAAACATATCTTTTAAGCCTTCAAGAGTTAAGTACAGAGAATATTGGTTGATCATGTTCATCTATCACTGTGAAATGCCTTGCATCCTATACCGTGTCAGGAACAGTGTGTTTTCATATCGATCAAAAACAATTCTGGAAAACACTAGAGGTTAGAACCCGAAAAAACCAAATGGTAATGAATGGAACGTACTACCAGGCAAATGGCTGTGAACTAATTATACAAAGTTATATTGTTCTAAGAAGTTAAGCATTGTATAATGACTTAATAATATGACACTAAGTAATATATTTTTATGTGACGTCACAATGAACAATGACGTCACCAACGCATACCAGTAGGTGTACGGCTAGACCATCACTAACGCTAATGGAACTTTGAACAAAGTTACAAGTGGCAACGGTGAACATGTTAACTAGCGTATTGGTAATGTAACGAACATAAATATTGTCAGAATCTAAATGTTTCCTTAGAGATTGGTCAATGCGACCTTAAATACCATTGAAATCAGAAATCGTGACACATGAACAGGTGAAGGGAAATGGTCGCGTCTCTCTAATCTCGGTCCGTTTACCGTTCCAATAAAGAATTAAACTGTTCATAAATATTTACCAGACATACCAGAATTTCAAAATGTTGAAAAGGTTTGTAAAAGTTATTAGAAAAAGTTGTCGTGAGCAGACACAAAGTTGTAGCGGTATGTGTGGCGACCGGCTACAGTCGATGAGATCGATGACAGTGTTGACAGGTCGTGCTGAAAGTTTCAAGGGAAGCTCTCGACCCGAGGCAACTTCCGTGTTGTTGATCAAGTCCGTATTGTACTTTGATGTCTTCTGACATTCATACGTAATACTTACCTTAATTACAGCCAGCAGACGTGTCTTAGTTAAACACCTGTAATGGTTAATATGTGTAGATATCTCCACGAGTAAAGCCGAGATCCAGTAAGTGTCTGGGATGTTTTGGTATTAAGGGCGAGCTGATTGGCTGATAAACACATCCGGGTCAGGTCACGACACGAGCAAATAGAACCGGTTTGCGATCTCATATCACATAATGTTTACATGTTTTCCATAAGCGTGTTGGGTCTGGATTTCTTGGTGTGTGTAAATTTTAAAACACTCGCAAAATTCAGTTGCCTCCCATAAACCTGGATTGAAATCCACTTTCCAGTGAAATTGCAGTGAAAATAATAGTGCGTTTTCAAGTAACAATTTATAAATGGACTTATAGTCACTAAATGCCCGGCTATGTGTGGCCAGTGGCCGTGGAGATTTAAAAGAGTGAAAAATACGGGTTTTGGTAGTGTAATATGTAACGTCCATCCATGGTGTTCCATTTCGTTATGGTTAAAGCAGTTAAACAAAACTGTACTAACCCTGCCCCGACCCTGATATTGCTGGAATATTGCTAAAAACGGCGTAAAACTATACTCACTCATACTCGTTGTTGTACATTGTACTTGTCGAGTCAGTGAGTCTCAGTGGTGTATATTGCCTTCACTGATTTTATTGCTCTTGTATTATACTGCCTCTGAATTTCTACTGCCTCTCTGTTTTGTACTGTCATAATGATATTTTTGTCCTTAATTTGCATTGATTTGCAAAAATAATTCAATTTTAGAATACAATAAAATCACATTTCTTTGCTGTATGTTTGTTTCACACTAAGTTCTTTCGCGAACCGATTCGCAGTTAACTGTTAGTTTCAACTTGGGATCAGCACATTGCAATAGGTCTTACGACAAATCGTTGTAAACATATTCCTATGTTTACAAAGTTCCCTGGATCGATCTGTTTTATGTCTCACGAACAGTCTAAGATGTGTTGAAGGTTCACGTTTGGCAGTTCTTCAACATCCACAAGTTGACATGTATCACCTGATGAATTGACTGACTGATTATTAAAAGATTAATAGGCGTTCGGGCAACTAGGCTTGATGAAGGAGTGAGAATAAACTCCGAAACGCTGTTCTCCTTATATTGAAGAAGTTGACATCCATAAGGTCTCACCTGTTATGTGTATAGCTTGTAAAGGCCGTTAAAACATCCACATTGTTAGTTCCATGGTCCCACATTCGTGTGGATGTCCACAGAGTGAGGTCAGAAGCGCAGTGTGATTCTTTCTCACGACATAAATTCAAACTCAATCGGAAGTAAAGAAAACCAATTTTACTTGCCAAAACATGAGGTCTTCATACTATCCGTTCGATTTATAACTTAGCTTTTCACTTTAAGAATAGTGTCATAAACCTTTAACCTCCACCTTGCTGTTACTGCCTCTCTATCTATCTATCTATCTATCTATCTATCTCTCTGTCTGTCTGTCTGTCTGTCTGTCTGTCTATCTATCTATCTATCTATCTATCTACCTCTGCTTGAAAGATGATATGGACCGATTTATAATACCAAGATCCTGATTTCCCCACACTTCACCGACTCCACACTCAAACAATAATGTTTTAACCTTTAATGCCCAACAACTCAAATCCTTATTTGCTAGAGACAAGTGGTAAGAATAAATTTTCTTGTTGTGTTCCTCATAATAAATAAGTTGACATCCATAAAAATTCTCTTCCTGATATGAAGGTACATGAAAATCGGTCGAGAGTGCTGTTGAGAGCTCGAACACGCAATAAACTTCCTGGTTGTGAAATGACAATGGTCTGTCTTTATCAGTGTACAGGTGTGTGTTCGGGTACAGCTGATCTCACCGTCACGATCCCCACCCTGGGTACAGTTGATCTCACCGTCACGATCCCCACCCTGGGTACAGCTGATCTCACCGTCACGATACCCACCCTGGGTACAGCTGATCTCACCGTCACGATCCCGACCCTGAACGGGAACCGCCCAAATACACGTGTCCTATAATGTATTCGTCACTGATCTTCGTCTGGCTAAACGAAATGCGATCTCATTGTCGGTTACGGGCCGGGTACTGACGGATGGCGAGGTGTGTCAGTTACGGTAATGTCCTCAATAAACGTCCTCACTGATCTACATCGCAAGGCATGGCCACGTCGATGTAACATGTCTCCCCTATTATATCCATTATGACGCTAATCAGATATTACCATCGGTACTATTTAACCGCTCCGTTGATTTAACGTGTAGATGACGGTGGGAGCATTATCACAGTCAGTCCGAACTTCTGATTAAAATTCTATCACACGTCCCTTGCTTCCCAATGTTTTGTCCTTACCAGTGTTCGTAGGTCACAATCACGGCGGCAACATTGATTGATATTTTCGAATGACTTTCATGAAGTTACAGGAAGATAAAGTTTTGATTATAATAATAAAACTGTTTTCCTGATTAGTGAATTTTAATATGTCCATAGCAGTTTCACCATATTAATCAGAACACTGAGGCGGCTGGGATATACCCGACAACACATCATTGAATCACAACCCGAGAGGCTGGGATATACCCGACAACACATCATTGAACCAGAACTCGGAGTGGCTGGGATATACCCGACAACACATCATTGAACACACTCGGGTGGCTGAACACATCATTGAACTCGGAGTGGCTTGATATACCCGACAACACATCATTGAACCACATCGCGGAGGCTGGATATACCCGACAACACATCATTGAATCACAACTCGGAGTGGCTGGGATATACCCGACAACACATCATTGAACCACAACTCGGAGTGGCTGGGATATACCCGACAACACATCATTAAACCACATCATTCAGAACTCGGAGTGGCTGGGATATACCCGACAACACATCATTGAACCACAACTCGGAGTGGCTGGGATATACCCGACAACACATCATTGAACCAGAACTCGGAGTGGCTGGGATATACCCGACAACACATCATTGAACCACAACTCGGAGTGGCTGGGATATATACCCGACAACACATCATTGAACCACAGCTCGGAGTGGCTGGATATTCCTGACAACACATCATTAAACCACAGCTCGGAGTGGCTGGGATATACCCGACAACACATCATTGAATCACAACTCGGAGTGGCTGGGATATACCCGACAACACATCATTGAACCAGAACTCGGAGTGGCTGGGATATACCCGACAACACATCATTGAACCAGAAATCGGAGCGGCTGGGATATACCCGACAACACATCATTGAACCAGAACTTAAACCACAGCTGAGTGGCTGGGATATACCCGACAACACATCATTGAACCACAACTCGGAGTGGCTGGGATATACCCGACAACACATCATTGAACCACAATCGAGGTGGCTGGGATATACCCGACAACACATCAGCTCGAGTGGCTGGGATATACCCGACAACACATCATTAAACCACAGAACTCTCGGAGTGGCTGGGATATACCCGACAACACATCATTAAACCACAATCAGAGTGGCTGGGATATACCCGACAACACATCATTAAACCACAGCTCGGAGTGGCTGGGATATACCCGACAACACATCATTAAACCACAGCTCGGAGTGGCTGGGATATACCCGACAACACATCATTAAACCACAGCTCGGAGTGGCTGGGATATACCCGACAACACATCATTAAACCACAGCTCGGAGTGGCTGGGATATACCCGACAACCACAACCTCGGAGTGGCTGGGATATACCCGACAACACATCATTAAACCACAGCTCGGAGTGGCTGGGATATACCCGACAACACATCATTAAACCACAGCTCGGAGTGGCTGGGATATACCCGACAACACATCATTAAACCACAGCTCGGAGTGGCTGGGATATACCCGACAACACATCATTAAACCACAATCGGAGTGGCTGGGATATACCCGACAACACATCATTAAACCACAGCTCGAGTGGCTGGGATATACCCGACAACACATCATTAAACCACAGCTCGGTGGCTGGGATACCCCGAACACATCATTAAACCACAGCTCGGGTGGCTGGGATATACCCGACAACACATCATTAAACCACAGCTCGGAGTGGCTGGGATATACCCGACAACACATCATTAAACCACAGCTCGGAGTGGCTGGGATATACCCGACAACACATCATTAAACCACAGCTCGAGTGGCTGGGATATACCCGACAACACATCATTAAACCACAGCTGGCTGGGAAACCACAGCTCGGAGTGGCTGGGATATACCCGACAACACATCATTAAACCACAGCTCGGAGTGGCTGGGATATACCCGACAACACATCATTAAACCACAGCTCGAGTGGCTGGGATATACCCGACAACACAACATTAAACCACAGCTCGGAGTGGCTGGGATATACCCGACAACACATCATTAACCCACAGCTCGGAGTGGCTGGGATATACCCGACAACACATCATTAAACCACAGCTCGGAGTGGCTGGGATATACCCGACAACACATCATTAAACCACAGCTCGGAGTGGCTGGGATATACCCGACAACACATCACAAAATCAGAACCCTAGTCAAGTTTCAGTTTCCCTATTCAGCCCCGAGCCATACGTCAGAGGGAGGCGAGTTGTAGTTGCATTGTTGATGTTTAATGACTGTCGAGGCTACACAATTCAATAGATACGGCGTCGTTCAGAACATCCAGTGTAACAGGTGGTAACGTCATAAACACTAGTTAACTATTATGCAAAATATCCATTGGACGTCCATATGCATTATTTACACTTAATTGTCAATCTTCCTCTGTGTCTGTCTCTAATGATTGCGAGCGTTGACATTTGTTATTGTAAATATTCTTGGAAGGGGGTTTATATTCTTGGAGAGGGGTTTTATATTCATGGAGACGGGGTTTATATTCTTGGAGGGTTTATATTCTTGGTGGGGGTGTATATTCTTGGTGAGGGGTGTATATTCTTGGAGAGGGTTATATATTCTGGAGAGGGTTTATATTCTTGGAGAGGGTTTATATTCTTGGAGAGGGGGTTTTATATTCTTGGAGAGGGGTTTATATTCTTGGAGAGGGTTTATATTCTTGGAGAGGGGGGGGTTTATATTCTTGGAGAGGGTTTATATTCTTGGAGGGGTTTATATTCTTGAGAGGGGGTTTATATTCTTGGAGAGGGATTTATATTCTTGGAGAGGGTTTATATTCTTGGAGAGGGGGTTTATATTCTTGGAGAGGGTTTATATTCTTGGAGAGGGGTTTATATTCTTGGAGAGGGGATGGCTATATTCTTGGAGGGTTTATATTCTTGGAGAGGAGGGGTTTTATATTCTTGGAGAGGGGGTTTATATTCTTGAGAGGGGTTTATATTCTTGAGAGGGGTTTATATTCTTGGAGAGAGGGTTATATTCTTGGAGAGGGGTTTATATTCTTGGAGAGGGTTTATATTCTTGGAGAGGGGGTTTATATTCTTGGAGAGGGGGTTTATATTCTTGGAGAGGGGTTTAACACAGTCTTAACACTAGGAATAGCGTTCTGACATCATTATGTGTCACATAATGTCACAACATTAAACTGAACTGTATATTAGCTCAAAATTGAGTAAGGATCGATATTGGCGAAACTTCGATCCTTACCTCATAGGTTAAAAGTGCAAAAGCAACGTTTTGTCAGTTTATCCAACCTGTACTAATGTCTGTGATAACTGGGATTTATCAGACTTAGATTGGAAGGCGAATGACATGTTGCTCTACATTTCTCAAATTACATGAACGGTGGGGAGTCGTTTTGATCAGTTTACATCTACACATAATTTGTCCCCCTAATATCACATACAGTATTACTCACGTTAAGCAGGCACATTCTGTATTATTATTATTATATTAGGATTTTTATATAGCGCACATATCCACGCAGTAGTGCATGCTCAAGGCGCTGGTATTTTTTCCCTCGATCATTGGATGTCAATATCAACTGCACACCGTATTAGCAATCTCAACTCCCTGGGGAGTATACAACTCTTGCTGCCACTAGGCCCCGAGTTATTGTGGCTTTCTCATCCTAAATACACAGATGTATATATAGATATACAATTTGCACTTTGTTTTATGCGTATTTGTGTTACATGAAAAGGAAGGGGAAATGTATTGTTGTATCCTGTTGTATGATCTTCTGTTTACAAGTAATGTCTCTGTAATGTTCTATAGTGCGAAATGGGCATCATATATTGTACCTATGGGGGAATCGAATCCAGACGTTCGGCGCAACGATCCAGCACTTTGACTACTCAACCCACCGACAGGATGATGGTAAGCATGCCGACAAAGAATTAACAGTCGGTACCGACACAATATGTATAAGTAATAAACTGAATAGCTCTCGTCATATGGCAGGCCGGGATGGGTTCTTCACTTATATGTAAGCTAAGGCACAACATGTAAAGATCTACATGGGTACAGAAGTCTCCCCTGTCGATGTCCCCGCCACGACGTAGATACCACTTACAGAGACCACCACTCGCACCTGGCCAAGTCTTCAACTCTGTCGAAGGGAGTACTAGCAAGTCTAGACCGTTAAGATCACAGGCAGTACTTTCATTTGCAAAACCACCTTGTGAAAATATTGACAGGTTTGTCTAAAGTACAATCCCCACACATCCTACTTCGTTCATTGACGTCGCAAACATGGCCGCCAGTAATGCCGCAGTTGACCTGTTGACAATGGACTTGTGACGACATCTGTTTGGGAAAGTCTTTGTGTGTTCGTACTTCAACGGGTTTGAGTAGTAAATTACTCTGAAGGTTTCAAGGCTCGAATTTTAAACTCAAACTTGTTCAGGAATTGGAATACGGCCTTTTTTCATTGTCGGTGGTAATATTTGATCTAAAGGGTTGGGTTGTTTGCTGCGTTGTTGAACCGGTAATGCATTTAAACTTTGCAAAAGTTACTGCTGTTGAAATAGCTCCAAGACTTTGATGGAGAGCAGGTAAAATGTCCACGTGTGAAGAGATTGCACGCCAACCATTAGCCACACAGAGTCGCTGTACACCGGAATATCATCGATATGTCTTGTGCAAGTAGAATATTTTACCAGCATAATTCAAGATTTAAAAAAACAATCTTCCCTAATGTTTTGTGAACAATGCTCTTGAAGTCCTGGAGTGAGTGTTTTTTGTCCAGTCACGTTGTAAAAAATATTTCATTGCTCCTTATTCTGAATGTCAACAAAGAAATCTTTGAAATGACATGAACCCGTTACAATTTCCAGCTGAGCTTTATCACACCTTGCCGATGTAGCAACTGAACAAAATGATGCCGTTTATATATATCCTTTGGTCTAACGGTTCTTTAAGTTCAAAACATAGTAGCGGTCTAGACAGAAAGATGGGGACCATGAGCTGTCTTAACACATTATATATACTCAGAGTCATATGTGGAATTAGTTCAGATGAAGACATATATATTGTTTACTCGAGCAATGAAACGCATACTTGTACATAATCCAATAAAAGTTTTTTAGAGAAATGATTATATTCATGGCAACATTGGGACAACCAGTTAAAAGCTCTTTTGGAAGCTTTTCGAAGCCCAGTCGGCATTAGTGATATTTGCCAAGGAAGAACCTGCAAGCTCTGTTTTGAATTGCATATACAGTGTACTACTCTTTGTTCATACAAAACCTGTTTACCGGCCCCTCATAACAATATCGATTGAACAAGCGAATCGCATATGGTTGTATACATAACCTATATTGGGGGCACTTAGTCGACTGACAGAGTGCATGCACACGTTGACCTATTGCTGTTAGTACTTTAGTTCCTCATTGGGTCAAGGAAGCAATCTCGATGGCGCCGACTTTATTTGCAATCTACATTGATGATCTGGCTCTGGATGTACAGACTTGAAACTGTGGTATATGTATTGGTGACCATCTTGCTGCATGTATACCTAACCCTGTACAGCAGAGTATGTACCAGATGCTGCATGTGTACTTAACCCTGTACAGCAGAGTATGTACCAGATGCTGCATGTGTACCTAACCCTGTACAGCAGAGTATGTACCAGATGCTGCATGTGTACCTAACCCTGTACAGCAGAGTATGTACCAGATGCTGCACGTGTACCTAACCCTGTACAGCAGAGTATGTACCAGATGCTGCATGTATACCTAACCCTGTACAGCAGAGTATGTACCAGATGCTGCATGTATACCTAACCCTGTACAGCAGAGTATGTACCAGATGCTGCATGTATACCTAACCCTGTACAGCAGAGTATGTACCAGATGCTGCATGTATACCTAACCCTGTACAGCAGAGTATGTACCAGATGCTGCATGTATACCTAACCCTGTACAGCAGAGTATGTACCAGATGCTGCATGTATACCTAACCCTGTACAGCAGAGTATGTACCAGATGCTGCATGTGTACCTAACCCTGTACAGCAGAGTATGTACCAGATGCTGCATGTGTACCTAACCCTGTACAGCAGAGTATGTACCAGATGCTGCATGTGTACTTAACCCTGTACAGCAGAGTAGCAGAGAGCATGTACCACCAGATGCTGCATGTATACCTAACCCTGTACAGCAGAGTATGTACCAGATGCTGCATGTATACCTAACCCTGTACAGCAGAGTATGTACCAGATGCTGCATGTATACCTAACCCTGTACAGCAGAGTATGTACCAGATGCTGCATGTGTACCTAACCCTGTACAGCAGAGTATGTACCAGATGCTGCATGTGTACCTAACCCTGTACAGCAGAGTATGTACCAGATGCTGCATGTATACCTAACCCTGTACAGCAGAGTATGTACCAGATGCTGCATGTATACCTAACCCTGTACAGCAGAGTATGTACCAGATGCTGCATGTATACCCCTTAACCCTGTACAGCAGAGTATGTACCAGATGCTGCATGTATACCTAACCCTGTACAGCAGAGTATGTACCAGATGCTGCATGTATACCTAACCCTGTACAGCAGAGTATGTACCAGATGCTGCATGTATAACCTAACCCTGTACAGCAGAGTATGTACCAGATGCTGCATGTACCTAACCCTGTACAGCAGAGTATGTACCAGATGCTGCATGTGTACCTAACCCTGTACAGCAGAGTATGTACCAGATGCTGCATGTATACCTAACCCTGTACAGCAGAGTATGTACCAGATGCTGCATGTATACCTAACCCTGTACAGCAGAGTATGTACCAGATGCTGCATGTATACCTAACCCTGTACAGCAGAGTATGTACCAGATGCTGCATGTATACCTAACCCTGTACAGCAGAGTATGTACCAGATGCTGCATGTATACCTAACCCTGTACAGCAGAGTATGTACCAGATGCTGCATGTATACCTAACCCTGTACAGCAGAGTATGTACCAGATGCTGCATGTATACCTAACCCTGTACAGCAGAGTATGTACCAGATGCTGCATGTATACCTAACCCTGTACAGCAGAGTATGTACCAGATGCTGCATGTATACCTAACCCTGTACAGCAGAGTATGTACCAGATGCTGCACGTATACCTAACCCTGTACAGCAGAGTATGTACCAGATGCTGCATGTATACCTAACCCTGTACAGCAGAGTATGTACCAGATGCTGCATGTATACCTAACCCTGTACAGCAGAGTATGTACCAGATGCTGCATGTATACCTAACCCTGTACAGCAGAGTATGTACCAGATGCTGCATGTATACCTAACCCTGTACAGCAGAGTATGTACCAGATGCTGCATGTATACCTAACCCTGTACAGCAGAGTATGTACCAGATGCTGCATGTGTACCTAACCCTGTACAGCAGAGTATGTACCAGATGCTGCATGTATACCTAACCCTGTACAGCAGAGTATGTACCAGATGCTGCACGTATACCTAACCCTGTACAGCAGAGTATGTATACCTAACCCTGTACAGCAGAGTATGTACCAGATGCTGCATGTATACCTAACCCTGTACAGCAGAGTATGTACCATGTACCTAACCCTGTACAGCAGAGTATGCATGTACCTAACCCTGTACAGCAGAGTATGTACCAGATGCTGCATGTATACCTAACCCTGTACAGCAGAGTATGTACCAGATGCTGCACGTATACCTAACCCTGTACAGCAGAGTATGTACCAGATGCTGCATGTATACCTAACCCTGTACAGCAGAGTATGTACCAGATGCTGCATGTATACCTAACCCTGTACAGCAGAGTATGTACCAGATGCTGCATGTGTACCTAACCCTGTACAGCAGAGTATGTACCAGATGCTGCATGTGTACCTAACCCTGTACAGCAGAGTATGTACCAGATGCTGTGTACCTAACCCTGTACAGCAGAGTATGTACCAGATGCTGCATGTGTACCTAACCCTGTACAGCAGAGTATGTACCAGATGCTGCATGTGTACCTAACCCTATACAGCAGAGTATGTACCAGATGCTGCACGACATGCACGACATAAACTCTCGTGGTCTGACAAGCCCGGGGAGATAAAACATGTGGGACGTTAATCATATAAGAATCGTTCACATGTCAGAGCTTGCCACAAAGGTTTGCTGATGTGATAGTAGTGATCCCATGCAGTGCGCAGCAATCGCTGGGTAAACACTTGGCTTAGATGCGGCGTTACGTAATCCAAGGGTTGGGACGCCCCCCGAGGAATGATAAAACATTCCCCGACTGTAGTGAAATGTAAAACCGTGAACCTATAAAGATCCGTCCAAAAGGCGAGTTATATTGTTCTGAAATTTACTGAACCGAGTGTTAATTTACGCCGCGGATGGTTCACCGTCTTCTGCTACTTGCAAATAACAGAGGCTGGCCCCGACAAACTAGAACAGAAGCGGAACCCATCTAGAGGACATGAGTCCTAAAGGTTTCTTGTACAGGGTATTCAACTTTCAATAGCAAACGAAGAGCATACTTTGATGCACAAAAAGAGAAACTTATTGCAGCAAGAGACAACCCAAAGAAATTTTGGAAAACATTAAGGCAATCCGGTTCAACCTCAAAATGTGACACCACGAATGATATAAGCAGTGAAGACTGGTTCAGTCACTTCTCAGGGCTTCAAACTGAGAATTCTGATAATGTGTTTGACTTTGATATCAATTTGGAAATTATCAAGGATGAAGAGCTAAACACATTAAATTGTGACATTACTGAAAACGAAGTCTTACTTCACATTGATAAACTGGCAAAATATAAGTCTCCTGGACCAGATGGTATTGCAATTGACTTTATTAAAACTTCTAAGACTCTTATCAGCAATTATTTAACAATGTTGTTTAACAGTAGGTTAAAGGTTTGGTGTGAGGAGGAGAATATTATTCATGAAGCTCAGGCAGGATTCAGGAATAATTATTCTACTACTGGTCATATTTTCTCACTTCAAACTATGGTACAGAAATATTCATGTAAGAAGAAAGGAAGGTTTCATTGTGTATTTATATATTTTTCAAATGCCTTTGATATAGTTAATCACAAAATTCTTCTGTCAAGTCTGAAAAAAGTTGGTGTGGTAAATTCTATAACATTCTTGTATCAATGTGTGTCAGAACATCTCATGGTCTTTCAAGTTATTTTGATTGTAGTATAGGTACTAGACAGGGTTGCATCCTCAGCCTTCAATTGTTTATTATCTTTATTAATCAGCTTATGGAAAGTATGGAGCAATTTGGTGGCCGTGGTATATTTATTACACCTGATGTTAATAATCTATATCTCTAATGTTTGCGGATGATGTTTCCTCAGTCTCGGATACTTTGCTTTCCAGCTTCAGAAGAAGGTTCATGGTCTTGAGAATATTTGTTAACTTACTGGTCAATATTGATAAGACTGAAGTTATTGTTTTCAGGAATAGTTGGCCCCTTAGACAGTATGAATAGTGGTTTCTTTATGGACAAAGGCTGGAAGTTGTTCCATACTATAGGTATTTGGGTATTGTATTCACTCCAAGGCTAGTATGGACTAACGCTCAGTCTATACTCTTGCTTCTTAAGCCAATAAAGCCCTTATGGCTATCTATAGATGCCCAAAAGAGTAGGTTATTTGTCATGTACGGATCTTTTCAAAATATTTGATGGTATGGTTAAACCTATTCTTTGTTATGGCTCAGAAATTTGGGGTGTCAAGCATTGTAAAATCATTGAATAAATGCAGATAAAAGCATGTAAATATTTCTAAAAAGCTGGCAAAAATACTTGTAACAATATGGTTCTTGGTGAATGTGGCAGATTCCCTCTTCAACTTACTTATATGTTAAGGGCAGTTAAATATTGGTGTAGAGTTTTAACTCTTCCAAGTTGTAGATTACCTCATCAGTTTTATGTAATGTTAAAGTCTTTGGATGAATCTAGACGCATGACATGGGCATCTCATATCAAGAATATTATATTTAGATTTGGGTTTGGCTTTGTTTGGATTTTCCAGGATATTGGAGATATTGATGGTTTCATTTCTGTTTTTAAGCAGAGATTGTCTGATAGTCTTTCACAAGACTGGTACTCATCCCTACATAATACATCCAAGTGTTCTAATTATATACTTTTCAAGTCCCTCTTAAATATTGAAACTTATCTCAGTTTAGATATTGCCCATATTTAAGAAATTGTTTGACCAACTTTAGATGTGGTAACTTTAAACTTTGTTCTGAGACCGGTAGATATGGGAATGTCCCTTATGATTTTGTCCTTTTCGCAAAAAAATATAATCTTAATTAATTGAAGATGAAATACATGTTTTACTTTATTGTAAAGCCTACCTAGATATAAGGAATAAACTTCTGGATAAATATTTGAAACATCCTCTATCACAACACAGTTTTGTCAACATAATGTCTTCAACAAACATAAATGTTATAAATAATTTATGCATATTTTTATATATGTAACTCATGCAAAATATATAACTATGAATATATTTTGGGCCAGTGGTCTAATACTAAGTAGACGCTTGCTTCTGTTTGCTTCTCATTCATACCAAGACACATTGATCTCGAATCTCATTTGAAAACTCAAGAATATGCTTCCAGTAAACAAGTATAATTTTCCCTTGTTCATTTCAGTGATTATGTCTAATTACTGAAAATTTCAGAAATTAGATATAACCACTGAGTGAAACAGGCATTAGACTTAATCACTAAAACTTTCAGTGATTATACATAATCACTGATTATACTTGCTTCCTGTAACATATATAACATAGAATGGGGACAGTGGAGTGCTATGTTTAGACGTGTACTATATCTACACAGGGTTCTGGAAGCGATACTATTGCATCTATATAGGCATTTCCAATATATTCTGATCCAGAGAGTTGGAAAATCTTCTGGAGTCTTTTTCTAAACTGTTGCCTCGCGTCTCACAATACATGTTAAGTTACAGGACGACCAGCAATCGCGTGGAGATCACCCTTAACCTGGATTCTCAGGACCATTTGCAGTTTAATTTGTCAGTGTGGTAAATATTACCATCTCTGTCCTTATTGCTATAATCACTGCTCTTGTCTTAGGCTACTTTTGACTTTGTACTGCTATTCTATTGTGTGCTGCCATTGGAATACATCTGTAGTGATTTGTATCAATTTGTAAACTTACTTACAACCCATCGCTTTGTTGTTTGTTGGTTTCACGTTATATTACAGGCTGCCTTTCCCGTTAACTATTAGTTTCAGCTTGAGAATCCACACATAACACTTTCAACGCCACAAGCTGGTCCTACTTTGTCAGTCCATCCACTAACATGGGAAGAAGGCGTGGCACCATGCATGGTCGTCAAGGTTACAACACAAAAAAATGTAAGAAGTGAACTCGGGACGACGAGCGAGTTGGCAATGTAAAAATAGTTAATGAAATAAAAAACTAAAGATAACCTGTAAAGCCTTGAAAAATACCTCCGTATAAAATGTATTTGGATATCGAATAATACTGATTTCTTGCCTGAAGTGATTTTTCTTTTGTAAATCATGTCCTTTTGTATTTGATAATATTGTTTGTGCGATTTCAAAATAATTCGAGGATGGCACCCTCAGTTGCAATCAAACTGCTCTCTAGCACACACCGAGTTCCTGTGTGGTACAGAAGCATTTACCTACCAGTGCTAATGCTTCCCTCCCACTGAAGACCAACACACGAATATCTACCCTCAGGCCTGATTCTCACCATCTCCTCTGGGTATCACAAGTAAACACTGCCAGGTTTGTCCATCACTCCTGCTGCTGCAGCTGAGTGGAGCAGTCTCCCACTTCAACATTTCTCTCCAACTTTCCGGATCTTTAAGAGCCAACTAAAGAGTCACTTTTCCAGACTGGCCTTCATTGACTGAGCAGAAACCGTTCTTGTGCACTTCGAGCATACATTAAGTGAGGAGTTAAGCTCTTTATAAAAGCACAATTATTATAACAAATATGATTAAGCTGCATGCACCCTTGACTAGGAATATTTCATTCAGAGATATGCAGACATGAGGCGGTATAACACCATGTATTTATTGATTTACTGTCAACAGTTTTAATGTATGTTTAATTCTTGCTATGTTTCCGGGTAGTTCGTATATGCTTTTGCAATGTCAGTGTTAAATATTACACAACTGTGCATTCTTGGTGTCGAGCGTTTTTTGGCGGCTCCTATTTTGAATACATGACATAAAAAGTCTTTTTCGGTAGATTACATTCATTACAACGAGGGACGTGTGGAGAGACTCACGTCCCCTATATATCATCAGGAAAGTTCTTGTTCAGCTGTAGAGGACCACCTTTATATGCGATCCCCTTGCAGCGTTATACCGAAATACGTCAATAGATGTGACTTGTTGTTTCTCTGGCTGCCGTCAAGGTGATAAAACAAGGACCGTTCGGCTCAGAGGACATGGGGTGAGTTGAACATCCATAGTAAACTGCAGAATGGTACCTCAGAGGCTAGATATAAATTAATACGTGCCTACATCCGGGCTTCATTCAGCGACACTCACGTTCCGCGATTACACGACGACATTAACGTCAGGCATCGGTTCCTATATTCTACGTTCATGTTGGGGCAGAGATGGAGAGGTGAACTTCGGCATCTCAACTCAACATGAGATAATGATCTCAAAAAAGGATATTAGTTTTAAAGTTGATAGAAATCTGTTTTACACCAAAAGCGTTGGACCCAGATCAAGTTTCGCCTGCATTGTTCAGTAAATGTACCTTTAAGATTGTAAGAGTGACTTGCTGGTACACAGGTTCTAGTGGACTTTAAGACTTGCTAATGAGCCTACGACAACCTGTCCACATCAACACAAACAACCTGACCTACATCTTTTAGCAAAAGCTCAATGCAGTAATCGACACCGAGACGCAGCAGAGGTCCGACTGACTGTCAGTTACACACATCCTTGTTGTGCAGGTAACATTCAGCTCATGGAGATAAAAAATATTTTTTTACGTGCATAATCTTCGACAATGGCAGTATTCAGAGACTACCTGACAAGAAACAAATATTGTTTTTTTGACGTGACAGGATCACCTTATCTTCACGGTTGCCATGATACCAGATAAATATTGTCACCGACATTGTGTGTGACCCCCACCCATCACCCCCTCCCCTACCTCGCCATGTTCAGGCCTTTCACACCAGCAACTAGACCACAACACGGTGTAGGTTTCGGGTATACACATTAGAAGCAAACCTCCACGAAAGGATCAAGCTACACAGACAAAGACTAGCCTGATCTGGCCATTAAAACAAGCAACTCCTACACAGTGGCAACGGTCCATTATGGCTATAACACGAAGACCGCCTCACTATATCACAGAAGTGAATATCGCCCAAGCCGTGCCAGTTTTATACAACATTATGCCGGGTATCTGATACGTATACGATTATTTGTCCAGTTAGGCGAATATTACAGAGTTCAGACAGATTAGATTCATCACCGACACCACTAAGGAAGAGATTAGGACAAAAAGGGTTGTCAGGTGTGATAATTAGCTGCTCTCATGCCATCGATATCCTAACTGCGTGAGTCAATGATCATGATGTTAGTCACATGATAGTCTGGTCCAGACACACTTAACTTTGGACGGCCGTCAATAACCGCCGTGACACAAGACTCTGCTAGACGCGTTCATAATTATTTATGAAATCTAATTAGGTTCTAAGTCAGAATATCATGTTTTCCCGTTCAGTGTATGATTTTACATCGCATAGAGAGAATGTGTGGACCTGTGTGAGTACCTGTAATTAGGAACAATGGTAGCCGCGTTTACCTGTACTCCGTAGACAGCGATTGGCTTAACGCTCTGACGCGTATAGCTGCAGGAACATTGCACGGACGAGCAGATGATTGAGACACCACCCAGACACGTCACACTACACGCACACCCGGTACCAGAGACACAACAACAGAGATTCTACCTGGGATTACTAGACATCTCCAGACATGACGACTACATCGGATGGTGGGTACTGTTCCATATATGTCTAACCTATGTCTACTGTGAGCATGGACAGAGACCTTGTCATTTAACTTATAGGTCTCACAGAAGCCTGACAGAGACAGAGACAGAGAGTGTGTGTTGGTGTGTGTGTGCATTGGTGTAACAGCGGGTAAACGTTTGTTGTACGAAGAATTCCATGAAAGAGAAATGCTTTATGGTGTAATCGAATTATTAGCAGAGCAAATCATCGATCGTCCTGCATAAATATTACATGTTGGCTTTTATCAAAGTATTGATATTGACTTTGTTGAACAAGCATAAAAATCTTATAACTTTCCTTGTATTGTAAAGGAAAGTTTTGATCAAATGTACCGCCTCTTTGGCCCGTTCCGAATCAAAATGCCAGATTTACGTCAATGTGTAGATGATGTGTACAATCCAGTCAGCACACTCCCTCACGCACTGACGGATGAATAAAGACACTCTGTCTGTATATGTTACAGTCAGATTGTGAAAAAATGACTAAAATTTCCAGTCATTTCATGAAGTGACTGAAGTATATTGACTGTTGTTACAAAAAATGACTGAGCTGTTTAGTCAGATTGTATAATACAGATGCTTCTTTCGCGACTTCTTTCCAGACTTCTTGTTTGTTTACTTGAGTGATGTTCAAGTTATGGTCCCATTAATTATCTGACATAACATGTAAGTCGTGAATTATTATATCAATAAAGCTTTTTATCAAATACTTCTTGCCTGTCATTAGTCACTTGTATTTCCACAACAAAATTTCCATCATTTCGTGAAATGGCTAGACCTCTAAACCAGTCATTTCACGAAATGACTGATTTCACATTCTTACCGTAACATATATACTGTGTGTAAATTGGGACAATCTCAACAATAGCATCCTCTAGAGAAGGGATATAATAATTCGATATGTACAGATGCTACAATATAACAGTTATAGTAATACCATTTGTACAGATATTACTGTACAAATGTTGTACAAATACCATTTGGACATATGCTACTGTACCATAGTAACAAATGATACCATGTGTATATGCATTACTATTCAATAGTTACAAAAATACCATATGTGCAAATATCACAGTACAATAGTTTTATTATTACCGTGTGTGAAACATGCCATATATGATACACATGTATCGCTGTCAGGGAGTGATAGTTCTAATAAAGCAAGACAGCCAAAATAATTTATTCTATGAAATGTAACTGAGCTAATATTCTTTAATACCCATGTGTAGGCACGGATGTCCTCTTTCTGTAAAGGTCAAACTATTATCTCTGAAACATTGAGTCTTCGTTTGATGTAGTACTTTTGAAATGCAACCGGTGTTATCTTGGAAATACCCTCGGTAGCCTAATTAGTCGTCAGTTGAAGAAGCGAAGTGATCTAAGCAAATATATTATCTAATGGTTTGATATGTTGAAATCTTCCTTTTTCGTATCTAAATTGTATTTGAAACCTTGAAATGGTTATTGTTACCGGAAATCCACAACCGCTGTGGACCCACCCTGAAATTAAAGACCCACATATTTACAACAGCTGGACTATGTTACCAGAAATCCACTACCGCTGTGAACCCACCCTGAAATTAAAGACCCACATATTTACAACAGCTGGACTATGTTACCAGAAATCCACTACCGCTGTGGAAGATGGTGTAGTGGGGAACCGATAACAGTCAAATTCCAACTGCAAGGAGGCCAATACCCTGACACTGTGGGGTACTTGCTGTAATTGTTTTAAGAAAGTTAAGGAATGCCCATATCTAAAATATTACTACAACCCATGACATGTGAGCATGGTATAACGTATTACTGACACGATGTGCCACATGATGTGCCACACTATTGAATGAGGAGCAAACAGTGAAGGAAGCAATGCTCTGTGAATTTCTGTCCCAACTGTGGGACTAAAGCCTGCGGCCAAAGGCACGGTATATAAAAGCAGTCACACCTATAGTTTCTTGTCTGATTGATGGGAGGACACACGATATTCATAGTAAACCCTTAACAGTATGTATATATTGCATCAAATGCAAGGTCAGACAGCACGTTTCCACATGTGTGTGTGTGTGTGTGTGTGTGTGTGTGTGTGTGTGTGTGTGTGTGTGTGTGTGTGTGTGTGTGTGTGTGTGTGTGTGTGTGTGTGTGTGTGTGTGTGTGTGTAGGCCACATGTCAAACATTATAGCGCAGTTTGAGAGCGGACAGTTCATAGCCAAATCACAACCAGTTTTGAACATTGTTATCGACTAGGTCTGTTTGATTCTGGTATCATGTTTCAATGCTATTTGTGTTCTAAGGGGACGTGTGTACACATCTCATAGGGGTGACTGATGACACGACCACACATATAAGCTCCCCACTAAAACACAACTTTCAGTGACCCAGTTAGTGTCTAAGTAGTCTCTCGCACTACAGTGGGATCTGTTCTCCGGGAGATTCGGTATAATCCAGTAAATCAAACACAACAACACTTCCACAAGTCAACTGA